CTGCCGTTTTTTCGTCTTGGCCTGGCTGTTCCCGCGAAGGAGGGATCCGGGTTGCGGTTGCGGGGAGCAGAGCGGAGCACTCGAAATTTGCCGCGGAAGCGAACTTGGACTCAGCTCTTGCGGTGCATTTGGCAGGCTCGGCCTTTCATGGATTCAAGGCTCAGGTTGAGGTAGGAAGGAACAAGAAGCGCGCCTTGTAATGTCACAGGCCCAGAAGAAACGGATAAGCAGCGGTTACACCCTTTTGGTTGTGACAATTTTTGCCAGCAAATCTCTGGCTTACTGAATGTCGCGCAGCGGACATAGGTTTCTTACTATGGCCTGAAGCACGATGGGAAAACTGCGTGAAGACATGTGGAAGACTGCAAGACTGCGGGAATACTGCAAGAACTGAGGAAGACTGCAATCCAACTGCGATCAATCTGCGGGAAGACTGTGGGAGTACTACTTGATGTCAGGTAGACGTACAACAGCTTGAAACACCGAAATCCGACACCGGAAAACCCCACCCAAAAGAAAACGCTAACGGACTTTGTCACTTTTTCCCCTGTTCCGCGAATTTTCGGCCGGCCAGGAGCAACCCTCATACAGGCAAGGAGCGTTTGGGTGCGTCAAGTGGTAAGACTGAAAAGCGTGTCAGGTTGCCCTTAGTTGGTGGTTTGGATTGGTTTGGACGGGAAACCACTCCCTTGGTGAGCAACCGAACCACCAATCCGACCATTCATGGGGAAGATGAGGCTACTCTCAGTGCTGCTTGATGGCGTTCGTGGCGTGCCAAGTACCATCTGCTCGGCAGGCCATGCTTCGAGCAGCCCAGCGATTTTCTGGCAGGCTGGGGGTTTTTCCGTGGCTGACGGGTCGGTCCCAAGTTGCTTGCCATGGTTGAGTTACTTGAGAACAGATCTAGGTATCCGTTCTGTTCATTGGGGGGTGCAGGCCGGTCATGAACCCCCACCAGAAGGGGACACCTGCATGAAAACATCAACCAGTTGTTTTTCACATCCGGGGTTCCGATGATTTGCATGAACAAGGTCGCCACCTTGTTCGAGTCTTGAGGCACATCCTGGCAGTCGCATGCAAGTTATGCATTTAGGAATGGCGGCAAACTGGGCCGAGTTCGTCTACCAGCTTTGCGTAGCTGCGTACCCCATGGTGATTTCGCCCGCAAGCTTGACCTACCAGGTGGACTTAAAGCTGCTTGCTTTCTCAAGGGAAAATGCTCGGTTTAAGTCCAACTTGGGGTCAAACGAATGGAACTTCCACATGGCAACGTGCTGTTGAGCACCTGCTCTATCAGATAGCATCAACAACCAATGCAATAAAACAAAGATTTGAGCACAATCCGCCAGTAGACCACACTCCAGACACACCACAACCACACAATCCAGTTGACATAGTTTGTTGCAACAAAAAACCATGTGCCACTTGCGATTGCAACGGCTGTCAGACGAACCGGCAGAATAGAATTCCAGCCTTGGACGCCTAACGCATGCATCGCTGAGTAAATGCACAAACCGAAAGAGTTCGTCTTTGTATTCTTCACCAAGAATTTCCTTGTTTTTTAAGGCTCTTCGCTGATATTCCTTTTGGGTCGGAATGAAAGGGGTCCTTTTGAAACTTCGCTCATGAGGGAACCCCCCCCCCCAGAGAGGCCAAGAGGAGAGCCACCCTTCTTTGGGGGTCCCACAAAGGAGGAAGGCGCCCGGTTCCACACGACCGGAGCTTTGCGGATTTTTTTTTTTGACTCCCCGTGCCAGGGATCTGCAGAGAGTCCGTCTCAAAATTTGCCCCCCGAAGCTGGGAGACTCGCAACTGGCGAACGTCCATTGGCCAAGCTTCCACACGACCCCTACGCCTTTTGTTTTTTTTTCTTGGGGGGGGTCCCGTATGCAAGGTTGCCTCCATGTCCCTTTTTGGAACCTCCTAAAGCGGCGATGATTTCAATCAAAACCACCAGTAACTGGATCAACCTTTGATTCGGGGAAGTCCCTTCGTGACCCATGCCAAAAGAAACACTAGCCACCCCCACCCTATTTGGAAGTTCAGCCCACGTAGCAGGTTATAACTTATGTTTTTATGCGAAGGACAAAAAACGGTTAGCCCAAGTGAAACATCCAGGTGAGCGGGCATATCTTTTTTGGAGCGTATTTTTCTCAGTGGCTCCCAGCCATCCGGTTCCTTAGCATTTTTTGGCTTTTCAGTGTTTAGTGAGGATTTTTCCATTTAACTCACTAGATCTGAGGATTTAACTCATTTTTCCATTAAACTTTACCGGGGATCTGAAGGCAGCCCAGTTTTGAGTCGGCCACTTTTTGGCCCCGGTTCCCTGGCCGTTTTGCTGCTTCCTTCCGCCCCTCACTTGTCAGGTGCGGCCAGCGAGGCACTCGGCACTACCAGGCCGGTGCTGTCCCTTTGGCGTGGAAAAGGAACCCCCCCACAGCTTCCCTGGAAATGCCAACAAACAGTGGTTTCATTTCCATGGTTTCCTAGGTGGTGCCAAATGGTTTTCGTCCACCCACAGGGTTCAACTTGCCCCCAAAAGGCCGGCAAACGGACCCTGACCCAAGTTGGATGCAAGCTCCCAGGGTCAATGCGCGGTGGTTTTACCGGCGGTTTGAACCCCAGGCATTCTGTGAGGCTCCCACACCTGTTTGGCGGGCACGAGTTTTTATCCATCCGTGGCGAGGCATCTCGGCCGAGAGCGTCGGCCAAAGGCGACGGGAACCACAAAGCCGATGCGGGAGGTTCGGTCAACATCCATGGTCCATTTGGGATGAAGCTGGGCGGGCTCGCATGAGTCCCCGCCCCCAAGCGCAAAACAGAAGCACAAACAAAACGAGGGATGGTGAAATGAGGCATTGCGGGAATGGTTAAAAAGACATTCATCGGGCCCTGAAGCAGCGACTACAAAGTTCCATGCTCTCAACTCCTCAGTATTGGCACACAACGCATGCCACGTTCCAGCTGGGCGTTGCAGGGTAATATTGGGATTGGTGGCTTCGAACCTCGGCCTTTTTTGCGCCAACTTGAAAGGAGTTTCCTCTGAAAGGGGTCGAATCGTTTTTCTTTTTTTTCTTCTTTCTTTTTTCGGTTGGGAAGCCCGAAAATGGCAAGAGGTGGTGGACTGAGCTGGAAAGCAGAGGTAAACAACAGTTAAACAACAGTGTATCTGGCAAACAAACATGATCCGTTCACCGACCGAGAACGCAGCTGACGACCAACCGCCAAATTCCGAACCCCCCCCCCGGCATTCGGATGTGGCAATCCCCATCGGAGGTCAATGAATGCGCTAGCGGCTAGCACTCTGAATTGGATCCGACCTCTACGGCGGCCACCCATTTTTGTTTGAATAAAGATCAATCGCAAACATTACTGAAACAATTATGTTTAAATAATAGTAAAGGACCCCGAGTTTTTGTTTATATATATATATATATATTTAATGTTTTTCCCCAGGTTTGGCACGGCCGTTTTGCTGCGTGGTGCTGGGGTGTTGGCTCGGCCGGTCCGTGTCCCAGTCAGTCTGTCCCCCCGGTCCCGGTTGGTCGTTCGGTCAGTCTCTCAGTCGGTCGGTCGGTCGGTCGGTCGGTGGATTGGTCGGTCGGTCAGTCGGTCCAACCCTAAGCCAGCCCTAAACAAGCCCTAAACCAGCCCTAAACCAACCCTGAACGAACCCTAAACCAACCTAAATCAACCCTAAACCAGCCCTAAACCACCCTAAGCCAACCCTAAACCAGCCCTAAACCAACCCTAAACCAACATAAACCAGCACCAAACCAACCCTAAACCAGCCCCAAACCACCAACCCAAAACCAACCCTAAACCAGCCCCAAACCAGCCCTAAACCAGCCCTAAACCAGCCCTGAACCAACCCTAAACCAACCCTACACCAACCCAAAACCAACCCTAAATCAACCATAAACCAGCCCTAAATTAGCCCTAAACCACCCTAACCAACTCTACACCAACCCTAAACCAAACCTAAATCAATTCTAAACAAGTCATTACCAGCCCTAAACCACCCTAAGCCAACCCCAAACCAGCCCTAAACCAACCTTAAACCACCCTGAACCAACCCTAAACCAACCTAAACCAGCCCTAAACCAACCATACACCAACCCTAAACCAACCCTAAACCAGCCCTCAACCAACCCCAAACCAACGTAAACCAGACCTAAACCAACCCTAAACCAACCCTAAACCAACCATACACCAACCCTACACCGGCCCTAAACCAACCCTGCGTCTTTGAACAAGTGAACCTTTGCTTCGTTTTGGAAACAAGCTTCATCGAAAACCGTAAACCCTCTGCAGCTAGTTGGCAAACCCTGTAGCTCGTTGGCAGGAGATGGTATCTCTCAGGAGGTTCAGCGCGCGCCTCAAGGGTGGCCGCAGCCGTGGCAGGTTTGGGTTTTGGGGAATCTGGAGACAACAAAAACCAGCACTCAGTATATCAAGGGCACTATGGCCAAACATGATTGGAATGGGGTGAGTCACAATGGTCCAATTTGTTGTTCTACTTACAGAAACCTAGTGCAACTCGGACATACGTGTTTCGTCATCTCTGCCCACTTGCTCGCCTGTGCAACTACTTATGGCAACAACTGGGTGCAACTTATTTTGTTTTTTCCGACTCGGCAAAGGAGATAATTGCTTCGATCCGATTCTGTCCATCGGATCGCGCTGTTGTTTTCGGTTTTGTATCAAGTTGCTGGCCGCGAGAGCAAAGCTAACCAGCAGGTTTCGTCTGCTCTTCCATCTACCAGGGTTCAATATTGGGACGATTCCAGCCGGGAAGGCTTAGAGGCCCCCTTGTCTTGCGACACGTTTGAAGTCTCCTGGGGTCAGGGAACTCTCGATTTCCCCTTTTCGGACCTTCAAAGGTGGCACTTCCATTGGAAACCACCAGTTTTGATTCCGGGCCACCTTTGAGGAAGCCAAAAGCCACGACTCTTCGAACGCTTGAATTTTAACATCCACGGACCAACGAGTCGCTGAACATGGACCCCGATGCCTTCGTGCATTCGCTCTGCCGGCCGGTCCGCCGCTCGCTCGCTTCGCCCTCCCGGCGAGTTGAACGGAGGTACGAGGGCCTTTGGGGTGCGATCGTGACCTTCCCCAAGCGCCAGCCCTTCGCCACCAACGTGATCGTGGCCACAGCCCACGGCTCAGCTAGGAAACCGGGGAGATGGAGAAAAATCCGCTCCAGAGGTGTGTGTCCTTTTATTGTTGGGAGGGGGGGGGGTGCCCTTCCGTTTTTTGTGTTTTGTTTTTTTTTTGGGGGGGAGGAGATGTTTGTCCGTTTTTGTTTTGCGGGGTGCCGTGGATAGGGCAGTCCTCAATGTCCCCTTTGGGACCTCCAAAAGCGGCAGTTTGGTTGGAACCCACCGGTAAATTGCTCATCTTTTGATTTGGGGAAATCCCTTCGTGACCCCTGTACTGCAGGGCTTGTTTTGGGAAGCCAACAGTCGACACCCGAAATCCGTGAATGATTTGGGTCTCGAAAAGCGGCTTGAAGATGATGTCTTTTTCGCAGGCGCTTGCGGAGCCGATTTGCATCCGAGTACATGTCTGGGTCACATGGGCTTTTCAAGGTCACCTCCACAACCTCACATCCCTATGTTCGAATCGTCATCCCGGCAGCGCGAAGTCGATTTGTTCCCACAGCATCTCTGACTTGTTCGGGTCTTTGATGTTCTTCCACACAGCACATTGATGAGCTGTAGTTAGGAACCCATGTCTTAGGAGAATCTCCAAAGGTGAGCCAACTGTTCTTCTTGGTTGGGAGTTCTAACTAATTGTACTCACTATAGGTGCTCGACTGATTGTCCCGCTTTGGATTGAGCTGATATCCATGTTTAGTTCATATGTGCCATGGTCAAAAGACTTCCCCTTTTCTTGGGGTTGGCAGGGATGGTCGTCTACCTGGAAGTAAGCGTGTCTTCGTTGGATGGCAAGTACCCTCTTCGGCAGGGTTGGAAGGCGCCACGGTAAGCCCCCAAATGGGGTGGGTGGGGGGTGGGGTGTCTTTGTTTTGAGGGTCCCCCTTTTTTTTGGCGGTTCAAAGGGAAGCGAGAAGGAAATTCGTTTCAGATAGGGGGGACCCCTAAAATTTGGTTTCCCTTTAACCCCACAAAAGAGGGTACGCTAACGCAAAAAGACACCCATACTGTTCCCATACTACTCAACCCCACTTGATTTATAGGGGGGTGTTCTCCTCAAGTGATGATTCCCCACGGGGTTGATTAATATGGGGTCCACATTGTGGAGACAAGTTCACATTCTTCGTTTGGATATTTCTGGTAGTGCCCTTCACCTGAGATCAAGACCTCTGCCGCTGATCTCATCGTCGGAACCTTGGATCTTGCCGCGCATGCAGCGTCATTCCCTACTGACCAGCAAGGTTTGCCCCAATTATTTCTCGCAGCCCAAACCAATTCCCAAAACAGCCAGAACAGGTTCTACTCGGGAGTTGTTTTCTGAGGCGCTCAAAGCCGCACATATCCATATGACAGTCACGCCTGAGGTGCAAAAAGCTGAAGGCAGAGAGAGAATAGACTGGCAGAGGAGCGCAATCATGCCGTATTTTCTGCAACCCTCTGGATGTGGGGGACGGCGGCTGCCTTTCGGGTTTGATTTGCACAGCTGCCTTTCGGGGCGGGAGTTACACGAGCGACATTTGAACAGCATGAGGTAGGTGGTTTTCTGGAGCTCCATGGGGCCTTCTGGAGCTACACGGATTCCAACTTGAAGTTTCTCACGCGGAGGAATGGAGCCTTTACGGCCTTCGGGTTTGCCTACCTTGGCATGATTCAATGCCACTGGGCCAAACTTCATGCACTCGGAGCATTGGCTTTTAATCAACACCATGGGGTCTTGCTCCACAAAAACCACCCGATGTGTTTGTTTTTTTTAGACACCCAAGAGCGCGCCTGTCAGATTGCATGATGCAGGCTTGTCAGTGCGGATTGCGCAAGCCAAGGGTTCATTTACGTCACGCTGTTTTCTCGCCTTTGCCCCAATGCGATTCGCTTCGCAAATCTTCCATGGGCCTGGCGCTCAATGCCTGAGAGCGTTTCCTGCCGAGCGCCTGGGAGGGAGAAGTTCCAAGGCGAGTGGGTTGACACTTGGTGGCTAGCCATCCGATTCCTTAGCTTTTTATAATTTTTAGGTGGTTTTGTGGTTGAATTTGGCAGGGGATCTGAGGACAGCCCAGTTGAGTTTGGCGCTCAGGTTGCTTTTCAACCAACACTGAGTTCTGATGAAATTGGACTGTTGGAATGCTTAAGCATCGCATAGGGTGGCTCATCAGAAATCAGGATCGACGACTCGGCACCTTTTCTGAGGGTTCCCAAGTTATATCCCCTTAAGAGGGTGCCCGGATTGCCCGTATCGCCAAGTTGCTGTTTTTTTTCCAGACACCTTGCCCTAGAACCAGTCCCAGTGACTGGGAAAAAGCGGCAACTGGCGATCCAGGTGGTGTCAAACGTCACCTTTCGGTTGCCAAGAAAATGGTAGGGAATGAGGGAATGAACCTGTCCGGATTCCCTAGGAAGCCATCCACCGATCGCAAGTCAAAGGGGTGTGCCCGCGGAAAGTTTCAGGCGGAGAAGCTGAAGTGCCGTGCGGGGCAGATTGACCTCGTAAAGCAGGCGGCCCCGGAGATGGTTGGAGACGCCTGGTTTAGGGTTGGTTAAAGGGAAGCCAAAAGGAGAACCGCTAGTTGGGGGTTTCTCTATTTGGCACATCCAAATCCTGCTGACGGACGAAACTGGGCACCAGTTGATAGGTCAGTTGCAGGATGTGTCCTGTGCCCGGTTTTATTTTTCCCTTTTTGGAGGGGTTTCCCTTGAACATCAATTGCCAACGGACAGGCCGTGCTTAGTTCCCCATGTATTTCCTGTTGCGTTGCGGGGACACTGTCCAAGACAGAGGGTATCTAGCCTCGATTGATCCTCGTCCCTCGCAGACGGCTCTGGACAATTTTGTCCACTACACCTTTGTCTACTTTCCAGTCTTCTACATCATCAAGGAGCTTGCTGCACCATGCACGCACTGCCTTTGACTGCCCTGAAATCAGAACACCCCCTCAGCGCGAAGAGGGGAATCAAAACTCGGGGCAGTAGGGTAGTAGGTTAGGGGACAGCCGCCAGAAAAGAAGATGCGGATCTCCGCCCTTTTGATTCTTTGCAATTCATGGGGGGATGTTGGTGACAGATGAGGGGCTGTTTTCTTGGAGGCAGTTTTTGACGCCTCAATTTTTGATACCTCACATGTGTGATCGTCAAGAGTTTTGTTCGATCGCCAAGCTGCCTGAATTCCGGAAAAGCACGGGGTGCGTACGGAAGCACCACGCTCTTCCAGTACCAGGACTCCATGCAAAGAATATCCACTTCCAAGCGGTCACTGACACGTGCGCAATGGTGAACACTCCTTGGACTTTGGTCATGGTTCCATGAATATGGTTTTCTGATTGTCGTCTCACATTCTAGTGAAGGGTTCACGACTAGGCGTACCGGGCCCAAGTAGGGTGTGCTGCTTGTGATCCATCGTCGCCTTCTCTCGAGCCAGCAGTTGATACCCTCTTGGGGTTGAGAGGGACACATTGAGAGGGACACCCAATGGCAAATGCTTTTTTTCTGGAGTAAAGGGGAAAAAAAGCCCCATTGAAGCTCAAGGAAGCTCAAGGAAACCCCAAGGGAAACTGAAGCGATTCGGATCCAGCAGCATCTCGCAGCAGGAGAGCATCAACAGCCTTGGGGAGAAGCAGAAGCAGAGCGAAGAGCCGCTGGTGACCCGGGCCCTGCAGAAGTACTGGAGGAGATGTTCGGGCTGTGGGTGGGAGGGGTGGGGTGAGGTGGCTGGGGTAAGTGAAAACATGGACTAAAACCTGTGGTCCCCATGGTGGTTTAATTTTGACCCATACTCAGGTGGGTGGGGAGCTTCTAGGGGTACCTTCCCACTAGTTTTCACAACAAGTCGAACCCCCCAAACCACCCTCCTTGTCATAGGTGTCCTTTTGATCGGTTAGTTTGGTTAAGAATAAATGGGTTCCACTGGTTTAGATGTTTTGTATTTCCATGGGCCATCTTTTTTCCAAAAGGCCACCTATGGATGTTCGGGCCGTGGGTGGGAGGGGTGGTGAGGTGGGTGCTCCAACGAACTGCTGCCGGAAATGCTAGCTGGGCTCAACTGTTTGGACCACACCCTCTTGCACTGCTTCATGCAGATGCATGAACCATTTTCCGCATCGCGCCTTGAACTTTTCTGGCTTGCCCTTGCATTTTTTAGTCTTTACACCTTCAAGCCTTGACCGTGAAGACTTCACCATCCCGCGCCCGTCAGGAATTGTGTCCAGGACAACTTGGCCATGTGGTCTCTATGGGCAACTTGGCTGGTGGGCTAGGGGTCTTATCCTGGAGCAGCGCACGGAACGGACTCCTGTTGGCCGTTTTTACGTTCCGGTCTTGTGAAGGTTACAATAAGGCCTATTTGGCCATGGGTCAAACTCCCGTACCCCCAGTGAACATCCCCATCCCCACTAAAATTTTCACTAAAATAGACTAAAATGGGTGGTGCACCTACCCCAAGATGGTACGATTAGGTTTGGACCCACAGCCATCTAGCCTTCATAACCATGTCGGTAGAAACCTAAGTTAATGGGTTTGGCGCTCACGTGTGGCTGACTTCTCAGATTCCCTTCGACCTCATCATCTATGCTGCGCAGCACTGAGAGAGATCTTAGCGAAACGGCCGAGTTTCACCGAGCCTGAAACTATTTGTTGGACAGTCCCAGAACCAGCATAGATGGCTCTGCCTTCGGTTTGGTTCCAAACAAAAAGTCCGGTGCCATCCATCAGGTTTGCTCCGGGCACAAGAATCGAGGAGGGCTCAAAGGTGAAAAAGAGAGAGGGAGTCCTTTATTTTTTGACCCCCTATTGAAATCAACATGAAGCACCCAAAGGCTTGGATAGCACAACCAACACCGCAACACCGCTTGTGGTCTTTTGATTTTGGGGACACCGCCCAACACGAGCTCTCCAGGTGCCCATTTGGCTGCGGCTGCCCTTGAACCATGGCATCAGCTTGGCCTGGACCATGATCCTGGCGCGGGCACTCAGCTTTTTTCTCCGAACGCGACAGAAGAAGCGAAGGTTGACCGTCTGTGGTTCAATGAGAGAGATGGGAGGCTTGCCATAGAATCAATCCTGAGTCAAGGTTTCTGTTTTCTTGCCCTTGAATGGACCCTGAATTCCCCGAAAAGGAAGCCAGAATGGATGGTTTTTCTCGGGGTCATTCCATTTGTCAATCACTGCTGAGCACCGGCAAGTTCGCTTCACGCTCGCAGTGCTCAGACCAGTGGGCTCCACTCAAGGGAAACATTCGCGACCCAGCATAGGACGCCCCGCAAACACCTCCAGGTGCTGGGAAAAAAAAAACCGAAAGGTTCTGCGAAGCTTCCCAGGGGTTCGTACAAGGGGAGCTCCAATGTTTGACTCAATCTCTTTGTTTGCAGGGCGGCTTTTGCGGCTTTTGCGACGTTCAAAATGACCGGGCCATCCGCAGGCTTGGTTCATGACGAAAAGGGGCCCCTGAAAATATTCTGACGTGTCATAGGGCGGGGGGGTTTGGGGGGTGGGGGCCCCCAGTCTGGGGGCGCGGGTCAAGTTCATGGTTCCGGCGCCTCAAAAGATGAACAATCCGGCCGTCACTTTTTTTGGCGGGGGGGTTGATTGTGTTCAAGTGGATGATGTACACCCCTGTCTCCTGGCCAACGTTCGTGATGGGACACTGCTTAGTCGTCTCCACTGGCAGCGAAGTAACATAATTTCAGAAATCGATATGGGTATGCTGAAGATAAAGAGCTACGTGGATGGGCAAAATCCTGCACCACCTAAGAAACCCTGGAAAGATGATTCCCTCCTGTAAATACCAACAAGCAATGTTTCAACCATGGATTGATTTCGTGATGCGAACGGATTTCACAACCATCCACAGTAGCGCAAACTGCAGATGTTAGCGTTTGTTTACATTTACCAAGTGGAGCCACAGCCATATCCATTCTGCCATTCCGCATGGCAGTGCATTCACAGCGCAGACATTTCAGGGGATATGCTTTACGTGTCACTCTTCTGGAAAGAACAATGCTTGCCTGTTTTGGCTGGCTGTGCCGGCAAGATGCACTCAAAGCCTCAAAGCTGTCCTCAATGCGTTTCGCTGCTCAGAGCTCCATGCGTGGCAACGAGAAGTGAGACGGCGGGACTGGCGGTGTGTACCAGGGGAATGTTGCACAATCACCCTTTGTTGCTGCAGAATGCCTTATGAATTGAGCCTCGTTGACATTGCCCTGACGTGACATCCCTCTCCACTCCTTGGATCGAGCGGCAGAGCGCTCCTCCAACGGTGTTAATCCTTGGAGACCGGTTGCGTCTTTCTGTGTTGGCGGTCACCCACCCTTTCTGAGGGGGGGTGCCCCGGTGCTTATGTGTCACTAGGCATGTGCGCCTTGTCCAGCCCCAGGTTCCACCGACACCCATTTCGTGCTGCTGAACCCTCGGGGTTGTCCATCGTTTTCTTCGCGCGACAAAATGTTCTGGAGTCAACAGCGCCGCAATTGCCAGAGTAGCAAATGCCAGGGGTGCCCCAACTTCTATCTGCAAAAGTGGCAGTTTCATGAAAAGAAAAGGTCACTCTGACGGGACAGACCTGCAGCCCAAAGTCGACGTTTCCATCGGGGTTGCCTGGGCCATGTGGGCTCAAGGACGGCAAGAAGTGGAAGGGGTTGAGCCACGCAAACCAGTCCGTTGCCACCCGTGTTCATCCATTTTTTGTGGGTTTCCGAGCAATCCAGCCTATGGATTCAGTGCAAGGTTTAGTTCGGCGCAGTGTTGGGCCGGGGCGCTGTTTCTGACCCCGGTCCAACTGGTCGCTATGGGCTCGGAGATGAACGATGAAGAGGCGAGAAGCGACCAGCGGCAAACACCTCCTCCGATGTTTAGAAGGTGGTTTTCCGAATTGCCGACCAGTATCCTCGGGTACTACTTAATAGGTGGTTTGGGTTTGGTGGTTTGGGGGGTTTGATTCAAATGGGGATAGATGAACAAATGAAGAAAACATGATGCGGCCAAACGATGTCAACACGTTGAATAAATGATAAAATAGTTATTTGAATTTTGCTCAGTATTTGGCTGCCCGAAGATCTCTTAAGGTTTGAACCCCTCCGGGGAAGGTGCCCAACAAAATCATCCAACCATCGCCGAATCGCCGCAACTAGTTTGGTGACATCGACGCAGGCGGAAATCCTGGAAAAGGCCCTCGTCGATTTAGAGATCTTTCAGAACTGCCCAAGGCATCTGATTCATCAGATCACCGAGAAGGCCAGGAGCAGCTACCCGCCCACCCCCAAAACCCCCCAACCCCCCCCCCCCCCCAAATTCCCATGTTTCTCATTTAGGGGGCACCTGAATCATGAAAAAAGCAATGCAGCTCATATGGGTGTTGTCACAAAATGGACCCCCCCCTCCTTCTCCTTGTTCGGTGACTCGCAACACGTGCCGAAACTTGGCCTTTGCAGGCCACCAGCAAAAGATACGAAGGCCATGAAGAAGTGGTCTTCTCCGACCAGGCGCGACTTTGTGCGATGCGTTTTTTTTTTTCTTCTTCCCCCTTTCTCCCCCCTCGAGGAGAAAGGGTGGCCTTTGGCCCACACCGGAAGAAAAACCGGCAAACATTTTTTTAGAGTCCCGGGTGCCGATTTTGTAGCCAAGTAGCTCTGAGCAAAGACTGAAAAGCCAGCGAGGTCAATGGCAGGCCACCCAACCAACTCCACGCCGCGAAACCAATGAAGCAACAAAAAGAGGCATTCTTGCTGGAAGGAGGCTGATCCAAGGTAAGATAATCCAAGATGCGGCGCTGGTCGCCCTCGGCAGGTGCCGTTGCTGGTCGTCCTGTCGGGGGACTTGCGGATTTGCATCGGCTGCGCGCCGGTGCCCCCGCCAAATGGATGGGAGTCGATGGGGATTCGGCGTGGGTGTTTCTTTTGGAGGCGAAGGGTGGCCTCCGACAAGAAAAGAAGATATGGGACCTGACAGGAGATGGTCCCTTTGCAAGGAACGTGTTGTCTTCCAGGACCCCGAAACGTCAGGTTCCATGTTACTTGGTGGGTCGTGGCGTGAACAACCAGACTCCCCAAAGGATTCGGGCAAGTTTGCTGGTTACCTAAGTTGTCAGCAACGAGTCCTGTCGTATTTAAGTCTGTGCGGTCAATGGACCCCTCAGTTGGGCCAAATCGGTTTGCTTTCCAACATGAGTGCCCTTTTTCCCCAGATAGCTGAAAGCTATGGGGTTCTAACAAAGATTGACGGCTGGGTGCTAGGGGGCATGCAGTTTGGGGTGCTGGTGCGTGTGCTGCTTTGGGGTGCTGGTGTCGATGCGGGCGCATTTTTGCGAGAGTGACGGCAGGTTGCTACGGGGTTTGGGGTGGTGCAGGTGCTGCTCTGGCGTGCTTGAGGTGGTGATGGTGCGTGGGGGCATGCGGTATGGCAGGTGCATTCGGCGCAGCCGCATTCTTGCGAGATTGACGGGTGCTGTTTGGGGGGTGCTGACGGTATAGGGGGTTTTTGCAAGATTATCGGCAGGGCCAGGGAGGTGCAGCTACAGTTTTTGTTGGTCTCTGGGGACTGTGCAGGTGTAATTGTCTTCTTAAATGCTTGGTTGGAAAACAAGAGGAACGAACATCACACCATTTTGGGATCGCCTTCCCTACCCAACTTGCACATTTTTGTCGGGAAACCCGTTGGACAGCCGTGTTGGGATCGGGAACCTTAGGACTCGGACGTGGGCCCCGGCAGCGTGCTGAACGTGTCCGGCATGCTGGGCCTTCATGAGCTCGCGGAGCCCTTCAAGCCTAAGGCGGATGCCGGCAACTTCTGGGTGGTTTGGGGCTTGGGCTTGGTTTGGAGTTGATGTGGACCCCAGAGTCAAGCAGGAATTGGCCAGTTTATGAGTTGGTTGGGTTTGGGGAACCGTCACTTTTGGAGGGGCCCCCGCCCAACTGGGGTTGACTCATATGACATCAGCCCAATTTTCGGTGCGTTTTGGGCTTGGTGTCTGTAGAGGGCGAATGGGACACCTCCCCTTCCGCGAGCCTCATGGCAAAGCCGAAGGGGGCCTTTCGGAGCCAGGAATTTCGGAGTTCTGGACTGGGGGACATGGAGGAGAATATGTTGGTTGGATCCACTGGGGACACCCAATAATTTTTGTCTCATAGGGGTGGGACATTTTTCAAATGGGTGGGACCTGCCCTTCGGTTTGCCTCACGGTTGTTGGCAAGCTTTTTTAGTCTTTGGTGTGTTTTGGTTCTGTTCATTTTTAGTAGGGGGCTGCAAAATGCACAGTTTTTATTACCATACCAAGGGTTGTAGAGAGAGAGAGAGAGAGAGAGACACACACACACACACACTCACAATGGCCCCCACTCAACCCAGTGGTTTGAATCAGACCCCTGGAAGGGGTTCCAATCGCTCGCAAGGATCACGTTGCTTCCGAAAGGAAGCCACTCGTTGGAGACCAAAGCAGGGTCACAGGTGCGCCCGACTTGGTTTCAGGGTTCCCTGCCAATGTTGGTTGAAACAAAGGAAGAGGTGAAAGTCAGCTTCCCAGATTGACTCAGGTGCATGGGTCACTCCCTATGGGAAAAAAGTTTGATTTTGCCAATGGATTAATCCTCTCTTTTGAGGACAACGCTTGACAAACGGGTCCGTCAACATAGGGATTTGCACCCCACATGTACATTTATTTTCGCTTTAAAGGAACCTAAACAAGGCTACACTTCGCCGTAGCAGGCGCACACACACAAATGAAGGTGATCGTGTTTGAGACAGGCTGGGAAGTCCGCAGAGAATACCGAAGAGTGTGATGAAGCCATCTCTGTGGATGTGAAGACGCTGTCCGGACCTCTGAAGGACTCTCTTCAGGTTGCAAAGTGAAGGCTTAGCCAAAAGAGATGTGGCTGGGGATTTGGGCACCCCTTTAAATGTATGAAGACATAAAAAAGTAAACATAACATGTTGACACACTCGTCTGTTGGCTTCAAGTGGAACAAGCTCTGTTGGTTTTTGAGCCCAGCCCTGGTTTGTGCGCTTGCCCACATTTGGAGCGCTCAACATACTGCAGTGATGCAGTCTAAGTGCAGGATGAGGTGGTGAATATTTACAACTTGTGCCCGATTTCTTGCGGAGTGGGGCTGAAGCAGACCAATCTGTCTGGGTGGCTGCGAATGGCGCCTGGGCTGCGATTCCAGCGAGCTGGCAGCGTGGTGTGTCTTTGCACGGTGCCCGTTTGGCGGAAGGGCGCTTGGAACCTCTGATCGGTTGGCCCGATATGGGCACCCCGTTTGCGTCTCCCACCCAACAAACAAAGGCCAGTGCAGGCAATGTTGACAAAATTGTTCATCAACCCCAGTTTGTTTCTCTGGGTTTGAACGGTTTGTTTCAGAATACGGGGAACCCACCAATGGTGGTTCTCCTTTTGGTTTGCCTTTGGACCAATTGCCACTGAATCCCCACCGAACCCCAAAACCCCGCCTATGAAAAATCCGGGGGCAACAGCACCAAGCTGTCTCCTTTTTTTGTTCTCCTTCTGCTGAGGACATCAAGCCCGCGGGCGCGGTAAAGGTGGCCATGCTCACCTTGGACAACATCGAAGATGTCATGCAAAAAGGGGACGCCCTGAAGCTCTTTCACAAGAACCTCTCGCGACTCACTGCGCCATTGCCTAGAAAGCTTAAGTTGTGTTGCAAACAAATGGGTGTTTTCTCCTCCATTGTTGTTTTTCGTGGGCAGCTTTTTTCGGGCTGTTTTAAAGGGAAGCCAAGAGGAACACCAGACACCCAAATGGGCTGGCTGTGTTGTTTGTCCCTTTGGGGCTTCAACCCTGGCAGAAAAGAACACATCCCTGCTTCGGCCGCTTCGACTTCAGTGCGTGCAGATTCCTGTCATAGGCCCACTTTCTGTGACATGGAACTCTGTGATACTCATGGAATCCCCTACAGTGAGAATGAAAGCAATGGGGAGCTTTGGTATAGAAGGGTGATTGTCCGCAACCGTGCCAAGCTGCTATGCGACCAGGTGGTAGGCGGTTTATCCAAGGCTTCAAATCGGGCTTCGCCCGTGCGTTTTGTGGATTCTGCTCATCAACATTTTAGTAGATGGTCCTACTACCGGGGCCGCAATAATAAGGCTTGCACACACCAATCTGAAAGTTTCTCAAAATGGGGGACCCCTCCAGATAGGTGGTTTTCTTTGGTTTCCCTTTGAAACCCTCCAAAAAGGGTGTTTTCCCTATTTTGATTAAACAAAAAACACATACACCCAGCTTGGTAGTCTTATGAGCACACCAAGCGCCCGACGCAAGGATCACTTCATCTGCATCCTGCGCCACGGCATCTTCCCCGGCGTGCCTCCGGAGGTGATCTGGCTGATCTCCTGCGGTACGCAGCGACGTCACTATCATCCCAAGGAGACCCTGGCGGCTCGGCTGGCCGCTGGCGGGCTATGGGTGAAAAAAATCAGGTTAGGCCCCAGTCATCCGAATCCAAGCACTAAAATAGGTTCGAAGATGGGCGGTGAATTCACCTACCAACCAAAATGGGATACCATTGGTGTTGACCCACGGCCATATCACCAGGTGAAACGGCCGGACTTGGGTTGACGGAGGGTCGTAAGAAAATGTGGGGAATGCCGTCTTTTGCGTGCTGCTGTCTTGTTTTGGCGCTTTTCTTTTGCGGTGGCTGGGCGCATCGCCAAAAGAAATGAGAAAAGCTTGGGGAATTCAGAGAACCAAAAGGCGTCCTTGGAAAGAAGCCTCATTTTTTTCTTCTTCTTCTGGGCAGTTTGGCCATGTGAGTGGATCTTTTGGAAACGGTTCTAGAGGGACACCCTTTCTGGGGTGAAAGAAACACATGTTGCCCAGCGGCTGGCCGAGGTGGAGGAGGACGATCTCGGGGAGGAGGCAGATTGGCTCATCGCCATCAACAGTGGCAAGGCCGGCCACCGACAAAAAAGCCGCGGGCGGAAGCCGTTCCATGCGTGAAGAGGATCCAATAAAAAGGATTTATCCAACAGCAAGCTACTTTGGATCCCTGCATCAGCTGGTATTTGGGTGATGTCTCTTGCTGGCCCCAGCTGACTACGAATAGGGAAGCACCAGAACCAACTCGCAGGCGGTTGGAGGACATGAATCCTCCATACTTTGAGACATGCGGGCAACATGTGGGAGGCTACTCGGAAGATCAATTGCCTCTTGGAATTTGTAGCAAGAGCCACTCCAAACAGCACCTGTGGGATCTGGAAGACTAGTCGCCCTGTCAGGTGCCATGTTCTTGGGAGAGAAGCCCAAAAGGAAAACCAACCTTTTCGGGTTCCCTTCAACAAAAACGCGCCCTTTAGAGTGAGGGGAGCATGCTAGTTGGTTGTATGGCTATGGACTGGTTGGTTACACCATGGGTTATGCCGATGGACTATCTGTGGTTAGTGTGCTGAGCCATAGACTATACAACCTGAGAGCCCGAGTCAAGATGTGGAAACCCCGTAGAATCCCCCCGTGGAAAGAAGCCAAAGCGGCCACAAGTCTGGTGCTGCAACTGGTATCTTTAGGGTTCTCCTGTGGGTTTTCCTTGTAAGTTCTCGTTTTGGGCTTCCGATCTGAGGCTTGCGTTGCCTGGTGTGTCACCCTGAATCAAAAGGGTACCACCACGCCTCACAATGGCTTTCCATGTAGTCCAGTACCTCCGAAAATGACACAAATGAGAGTGTGCTGCCGGGAGTGCCGTTAATTTGTGGCCTTGCCACTCTGAGATGGTTTTCACTACCTCCAAACCACTAAGGGTATTATCAAACCACTGGGGGTGTTATACCCTTTAGTGGTTTTATGGTGGTTGTATATACCAGTAAATCCCTGGTACGTCCAGAAAGCAGTTTGCGCGTTTTCTGAGGATTTCCCTCGTCTTTCCCCCTGTCGGTGCTTTTTTGGTACTCTTTTAGTACTGGGTGAATTCACTAAAAAGCCGCATCCAAACCGTTCGAGCATCGGTTCGGGGGTAGCTTCGCGGCAGGAAACCGTTGCTTCGCAGAGCGGTTCGGGGGAATCTTCGTAGCGAGCACGCGCTGCGCGCTTCGCAGGTGGACGTGGAGAAGCTCGCCTACAACGGGGAGGAGGCCGTGCCTCAGCACATCGGCAGCCTCACCGAGGGCGCGGTGCTGGGTGACGCCCCTCGCCGCGAGCGAAGTGAGTGGGGGTGGGCTGCTCAAAAGTAAAAGTGGTTGGAATCAACATGTGTTGCACGGGGAGAAGGAGGAAGAGTCATTGAGTCTAAACCGATTTGGGTAGATGAAGGTTAAGGACAAAATCCGCATAGGTACCCAAAATAGGTTGCCCTGGTAAAAGGAAAGGACGAAACAACCTGCCAATTTTGACCCATACCCATATTGACGGAAGAAAACTGGTCCGGTCTTGTCCGCTCCGCGGCTTTTGGGGATACCGCCCTGGCCGAATGTTTCCAAGAGCAGTACATCAACCTGATGGAAAACATGTCAAGGTGAGAACCGTTCCGATCCTCAAGCACAAACCCTTGCAGAATCTGGCGTGAAACAAGCTCCCGGATCATTTGCGTGGGTACCAAGCCAGTTGGATTTGTGATGTGGGTGTCTCTTCTTTCAAAGGTACCCTTTGGGGGTGGCTTTCAAGGACACCAACAGGACACCCATTGTTTTGGCGTCCCCTGATTTTAAGACACATCCACGTATCATCCAGTTCCGGGTTTTCGTCAGGTGGTCGAAGTGGATTTTGTCCGACAATACCTGAAAGGCAGAACCCGACCTCCAGTGATGCCGTAGTTGTTCCTTCTTTTGGAGGGGGCACAGCCTGTTAAAAGGGGGAAAGAGGCAATGAACGGCAATGAACCACCACCTCCCATTCTTTTTGGGAGGGGTATGTTGAGTTTAAAGGCCCTTGAACCCCTTGAAACTAAAAAGAGACCGTTTAAACAATAGTGAATTAATAGTATGTTTAATTTGAGCCACCATTGCTTAAACAACTTGTTGGTTTCCCTGAACATTAGGGGTTGTACCAAATGGGTCTGTCTTATCGGAGGAACCACACAATGGAGGCTTGTCCTTTTGGTTTAGCTAAAAGGTTTCCCTCCAAAAATAGGGTGATTCACCCGCGTCCAGAAAAGAATGGGAGGTTACCGTTAAGTGCCGTCAATGGGTGTTTCAACACAGATTGCGCCGTCCAAAAAAGAATGAAAGGTTGCCCACTAAACAGGGACCCTATTGAACAATGTGTGGTGGTTTTATTGCTCAGGTACCAACATTGCCGTGGCGTCAGAAGAAGCTCAGTGGGAAGCCCCCAAGAGCCCCGAAACTCCCTGGAACCCTCTGGACGCCCCGAATGAGTCTATTTGGGCCTTTCGAACCCGTAGCTTTCAGCTGTTTACCCAAGGAAAACTCCCTGGAGCCCTCTGGACGCCCCGAAGGATTGTCCTCCAAATTTTGTCAGCCATTGCTTCGCTGGGGCGGAACTGTCGGGTTGCCAGGGGTCGTCACAAAATCCCAGGCGCCCGGCTCAGGTCTGTTTCATCCACGGGGGCGTGCCGCGGGGAGCCACGGTGCGAGCCCACACGGAGGTAGATGCCATTGCGATCCCACCCAGCGCGGCGCCGCCGCGGTTTTGATCTGTTTGGATTCTTGGCGGTTCCCGGCCCTCCTGCTCCTGAGGTTCTTAGGTTTGCAGTTGGTTTAGTGGTAGCTCGGTAGTTTCCACACCACTAGAAGTTAAGCTTTGAGCAGGGGATCTGAAAACGGACAGCCCAGAATTGGTTGGGGATTTGAGCCACTTGTTGAGGACCAAACCCAACAAAAAAGGACACCCAAAGATCTGGTTTGCGGCAAGAACATCAGGGGCCGCCCAAGTGTGGTCTTCGGTCTTCTTTAAAGGTTTCCCTTTTCCGCCAAAAGGGTTGCTCCCCCCCAACAAAAACCGGGCACGACACCACGTGGCCAGGTGATTCTGCAGGCCTTGGCGCTCTTCCCAGGAATCACTGGCAGTCCCTCGTCCGAGGGGTGGGGCTTTGGCGCCCACAAACCCTGGGTTAGGGCTTGCCCTGATTTCGTGGTTAAGCGTTCCAAGTCATTTCGGGGTTAGAAGCATGTCTCCTTTGGCGCCCGTTTTGGTTGTCTTTTTTCACTGAACGTTGGCCCGAAACTGCGGGCAACCCAGATCCCCTTCTGGGATTGGTTTGGTTTTTGTCAAGGGGGTTCACGAGGCTTGCCCCTGGAGCCAAGTCGTGTGGAAAAAACAGCGTGGCAAGCTCAAGACGGGCTGATCGGATTGTGGGCGGTTCAGGTTTCCAAAAATGGGGTTGTGCATGAATGAAAAGCAAAACTCGGCAAATGGGGGCTGATCAAAAGGTCCCTTACATGGGGTGGGGCTCCTTTTTTCCTTTTTTTTTTGCCCTCCACGCTGGTTTATTGAACCTCCTTTTTTTTCAACCCTTAAACCCTGCTTGGGAACCGTCTGCAGGAACCTTGTTTGTCTAACCCTGAGAAATCCATTCTTTTTAACCCTTCACCTTGTTTTTGTTCACCCTCCGCCTTGTTTTTTCACTACAGGCCTTGTTTTTTTTCACTGCTTTTTTCACGCACCAACCTTGTTTCTCACCCTCGGCCCGGGTTAAACCTACCTACACCAAGCCTAAGCCGATCAAACACCCACCCTAAACCCAACCTGAAACCTTAGCCCAACCCGACCAACCCTAGGCCCGCTCTAAGCCAAACCTTGCCAACCCGCAACAATCAATCTTAAGCCGGCCAAACACGCCCAAACCAACCCCCAAACCCACCCTAAGCCAACCACCAACCAACCCTCAATCACGCTAAACGAGCCCTAAGCACACCATAAACATCTCTTATCCATCCCTAACCACCCCAAGCCAAGTCACCCTAAACCCTAAACCCTACACCAACCCTACAACGCCCGCCCTACACCCACCACAGACCTACTCGAAACCACCCTAAACAACCCTAAATCAAACAAACTAAACCAACCCTAAACCAACACCAAGCCAACCCCAACCCCACCCCAACCCCACCCCAAACCCACCCTACACAAGCTCTGAACTCACCCTAACCTTGATCCAACCGTAATCCCACCCCACACCTTGAGCCGAGCCTAAGCCAGCAATAAACCCACCCTTAACCCACCTAAACCCTAAGCCCACGCTAATCTAGCCTTAATCCAACCCTAAGCCCATGCTAAACCAACACAAAACCGACCCTGAACACAACCCTCAACCCTAAACCGACCCTAAGCCAACCCTAACCAAATCCTAAACCTCTCCGTAGACCCACTCTAAACCCAGCATTCACCAATCCCGAACCACCCCGAAAACCAACCTTCAACTCAAGCCCACCAAAACACAAACAGACAAACACACAAACACACAAACGCACAAACACACAAACACAAACACACACACAAAAAACACAAACACACAAGCACACAAACACACAAACACACAAACACGCAAACACACAAACACACAAGCACACAAACACGCAAACACACAAACACACAAACACACAAACACACAAACACACACAAACACACACAAACACACACAAACACACAAACACACAAACGCACAAACTCACAAACACACAAACACACACACACAAACACACACAAACACACAAACACACACACACACAAACACAGAAACACACAAACACACAAACACACAAACACACAAACACACAAACACACAAACACAGACACACAGACACACAAACACACAAGCACACAAGCACACAAACACACAAACACACAAACACACAACCACACAAACACAGACACACAGACACACAGACACACAGACACACAAACACACAAGCACACAAGCACACAAACACACAAACACACAAACACACAACCACACAAACACACAAACACACAAACACACAAACACAAACACACAAACACACACAACACACAACACACAAACACACAAACACCACACACACAAACATACAAACATACAAACATACAAACACACAAACACAAAAACACAAACACAAAAACACAAAAACACAAACACAAAAACACAAACACCCTAAACCAACCTTGCCCCCGCCCTGAACCCACCTAGCCCTAGATCCAACCTAAACTCACCCTAAACCCGCTGCACCCACCCTAAACCCAACCCAAACCAACACCAACCCTCCACTCCATACCAACCTTAAACTGACCATAAGCCCACCCTGTACCAACCATGACCCCCCTAATCCAACTCTAAACCCACCCTGAGACTCTACGCTAAGCTTGACCCAACCCTAAATCCAGCCAAAGCCAACCCAAAGGCAACCGTAAAACCAATCCACGTCCAAGCCTAAACCAACCCCAAACCCCACCGAAAGCATCCCAGACCAACCCTAAACCACCTACATCCAACCCAAAACAAACGAACAACATGCCCTTAACAAACCCAAGCCCACCTGAAATCAAGCCACCCCAAATCAACCCTAAGCCGCCCTTAAGCGACCCCAAGCCACCCCTAGCGCAACCCCAACGCCACCCTAGACAAAGCGCAAACCCGCCCTAAACCAACCCTACACAAACCCTAGAGCCGCCACAGACCTACTCTAGACCACCTAAATCAAACAGAAGCCCACCGCACCCTAACCCCAGCGTACATCAACCCTAAACCTGCTCTAAATCAACCTAATCCAACCCTATACCCGAAGCCGACCCCAAACTCACCCTAAACACACCTCAAACAGATTCTAAGCCAACACTAAATCTACCCTAAATCCACCCTGAAGCCTTTCGACACAAGCCCTAATCCCACCCTAAACTAACACTGTGTTAATCCCACCCCAACCCTGACCTCACCCTAAACCCATTCTAAACCCACCCTGAACCAACCCTGAATCCACCCTTAACCAACCCTGAACCAATCATAAACCCACAGTAGACCCATTCTTCCTCAGCCCTAGCCAACCCTAAACCAAAGCCAAGGGAAACCAACCAAGCCACAAACCCACCCTCCAGCTTTGAACCCGCCCTATACCCAGCACAGACCTACTCTAAACCAACCTTACACTTAAACCGACCACAAGCTTACCCTTCCCATCCCAAACCAACCCTAAACCCACCCTCAACAAATCTTACTCCGCCACTAACCCTTCCTACGCGAACCCCAATCCCACCCTAAACTAGCCTTAAATCCAACCCTAAACCCAACCTAAACCAGCACAAAACTGACCCTAAACAAACCCACCGACCCAAGATCAAATCTAGGTCAACCTTAAGCCCAGCCTGAACAAACCCAAACCAACCTGGAGACCAACTGTAAACCCACCCTTCCCATCCGAAACCAACCCCAAACCCACCTAATCCCGCCCTGAACCCACCCTAAACCAACCCTGAATCCAAAACCACCCCTAAACCAACCCAATCCTAAACTTACCGCAGGCTTCGGCAAGAGGGCTGACAAGGAATAGATGGAGGGTTAAAAGGAAAAGGTGGAGGGTCGGAAAGAAAGGAGGGAGGGTTAAAAAAGAAGGGGGGAGGGTTAAAAACAGACGCGGGGAGGGTTAAATAGAAAGGGTGAAGGGTTGAATAAAACAGGGAAGGGTTGAAAAAAGGGTTTGGAGGGTGAAAAAAAAGGTTCCCCCATACATTGATCATTAGGGACACCACAAAAATATGACTTTCACCACATGGGACAGTTCCCCATGGTTATTTTGGCGGCGAACGGAATATTCACCAACCCCCAAACCTGGATGACATTGCAAGTTGTTTTATTTATTCATTTATTTATTTATTTATTTATTTATTTATTTGTTTATGAAAGTTCCACGGCGGGGCAGTTCTTCTCATAGCGCATCTTGATGGCACGAAGTTTGGATCTGTCGCCGGGGGCTTGAGAAGCGGAGCGACAACGAATCTCTCCGACAGCCTTGAAGCGAGGCATCCGCAAAGAACCATAGATGTCCTTTTTTGGTTTCAAAGGTGTAAATAGGGGAGAAACCAGGAAAGGTGCCTTTGAAACCAATCTAAAAAGGTGTCTCTAGTTTCAAAGGTGCCTTTCAAAGGTGTCCGCAAAGAACAAATAATGGTTTTTTGATACTTTCAAAGTGGTGCAGGATTTCGTCCATCCACAGTAGGTGTCCTCTTTTGGTTTGGTTTTGCTCGAACAATGTTCGGGCGATTCCTGGTCTACCTGGTGGTCTAATCATCTACCAGGGAAACCCATCTATTTCCCCCAAAAAGGACACGCATGGAAAGAACCATAATTTTTTCAGACTCCTTCGAACCTTTTCGTGGTTTCGAGCCGAATCGGTTGTTTGGTGGTTGGTGGTTTGGCCGAATCCCGTTACAAGAGCCAGAGGTTCAACTCCAAGCCCATTCAAGGGAACCTGAGATGATTTCCCTTTGAGCCCAAGACAAGCCAAACACCGCCCCAACCTGGGAATCTCTGGCCTCATGGATTACCAATTAAGGGTTGCCTCAGGTTTTCCCCGAACAAACTCTTTGAGCCCACGGGAAATACAAGCAAAACAAAACACGCGCCGGTCGAAGCATTGCCGAGGCTTCATGGGCCGCTTGAGGGAGATCGTAATGCAGCTGCAGGGCAGTCTGCCGCGGCCGGCGCAGGCCCTGAAGGTGCGCCCGAGTTTCTGCTTCACGTTCGAAGGCAGCGAGTCGGCCTCGAGCCATGTGGATGGTTCCTAGAGCTTTTTTCCATATAAGCAAAAACCGTTACCCATAGGCCTCGGGTGCTGCGGGGGAAAGAATGGGACTGCAAAACTGTGCGTGTGCTGATCCCGTTCTTGGCCTTCATGGCCAAACAATGAATAGTCACTTCTGCATAATTTGGCACTACACCCATGGAACTATTTTCGCACTTGACTCTTACATGCCCAGCCGGCCTGCTCAGGAATCCCCACAAATCATGGTTTGTGGTGTTAGTTTGCCTTTCCAGGAAGATGAAAAGGGTACCTCAAGAACACATTGTCACATTTCCGTCTTCCTAAGCCAGAACCCTGATACGGAGGAGCTGCAAGGGTCTCTTTTCCCCGGATTTGTGTCCGCTGGCTGTGGCCCCCTTTTAGGTTTGACATAAGGGCAAACCAAGAGGGAAACCACCGTTCAGCCAACAATTACAGTATTCGACGGCTCATTCCGGAGCCAGAACAAAGGGAAAGATCCGCTATCCTGAAAACCCTGGAGGAAGATACCCTTTAGTGGCTTTTCAGTGGTCGTATATCCCATTTATTTTTTGGGACATATACCGTATACCTTTTGGTTTTATTATGTGGTTTATCAAAATCAAAACCACAGGGGGTGTTTCTTTTTTTCCCGTGGCGTGCCGTCAGGGGGTTCGGAGCGGCCAGGGCATGCAGATCTTCGCCTCCTGCGACCTGGCCTTTCTGCGGGCTGTGGCCAGCGTCTCGGAGCGCAAGGCGCGGAGAGTCGGAGAGAGAGAGAGGGAGAGGGAGACAGTTGTTGGAGCAAGTTTTGTTTGTTTGTTGGTTCTCTTCATTTTTTAGGGAGGCGGTTGGCTGGGAAAACCAAGGAGGGTTGGAGACCAAATCATTTCCCGGGATGGAATTCGTCACCCAAAGGGTTGCCACTGGAGTTTCCTCTTGAGTGGAAGGGAACATATCGGAAGCTAGTGGAAGTTACCTTCAGAGAACGACCCTCACCTGGGTTTGTTGGGGGGGGGGGGGGGCGGGTGCGGTGGATTGTTTGGTGTGGTTTGCCTTTCAAGCAAGGCCATCCTTCATTTGGCGCACGTGTGTGCGTTGTCAGGTGTTTTTCGCAGGCGACGCCTGCCGCGAGGACTGCCCTCGGGTCTTATGGTCAGAGCCGTTGCACTTCATTTTGACGCGGGACTAAAGAGGGTGTGCGTCAAAATAGAACCCCCCCCCAGCACAGTTGTTTTCCGTTTGGTTTCCTTAGAGGCCAATCTGAAAAGGGCACCCTCAAAAATACAGAAAGGGACCCACCTAATTTTGCTGCATTCTGGCCAAAACCGAGGAAAAAAAGGATTCTGGGACAATGTGCTGGTATCATGCAAACAGTTCTCCACCTTACCCCCCCTTGCAGATGTCAGGCTCCTGTCCAAAAACCGAAAAAAAAAAAAAAAAAAAAAAAAAAAAAAAAAAATCGAGAAATCGAAAGGCTTTGTCCAAAACCAAAAAAAACCTCGAGAAATCGAAAAAAAAACCCAACAAAACCAAAGATTCTGGGACAATGTGCTGGTATCATGTAAACATTCTGTTGGCCAGATTGTTTTTTTTTTTTTTTTCCTTTTTTTTTTCCCCGATTTCTCGAGGTTTCTTTCGGTTTTGGAAAAAATCTTTCGATTTCTCGATGTTTTTTTTTGATTTTGGATGGTTTCTTTCGAATTCTCAATGTTTTTTTGATTTTGGACACCTTCTTTTGATTTCTCGATGTTTCTAAGGCTGCCTGCAGCAAAAGCTTCAACACAGGACAGCTTTGCAAGGAAGAGCTTAGAAGGTTTTCAAACACCAAACAACAAGAAAACCAAAGGTGTGGCCAGCCCGACAACACAGCTTCAGGTGACAGCAAGCCCGACAGAGTCCTTAGCTTCCAGCCAGCTTGCACCCAGCCCCAGCCCAGCTAGCTTAGAGAAGAAACAGTTCAGCGTAAAGAAGTTTTTTGGAACACCAGAGCAGCAAGCCAAGGAGATAGAGCCTGTGCTATCTAACAGGGTAGTTCCATACCAGAGGCAGCAGCAGAGCAAGCTGCAGAAAGAAGCTGCACTAGTGAAGTCAGCTTACCTCCAGAAGCTAGCAGAGCTGGAGAAAGAAGACCCAGAAGAAGCTGTAACAGGCAGACAAGGTGGCAGGCCTCCAGTTCTGGAAGAGCGTAGAGGAACTGCAGGTGGGCAGTTAAGCAACAGGAAGAAGGAGACAGATCCTTCCAGGAAGCAAGAGCTTTTTGCCTTTCAGAAGATGAAGCTTAGTGAAGAGATTCAAATGATTCTGGAAGAGTCTCAGCCTCAGAAGCAGAAGCTTGGGCAGTTGCAAGGAGAAAGTTCAAGATGAGCACACAGAGGCTGGAAGATTGCAGAAGAGGTTTGCCAGAGCAGCTAGTGGAGGGAGAAAGAGTTTAGCAGAGAGATCTCTCAACTTGGCAAGTGGTTGCAGAAAGAAAGGAGTTCTAGCCACAACGTTTCAAAGAATGAGCTGCTGAAAGAGTTCTTTGCCCTTCTGGTTGCAAGGGCAGAGAGATGCATGGTCAGGGCAGAGCTTTGCAGAAATGAGATGCAAAGGAAAGCTTGGCTGAAAGAAGCTGACTGTGCCCTGCAGAGAAAGACCAAGCTCCAGCAGAGCTCAAAGTATGCAGCTTCTTATGTAGAGAAGCCGATCCAATGGCTAGGTGCAGCTTACTTGAGCAAAGATCAGACTACTCGCCTGGCACCAGTAGAAGAACAGGCGCGGGCCCAGCTCACCTTCCAGGATATTGACAGAAAGCTCTGGCATCTAGGCGCTTGTTCCAGTTGCTGAGATTGAAGATGCACATTTGGTTGCAGATGCAGAGATGATAGTTAAGAAACGATCCTCACTGCTAGTCGGCACGAGTGATCAAGTCCCATTTTGGGCCAAAGATCCAAGCAAGAAGTTGGTCTTCTCTGCAGATGAGCTCAAAGGTGCCAGTTGGGACGACAGAAAGAGGTGGACTGAGATCAGGTAGGAGCTGAAAGCTGCTTAAGTTCAGGCAGCTGAAGAAGGTTACCAGCTTGTCAGTTGGGCAGATGTAGGAGCAGGGCCTCTCAAAGTTGCAGGTAATAAGGTGATGACAGGACAAAGTTCAGATGAAAAGTTTCGTTTAACATACGAAGCTTGCCAGAAGATTTACAACATAGGAGCTCCAGCAGGAACAGCTCTGCAAGGCGACTACTGCGGCGCAAGGTCGGCATAGGTAGCCATCCACGATCTCCTTGAGATCCTCGTAGGTCATGTCTTCTGCTGCAAGTGCCATCTTAGCCCAGAGTGGAGGGTGGGACGACTCAGTGCAGGATGCAGATGGATGAGATGCTTTCTAGCTGGCCAAAGTTGCAGCGCAGATCGCGGTCAGAGGATATATACACACATAACTGCACACAACTCCCCAATTCGGAAAAACACTCGTTTCACATGGAAAATGCCCACGCTGAGGGGGTCCCCCTCTCCAGAAATACACGAACGCGCGCATGCACGCACGCACGGCAAGCGCGGCACGCACCGCACGCATGGCAGGCGCGGCAGGCACGCACGCCCTGCGCGGCAACGCACACAAATGCACAACCCCACGCGCACGCACACGCGCACGTCCACGCACACGCGCGCGCCCACGCCCACGCCCACGCACACGCACACGAACACGCACACGGACACAGACACATGCACACACACAGACACAGACACACAGACACAGACACACAGACACACGCACAGACGCACAGACACGCACAGAGACGGACAGACACACACAGACACACAGACACACACACACACACAAACACACAGACGCGCACAGACACACACACACAGAGACGCACAGACACACACACAGAGACACACAGAGACATGCAGAGACACACAGAGACACGCAGAGATACACAGAGACACACACACACGGACACACACAGACACACACAGACACACACACACAGATACACACAGACACACACACAAACACAAACACAAGCACAAACACAAACACAAACACACAAACACACAAACACACAAACACACAAACACACAAACGCACAAACACACAAACACAAACACACAAACACACAACCACACAAACACGCAAACACACAAACACACAAACACACAAACACACAAACACACAAACACACACAAACACACAAACACACAAACACACAAACACACAAACACACAAACACACAAACACACAAACACACAAACACACAAACACACAAACACACAAACACACAAACAAAAACACACAAACACACAAACACACAAACACACAAACACACAAACACACAAACACACAAACACACAAACACACAAACACACAAACACACAAACACACAAACACACAAACACACAAACACACAAACACACAAACACACAAACACACAAACACACAAACACACAAACACACAAACACACAAACACACAAACACACAAACCCACAAACGCACAACCACACAAACACACAAACACACAAACACACAAACACACAAACACACAAACACAAAAACACAAACACAAAAACGCAAACACACAAGCACAAACACAAAAACACGAACACGAACACGAACACAAAAACACAAACACGAACACGAACACGAACACGAACACGAACACGAACACTAACACGAACACGAACACGATCACGAACACGAACACGAACACGACCACGACCACGAACACGAACGCGAACCCGAACACGAACACGAACACGAACACGAACACGAACACGAACACGAACACAAACACAAGCACAAACACAAACACAAACACAAACACAAACACAAAAAAACACAGCACACAAACACAAACACAAACACAAACACAAACACAAACACAAGCACAAACACAAACACAAACACAAACACAAACACAAACACAAGCACACAAACACAAACACAAACACAAGCACAAAAGCACAAACACAAAAACACAAACACAAACACAAACACACACACACAAACACACAAACACACAAACACAAAAACACACACACACCACACACACACAGACGCAGAGATGCAGAGACGCAGAGACGCAGAGACGCAGAGACGCAGAGACGCACACAAAAACAAACACACACACAAACATTAAAAAAACAAAACAAACAAAAACAGTCGGACATACAAGCACGCAGACACACAAACACAGAAACACGCAAACACGCAAACACACACAAGCAGCACACCCACACACACAATCACACACACACACGCACGCGCATAAACACATAGACGCACAAACGCAAGCACAAACAAGCACGACACACACCCTCCCACCCACCCACCCACCCACCCACCCACCCACCCACCCACGCACGCACGCACGCACGCACGCACGCACGCCCGCCCGCCCGCGCGCCCGCATGCCCGCACGCGCGCGCACTAACGCACGCACGCACGCACGCACTCACCCACCCACCCACACACACACACACACGCTCACAGACACAAACACAAAAGCACAAACACAAACACGACAAAGCACACAGCCACACAACCACACAAGCACACAAGCACACAAACGCGCACAGACACACACACACAAACAAACTCACAAGAATCCCAGGGTGATTTTCATCAGCGGGCGTCCGATTTCAGAGAGAATATCCCGTCACTTTTGCGGGAACAACCCTGCATCCATGCGTGAGGTTGACTTTTTGCGGGGTCAACAGCGGGTGAGTTCGACAGGAGGGAGTGATGGATGATACGCTCCGAGTGATAGAGTTTGGCAGATGCCGCGTGGAGCGCCGAGTCAAGGGACGCCTGGCAAGGCGATAGCTCGGAAGTTCTGGTCCTTGGGGAACCTGGCCGATATCAGATGGGTATGTTTTGTGGGGAATCCCCAAATGGTGGTTGTCCTTTTGGTTTCCCTTTAACGCCACCAAAAAGGGGTACCCTGAAAATGGACATCCTCAACTCACAGAAGCACATTTGCTCCGTCACATACCGAATGGGACTGCCACGGTTGGCTCTAGATGTTTATGGACAAATGTTGGTTCTGGTGTCACTTTCCGTGAGTGGCCAAAACAATCCCCAAAATAAGGTGATCAACCAGTCATGGTTGGATGGGAATCAGCCACTCACAGATTTCGGGCAAAACTTCCCAACGTTTCCCGGTATTGCAGATTTGGGATTGTTTACTATGTTGGGACCCCAAAATGACTGGTGCCGCCTTGGTTTCCCTTTAATGCCTTCGCCAACGGGTATCCCCCCCCGTTGCTGAGGAAGCGGGGTGCAGCACTGCGGCTTCTGCGATGTGGGTACCGTGTTGGGTGAGCGCAGGCCAGTTTGCGGTGTTCAAATGGCCATGGGTCAAAATCCAAATCGTACCCCCAGTGAACATCCCAATCCCCACTAAAATAGGTTCTAAAATGGGTGGTGCACCTACCTTAGAATGGTACCATTGGTTTTGACCCACCGCCAAATGGGTTTGCCCATAAGTTAAGACACCCAACTGAGCAACGGTCAATCTTTGCCTCCGCAGCGAGCGCTCGATACGGGGGTGAAACGAGCGAGAACCATGATGTCTTTGCTTGGGGAGATCTTATTGCAAGAAACTGGTTTCGTAGTAGGATGCGCATAGTATTCTCAAATTCACTGCCATCTTCTGTAATTGCAGGGGGTGATGTTTAGAACATTTTGCCACTAGTAAATGGAGCTTGCTCGTCCTGTTCTTGCTTGGGAAGTAGTTAAAGCAATCACCCCAACCCCACTTAAGTAACCATAATCATGATCCAGGTAACTAGGTTGAACATCTAAGCCGTTTCTCTTTTGTTGGCCCTGCAAATGGGGAGATTTTGGATGGCCCCCACCAGTTTCAAAGCTGATTTCTATTTTCCGCAGGGGAAAGCTGAGCTGAGTCACGTGCTCAAAACCCGGATAGATGAAGGTTAGTAAGGGGCTGTCCCAGCCAGAAGTAGTTGCGGGAATCCGCCGTCTCAATTATTTACATGCTTCTGGATAGACCATTTGAATACCGGGTTTTGATTGTGACGTGCACAGCCCGGCTCGGAGCGGTCAGGTTCTTCAACATGCCCTCCAAGTGGCCGGACGCCAGCTTTCGCATCGCCACGCCTCTGGCGCTGCTGCTCTTCATCCCCAGGCAGTCCTTCAACGGGGTCCTGGAGACTTGGTGAGAACTTGGGCGTGGCCTTTTTTTTGGGTTGCGGCTCGGTACCCGTTTAAAGGAGAGTTTAAAGGGAAAGCAAAAGGAGCAGCGTCATATTTCTGAGGTCCCCTATTTTGACACATACCACTTTACTGCCAAACTCACATTTTTTGCGCCTGTTCTTTTTCTGCTCGGATCCTTTGGACAACCAGCAGACAGATTTGAGAACGTTTTTCTAGGAGTTGATTCCCCATTCTTTTCAACCATCGTTCTTTCCAAAAACCGGCCGTTTTCCCTCAGTTTCCGGAGGTTTTCTAGAAAGAAGGATCCTGGAAAGAATAGACATGGAAGGTACCCCGAGAGTTTTGCAGGGCGCTCGCGACTAAGGAGAACTACCCCTCCGAGCAGCAGAGGTTTCGGCTGGTGAAGGCCTGCGATGGTTGCGGGTCCGGAAGTTCAATAAATCAGTGGATTGACCCACCGGAGCTGTGGTACTTCTAAATGTTTGCAGCTTTCTTGAGATCTAGGGCTACCCTTCCCACACTCAACTCACTTTTTTTTCTTCGCCCTTTGGTCTGTTTGGTTTTCCAGCACCTTCCCGGCCCTCCGAGCCTTACGACTCAGCGCTCAGCCCTCAGCGCGCACCTTCTCGACGAAACGGGGCGCCTTTGGGAGTGAAGCTCCCCGATCCCCGGCGCTCCGGAGGAGATGACGAAGACGGACCGGGGCAACGCCAAGCGGGAGCACGACGCCGCCAGCCTCTCCATCCTGCAGGGCTGCGGGCCTGGCTTCCTGCAGGCCATCGCAGGCGCGGTGAGCGCGGCGCGCAAGGGTCCAGGGTTCCTTGGGTGGGCTTTTTGGTTGGGTTTTGGGTTGGGTGAGTGGTTGGAACTTGGGCGGTGTTGAACGAAGTTTCCGGTTCCAGCAGGACGTCTTTGCTTTTTTTTTGTTTTTTTTTGGGGGGTTGTAGGTGTTTGTAGGTGGTTTAGTGGTTGGGTTTTATGTACATCACTGCAAGTTGAAGTTTTAGCAGGGGATCCGAGGGCAGCCTAGGTTTGTAGAGCTACACATGGAAGACGGAGGCTGAAGGTTAGCATGCCTTGCTGATCCTTGTAGGCTGCATACGAACGGTGACGTACAAGATCGGGCAGACCATCACCGTCCAGGGAGCAGTGGACTCTGGATCAATGTGATTTGGCCAAACATTCTTGCAGCTTCATGTTGTTTCCAGAAGCAGAACTGGTATCACTTCTTGGGAAACCGGAACAAATGGGTGTGCCTTATTGTTCCCCAAAACGGTTGGCTTCCTTTTGGTTTCCCATTAAAACCAACCAACAGCGGGTATTCGATCCGGGCTCGACATGAGAAGCCTTGTCGGTTGTGCACGTCCCAGCGCTCCTAGGTACATCATCAAGGGCGGCTCAGCGGAAGTCTTCGTGAATCACCGCTTCGTGAAGGAGGCTCGCGGCGGCAGATCTTGGTGTCCTTTCAGGGTACCGCCATGTTCGAGGTTCTCCCCATTTTGGGAGGAACCCTGTTGGGCAAAGTGCAGAGGTCGGTTGTTGTGCTGGTGCCATGCAAGAATCTGGTACATGGTATCACTGTGTCACTGTATCATCGCATCACTACCAATCTCTTCACTGCTCAAGGGCAATGAGTAGATGGTTTATCCCAGAGGATTCTTCCACAATCGCCACCCCTCCCCCCATGTTTCACCCTACAAAGTCCACACGTAAACGGGCAACATCAATAAAAACATGCCTTTGGAAGGTTAGTGTTTTAGATGCCAAGGTCACCGGTGTTGGAAGATGCTTCTGAGGCAACTCCGGACTGCTCATTCAGTGATCATCAGTGTATAGAGGGAAAGACGTGGTCATGTAGCGTGCAAGCGTGGCGTTCTTGGAGTGTGTACCGGTAATTCAGCGGCCACTCAGTCCAAGCACAAAAGACCAGGTCGCAAGTGGGACGCGCAAGAATGGCACACACGGGTACCCCCCAAAAGAAATGGTGGTTTTGCTTTTGGTCCCTTTACAACCATCCAAAGAGGTGTATATACCCTGAAAAATCACACCCATAGGATATGGCTACTAAAGAGGACCACGGTCAAGAGTGGCTGGTGGTTACCTGAGTCCCCACCGGCTTTTGATGTCCTCCAAAGGGTCCAAACAAGATATGCAACGATTAAACATATGAGTGTTTCGCAAAATGGTGGAGCCCCCTTTGGGTTGGTATTTACAGGGAAACCAAAGCAAACCAAGACTTTAGGGGGCCAATTCCTATGTTGAGGACCCCCTGTCTGTTTTCGAGGACAAGCAAAAGGAGAACCGAAGAGGAATCAGGTTTTGCAAGAACAGAGAACAAACGGGGTTTCATTTCACTCGGCCATCGTGTTTTAGGATGCTCAACCCAGAGGTTGTATCCATAGTTTGAGCTGGGTGACGTTGAGTTTGGTGTCCTTACCATGACTGTCTGCATAAGTTGTTTTGCACATCTCTCCAAGCTCTCTGCACAATGACCCCGTAGGGCCATTCGGAAAGGATCACAAGCTCCAAGCGGGGACTGCGGACAAAAGAGATACGAGGCAGTAAAACTTTACCAGCTTTCAGGGGTTGCATGGTGATTTTGTTCCTAGAGACCCTGGACCAAGAAAACCGTGTCAAGTGGGTCTTGAGCAGGCTTCCCCCATATGTTCCGTTTTGACCCGAAACCATCACCTTTTGGTTTGCCACTCGGTGAGTTTCCTCTCGGGGTGATGTGTTTTCCTTGAAATCTGGGGAGCCTTGAATGCTTCGTTGAGGCTACTCTTTCGGGCGACCACCTGAAAACCGCCTATTTTCCTTGGACAACCGCCTGAAATTCCACATGTGCTTGATCAATATTCCGTTCGGCCCCCGAACGACCATGGGTTTCTTTAAAAAGCAAATGCGGGAAGTATCATTTGTGGTGATTGTCCATGGTCATTCCATGTTCATCGAACCATTTGAACAATTCTCACATGAAAAGAGCGGCAGGTGCACTCGGGGGACAGCTTTGGTGAGCTCACCATCCTGGGCTTTGTGAAGCGCCGCTCCGCGGTGGTTCGCGCCAAGGAGAGGGTGTACGGTTGGTTGGGTGTCGTTTCTTGTTTGGTCGGAACCCCCCAATAAAAAGAAAAAAGAAAAAAACACAATACAATAAAGAAGAAGTGGTTTTTCCCCAAGAGCTGAAAGCTATGGGGCCTCTGCCCAGATAGGCTCGTTCGGGGTAGCTTTCGCGAAGGGTTCCGGAAAAGGGGTTCCGGAAGGGTTCTGGAAGGGTTCTACGGGGCTCCGGGGCTGTTGGGGATAGCACCCTTTTTTGGGGTTGAAGCCAGCCCGAACCCAACAAGCCAACCAATCCAACCAATCCAGCCAATCCAACCCAAACCGGGCTCACCTCACCATCCGAACATTGACGCAGGAGATTTGCATCGTGCTGGAGATGCCTCGCGCCGCCTTCATTGCCGCCTTAGAGGATCACCCGGAGGACGCCTCGGGGCGCGTTGAAGCCTCTGGAACTGATTCGAACCAGCCCGGCATTCCAAGGGTTCCAACTGCAGGAGGGACAATCCAAACTCGTAGCAGTAGGGTAGTAGGTTAGGGGACTGCCGCCAGAAAAGAAGATGCGGATCTCCACCCTTTTGATTCTTTGCAATTCATGGGGGGGGATGGGGTGACAGATGACGGGCTGTTCTTGGAGGCAGTTTTTGACGCCTCAATTTTTCATACCTCACATGTGTGATCGTCAAGAGTTTTGTTCGATCGCCAAGCTGCGTGCGACCCGGGAGCTTTGCAGCATGAGCCAGAAGTCGGGAAAAGCACGGGGTGCGTACGGAAGCACCACGCTCTCCAGCACCAGGACTTGCAAAGAAAATCCACTTCCAAGCAGTCACTGACATGTGCGCAATGGTGAACACTCCTTGGACTTTGGTGGTCGTGGTTCCCTCAAAACATATTTTCTGACTATGTACAACAAAGTGCTTTGACCTGAGGGTGCCCAGATTGTGTTTGGTTCCCTCAGTAATTCTTTTATGATTGTCGTCTCGCATTCTAGTGAAGGGCGACCAGCCGTACCGGCCACCAAGTAGGGTGTGATTCTGGTGATCCATCGCTGCCTTCTCGTCTTGGGGTTGAGAGGGACTGCTACGTGTTTTTCTTCTTTTTTCTTCTTCGTTTTTTGAGTTGGTACCTGCTTTGGGTGGTTAGAAAATGGAATGGGTCTTCAGGGGGAAATGGGCATGGTTGGGTTGGTACCTTTTTTGTGTGGTGTTTAAAAGGGAAACCAACAGAACGTCGTTGCCATTTTGGAGGTCCCAAATTTTGAGGGCTCACATTGCCCCCCCACCCCCCGCCCCCCCCCCAAAAAAATATATACACACCCACAACACTACCAGCTGCACAGGGTCTGTATGTGTTTTTTGAAGTGTCAAGGGATCCGGTTTCCCACAAAGGGTTGGATCGATGAGATGCATAGGCATAGGTACTTGAAAGGGCTTCTAGGAAGTGACGTTGTAAGCTTGCGCGGGTATGCTGCATGTTGGGTTCATAGACACGTAAGTTCGCGCACCCTACGCATCTGGCCGTCTTTAACGAGAATCTGTTTGTTTTCGCTAGTTGGTTTTACAGGGAATGCATCACTGTTGGATTGCTTTGACTTTTCAGGGGACTCAAGCAAATGGAGGGTGTACATTGGCAGAGGGAATGAGTTGGAATGACCCCGAACTGAACCAGTGCTGGCAGTTTATTCAAGGGATCCTTAGGTTCATTCCCAAAATCTTAGAATTCCTTAACCAGCAAGGTGTAGCTGTGAAAGCCATGATATCAACTTGTCTTTTGCGCTGAGTTCAAGTTCCGACACGCCCTGCCTGTCAAGCGTCTCTCCGACCAACCTCACCCCATGCTAATGTAGCTACTTTACATGAGGCATTGATGAAGACCTGCAAAGTAGTATGGGCTTGTTTCTGGGAGGGTACTTTCATGAAGGAACACCAAAGGACCATCCACCAGTTTAGGGCATGCCAAAAAGTATGTTGTTTCCCCAAAAACCGTTTTGGGGCGGTCTTAGGCAAACCAAAGGAAAGACGCAAAGAATGGTCCCTCCCGGCATTGGAACACACAAAAAGACCCCTCTTTGCTTTGAGTTTGAATAAGGTTCCACCTCACAAATGGTGGGGGAAACTCCAGGGAAACCTTAACTTGCCTGCTATTGGGCTGGATCTTTAGACTTTAACTTTTGGGAAAATAAAGGTGTTTTCCACTAACCCCCCCCCCCAAAAAAAAAAAGTCAAACTTTTTGCAGGGGGTCAAGAGCAAAAGTTAAAAACAAAAAAAACATTCCTGCATGCATATCCCCTCTGACAGGAGCAGGAGCACTTCCAGAAGATTGGGCGCCAGCACGGGGTGGTGGTCTCCAGCGCTTTGACCAGCACAGAGGTCGAAATGGGAAACCCCTACCACGGCAAAGAAGAGCATGTTTTTTTTCCCTCTTTCCCCCCCCCCCCCCGGTTTTCCGTTTGGTTTCCCTTACTCAGCCGAAGAAGAGTACCGGTAGCCTCAAAAAGCACAGAAGCTGGGGAAAAAGCACTTTTGCTGGTGAGGATGGCCCTTTCTTGTGGTGTTTAAGGGGGAACCAAAGGAAAATCGCCATTTGGGATCGCCTAAAAAGGACACACCCAAATCAAGCCGCAACGCCGATCTAAGACTCCTTTCACCTACCCCGAACCAGTCTATTCCACTGGGGCCCAGCTTTTATGGAATACGCGGCAAAAAGGGTCAAAGAAAAAGGACCCCAGGTTCATCGAAGGATTTTGGTTGAGGTACCCAGTGGCCGCTCTTCGAGGGTGCGTCACAGAAGCTGCTATCTCTGATCAACCTCTATGCAAGGACCTGGAGACGACTTGACCGTGCGGCGCGTTGCTTCTTTTTGCGGGCGGCGGCGGTGTTTTTTCTTCTTTTTCTTCTCTCTTTTTAGAGAGCCAGCGTGTGGTGCTTTAGCGGCCTCACGTTTTGTGTTCTTTCGCGCGTGAGAGCCAGCTGAAGTGTTCAACACGCGAACTTCTGAAAGGTGCGACGTCATTTTTTGTGCGACCCTTCGGCCGCGGGTAAGGTTTTCCGTTTGCCGAGGAATAATTAAGATTGTCCGCCATCCGTGAAGAGAGGACAGGCCATTGCGAGAAGTTCTCCGTGCCCTCGTCTTGACCAAACAAGCGGCCCGACCGATCGTTCCGGCCAGGAAGCACATCACGGCCAAAGGGCATTGGTCCACCTTCAACGGGGAGCAGCTGCCGGAGCAAGCTGCGATCCTGGTGTTGCGCGGCGAGCGCCCCGGATGTCGTTTAACTAGGTCCCACAGCTAGGTGCCCTTTCACCCTTTTCTGGGGGAGGGTTCTACCAAAATAGACTACAGAAAAAAAGGGCCTCTTTACTGGAGGACCTAGTTCTTTTTTTACCCCGGCATGGCCGAGAAGCCGGTCTCCCGTGCAAGTGAGCTCCGGGCTCAACGCTCATGTTGCCGTCACCCAAAACACTAGGATCTCCCTTGCAGGATCGCAACTACACACCCGTGCTTGAAAGCTCATATTGGCTTTCTTTCTTCCTCCCTCCTTAGTTTGCATGGGGGTATGTGTCGAGGCACGAGGTACTCGTTGAAAACGGTGGCTTTGCTTTTGGTTTCCCTTCAAACCATGCTGAAAAGGGTACCCTAAAAAAGACAGACACACACACACACACACACATGTACAGGTTGTTCTCGTACAGGTTGGACTGCCACTCTCTCACTCTCCCACTCTCCCACTCTCCCATTCTCCCTCCCCTTCCTTCCTTCCTTCCTTCCTTCCTTCCTTCCTTCCTTCCTTCCTTCCTTCCTTCCTTCCTTCCTTCCTTCCTTCCTTCCTTCCTTCCTTCCGTCCTTCCCCCTTTCCTCCTTGCCCATTTCATCCCCTTCCCCTCCTCCCCATACTCTTGCGTTTTCCACCCCTGACCTTACACACCTCCGTTTTCTTCCATCATCCATCCTCTTCGGTCCTCCTTTTCCGCTTCCATTGAAGTAACATCCGCAAACTTACCACCCAGGCTTTTACATTGTGTGTGTGTATGCGCGCTTTTGGTTTTTCTGGTGGGGTTTTCCACCGGCCTCACATGCAACCACGCGTTTTAGGACCAAATCCTATGGTGGGTGTTCCAACCTCGGTGTTTTCCCATAGCTTTTCCTTCAACCAGGTGAAAGAAGGCCTGCCAACTTTCTGGGATTTCTCGGGTTTACCGCTGGCAAACCAAAAGGGGGGGTGTTTTCCACCGGGTGGGCTTCACGCTGGCCAAGGGAACACCCCTACGGACCATGGTTAGTAGACAAACAGTTTAGACTTTTTGGTTGACCCCTTTTTCCTCAAGCGAACTGGCCATCCAAGTCAAGAAACTCCTCTCCATACGGGTGGGTCTTTCTTGTAGGCCCCGAAAACTATCGGGTTCCTTTTGGCTTCCCTTGAAGGACATATCAAGAAACCTCCTCTCCAAACCCGGATGGATATTTGGTGGAGGAAAAAGGCCATCCACGAGTTGAAGGTGCAGGTCCAAATCAAGAAACCTCCTCTCCAAATGGGTATGAGTCAAAATAAAACCACCAGGGGACCGCATGTTTTAGTCTTTGGTTCCATTTACCAGGGCAACCCATTTTGGGGTTACCCTATTTTGACCCACAGCCAAATAGAGTTTGAAGGACGAAGCCGCACCTTTCTTCCCCTGTTTTCCGTTTTCCGGATCTGCACGAAGCCTGTGAAGCCGCTCGCTATTCTCCGCGAGGATCCGCATGGTGACCCAAGACAAGGACCTGTTCCCCGGGTCACTTCCATTTGTTTAAGGGAATCGATTTCACTACTGGACATATTTTTATTTTTTCCAGGGGGCTTCAGCAAATGGAAGCTATTGTTCCAAGAGACTTCAGGCTCCCTTAATGGGTGGCTTGGATTTGTGTTTTTTTTGGATTTGGACTTGAACCCCGAGCTCTTGTGGAGGGCAAAAGGGAACACACACCAGAATACCTCCAAACCACCCGGCTCCAACCAACCAGTTAGAGAGACGCTGACATCTGGCTGAGTTTCAACTAGGGGACCCTTGGTTTCAACCTCTGGTCCACCCCTCAACTCGGGAACAACCCCCCCGACAAGTCGATGAATTTGCTGGTGGGTTCCACTGAAGCTGCCGCTTGAGGTCCTACAACGGGGAAATTGAGGGAACAACAGATCCAACCTGAAACTAGTGAAATGGAACCTGCAGAAAAGGTTGGATCCATTTGAGGGTGGTTGTTGGTTTCCCACTTTAGGTTGGGAGCATGGACGCCAAAAGGAAAGCTTGAACTCCAGCTTGGAGAAGCAAGAGAATTGATCAGCCAGCAACTTGTTCTCAACTTAGAGCAATGGAACCTACCAAACCAGCCTCCCATGTTAAGCCACACCCCAAAAAGTGGGACCTTTCCCCCTCCCCCAACCAAAGCATGGGGGAGAAAAGGCGTCCAGACGCACGGAGCGTCTGCGCATCGCCGCATCGCCGCATCGCCGTGCGTCTTCTGCGGGACGGCAGGAGCTGGTCTTTACGGAGGGCACGTGCTTCAACGAGCAGCTGCTCTTCGGGCTGCCGCCTCTGGAGGGGCGGCTGCACCCCCAGGGCAACTGCGAGGTGCAGATCATGCGCCGCGGCTTTCAGCGGCTTTCCGCGCGCGCCGGCTTTCCGCGCCGTGGTTTTTTCTTCCGTGCTTGGCCGGAGAGCAAAATGGGGCCGGTGCGTACAACGAGGCAACTCTGGCGCTTGGTTTTTGGGTTTTGGTTTTTAGGGAATCTATCTTTTGGGCTCTGCTCATTGGTTGAGACCCTTGAAAGGGACAAAGTAGTCACAGGGATGACCTATTTTGGTACCAGGGCTATTTCCCACATGCCTTGGCCCCAACCAAGCTCTCAATACTTAGGTAGATTCTACCTGGTTCAATTCGGGATCAAAGTGAAGACAAAACAAACCTTTAACATGTGGGTCCGACGTTTCCCTTGAGAAACGAAGAAGAAGAAGAAGAAGCAGAAGAAGAAGACGACGACGACGACGAAGAAGTCTGAAAGGAATGGCCCCAAATGATTTTCTTTTCTCTAAAGCTGGGCGACACGACATGTGTTTTTCGTGTTTTCCATTCGTTTCCCTAGCACCAAAACCGTGGGGCGACTTCTGACGCCAGCAAACCGAACACCGTCGGGAGGCCAGTTACCCGTGGCTTTGGGCCAAAGGGGCCACCTCAGATGGGTTCTGCCAGAACAGGGACCCGTATTGTTCCAGAAAATGGGGTCTTCGGCGATCCCCTCAGTTTCACAGAACCCTTCCGTGGCTGCTCTGGTCTCAGGACCGCAGAGATCTTCGACCGCGTGGTGGCGGAGCCTGAGCCGAAACCGAGTCGTGAGGAATACACCACGTTCTCCTTGGGGTGTCCTTCTTTTGGGGGAGAGGCCAGAAAAGAGCGCATTTTTTGTGGGCGCCCAATTTTGAAACACCAAGTTGCCGGATGTCCGCCCGGGAGCCTTGGTTTTTGGGTGGTGCTTCTTGCTCTTTTGAGGCGAGGGGTATAACGACCACATTTTCACTGTTTTGGGAGGTTCACATTTTGACTCAGACCCGAGTTACGCGGTGGTCTGACACGTGCTGAGTGATGCGGGTGAGAGAGAGAATCGATTTGGGCAACTTATTTACTCTTTCGCTCAGGGTGTGAGCCCCCCGGCTTTACATGAGGATTCCTTAGTTGGGTTTCTTTTTTGAGTTGGTACCTCTTTCTTATGGCCTTCAATCAAAGAAAACCAAGGGGAAAACAGCCATTCAAAAAAAAGGCACGCCCGTTTCAGGTTTGAGAAGCATCGATTGCCCAGATTGTTCACGCAAGGAATGCCCCAATGAGAGGGACTTCATTATGCAGCGCATTGTCAACGAGATCGCCCGGAAAGCTGAGCAAAGTATGGGATTCCAGCGAGGCCCGGTGCTGGAAAAGCATGGACTTGGGCAGAACCAGTTCTGGCAATCAACATGGGTACTTCGGCGACTCACTCAGGGCTCCTGCATTTCATTTCCCTTGGAAGTCTTCCAAAACCGGCAGTTTCAAGGGACACCACGGACCTTGGAAGCGGCCAACAGGCTGGTTTTGGGCTTCGTACAGGGATGAGAGACCTCGGCTGACAGGTGATCCCGGTGGGGCCCTGGTGCTCTCCACCGTGATCCAAGTCGCTCGGTAGCAACTGGCCATGGCTCAGTCGGCCAGCACTTCAAGTCCTTCGAGTCTCAGACCCAGCGATTCCACATTTTTTCCCCCAACAGCCAGTGGGAAGCAGCTATGGGGTCGTCCTCAGGGAGGGCGGGGTTCAAAGGGAGGTTCGGTTGTGGGTTGCAAGGGGTTCCGGCTGTTATGGTGTTGCCGGAACGCGCCACTTTGAAGAGGGGTATGGGTCAAAATTAAACCAGAGGACCGCATGTAGTCCTTGGTTCCATTTACCAGGGCAACCCATTCTGGGTTTACCCTATTTTTCACAACAACAACAACCATAATATGAAATCACACGGGCTCTCTTGTTTCGGGGTCACTCCCGACTCATAGATATCATGGTGAACAATGCTTTTTGTTAGCCTTGTATGAGTCACCCACAGGTGTTACGCGGGGGTTTGGGGGGTTCAGGGAGGGGGATGGGGGGGGGGATGGGCGGTCGTTGGGATGGGTTTGGAGGTTTTGGAATGGCCGGGGGGATTGTGCGTTCGGATCAGTGGTAGCCGCGACTTGTGGGGTTTCCGATTTTCTCTGGAAACCAAGCCATCAGATGCCCCTTGAATAGTGTTTTCGGGGGGCCTCCCCGGTCCTTGAGCCCTTGCCGCGTGACACCCCGTGACACCCCGCGACCACGGGGCCAAGGTTGCCGCCGACGATTTTGCCGACAACCTGCGGAAGCGCATCGATGCGCGCATCTACGAGCCCGGACAGGTGGTCACAGAGACTTGGGCTCGACTCTCTTTTTGAGGGAAAGGCTGGTTGGTTTCAAGGGAAACTAAGAGGAACACTGAAGCCATGGTTGGTTCCCCCCAAAAAAGGGCACACCCACTGGCTGGACTCCACTGGACTCCACAGGACTCAACCAAGAAAGCAACAGACCTTCAACTTGTGCCATGAGATTTATGCTGTACTGCTGCTTGAAGGTGTAGTTTGAACATAGATGGATTCCACTGGGTTTCAGTTGTTTTGATTTGTTCATGGAGGGTTTTTGGAGGCCTCTATAAACGTCTTCACCATGTAGCACGAATGACAATGCGGTTTTGGTCGCGGTGGCTATGCAGCATTTTTAGAGAGCCACCTGAATAAATTGGGTTGGTGGACATGAATCCCCGGTTCAGATGCCCCAAGATTCACACCGAATGGATTCTCTCAGAAAGCGGCAAGCTGAACTGAGGAAGCCGGCGAAGACGGTGACTGCATGCCGCTCGCTCTATCTCTCTGAAAGGGGATGTCGATCGATTCGAGTTGCGCGAATCCAAGAATCGGTGCAAAGTTGGGGGGTGCCTGTTTGTGGAGGGTACAGGTTGTTTTGAAGGGAAGTCACAGGGAAACCAAAGGCCATTTTTGCGGGCCCACCATCATCTACTAGTCTACTGCAAGGTAGATGGCATCCACTACGACTACCTGGAAGATGAATTCCTGTTGTAGGGAATCTTTTTCAGGTGCCATGTTAGTGGGAGTGAGGGTACCTTAATACGACAGATCCACTTCTTTGTTTAACGTTACCCAAAGCGAATCGACCTGAAATGACCTTTTGTTTATTCCTTTTTGGCCACCATTTTTAGTGATCACCTTTCATTTCCAGGTCCTTTGGGCAACTGAGTTATCGCAAAACATGCGGTGCCAAAATGAACAGTTTTCGAGTCACCTGTTCTTTCCAATCCTTTGACCGCCACAAATCCGGCCCCCGAAATTCCGAGAAAACCACCGACACAATTCGAGGACTCTTTGTGGGTGTGGGTTTCCCCGCCGTTTTCGCTCCAAAAACAGCTGGACATGTGTTTCCTTTTTTTCTTCGCAAACTGCAGCGCCAGAAGTGAACAATCCCGAGGTATGTCCTGGTGGAGGGGGAGGCGGAGAACGAGGGGGACGGGCTCTGCCACGGCAAGCCCCTGCCCCTCAAGGCAGGCAGCGTCTTCGGAGCGCCTCGCACCGATTCACCGACCGACAAGAAGAAGACGTCGGGTGGATGCCGGAAGGCGGGTAGGGAGGTGCGTCCGTTTTTGTTTCATGTTTTTTTTTGGGTTTCCTTGGCAGGTCCCAGCGAGTTGCGTCTGGATCCTTTGGGATTGTTTAAATTGGTTTTGAGTGGGTTTGGTGGTTGGGAAATCATATTTGACCGAGAAGTTTTCGACTTTTGGCAGGGGATCTTAAAACACTGGCAGCCCATATTCCAGGGCAGCCGACCCAAAGCAACTTGACCTTTTCACCTTTCAGTTTGCCCTTGTTGTTGGAAACTATTTTTAGTGGCCTCGGAAGGTGAACCCTTTATTTCTGGGTCCCTTGGGCAACTGAGCCCTTTTGGCTGGTTTTGAAGGGAGACCAAAAGGAACCCAGCCATTGTTGGGCGTCCTCCATTTTCAATAAGATGCATTTGCTCGGCCCAGACCACTTTGAGTTCTTTTTTTAATACAATAATTGCAACCTATGTGCGCCTATGTCAACATGGTAGCTTTGGTTACTGCATAGAGTATGTCCCAAATTGACTACGAGCTACTGTTCTTTCGACGGAACCTCATTTGCGTGCTCACGTTTGCCTTGTTTTTGTCCCGGTTACCTGGACATGCGGCAGCGCGCGCCGTGCCAAGGAATCAGTCTTGCTCGGTGTTGCGCGTGACTTGACTTGAATGGCAAGGCTAGGAGTCATTCCCCCAAAGTTCAACCCCAATACAATAATGGTCGACCAAATTCGGATGATAAAGCTGCTGTACGGTAAACCATGGTGGTTATGTGAGCCCCCATTGTTCTGGCGGCTTGAATCCCAATTCCTTGTTTAGCCCCAATTCAACCAAGCCGGGTTGTTTCGGGGTCAAACGAATGGAAATGAATTCAAACTTGGGCTTGGACTGCCTTTTGGTTTCCCTACCACCTCAAAAACACGGCAGGGCGCAGGTCCCAAATGCTTCTGGCCCAGGTACCTATCCCAACCGCACCAGGGCAACGAGTCGTTGTATCGCCTTGGCCCTCACACAGCAAGTCTTCCAGGAGGCGCGGATCTCGGATCGATTTGACCCGGGAGACGAGTCGGGCTATGACCCACAAGGCCCCTTGAGTGGGGTTGACGGTGAACCTTGTTAGGGTTTGCCAGGTGGCTGACCACTTACGCCCCAACACTTCGAAAGTAAATGAGCAACAAATTTTCTCACAAAGGAAACTTAAATTCCAAAAATTCAGAATGAAGTGTCTCAAAAGCAAGATATGTTACGAAATTTTGATTTTCCGACTGAAGTTACCATCGATAGATTGTTTAACTCTTATATTTCCTGTTTTTTGAAAAACAAAAACACAAAACTCGCCAAAGTTACCTTTAAGGGGGAGGAGAGTGCAAAGAGCAACCTTCATTTCTAAAGAATCTCCTTTTGGTGGACCCCTATTTTTTTTGGGCAAAAACGTGATGCAGCGGAGTCTTGTCTTTTGTTGACGCACCAAGCCGCACGCTCGAAAAAATGGTCGGCGATTTGATTTGAGGTGCTGGAGGAGTTCCCCTCGCACGTGGAGCTGCCACTCGGTTTGCCGCTGGCCGGTCTGTTGCTTTTGAAAGGGATAGTCTCAGACAGCACCACGTGTTCTAGCTTTCAATCACCTCAAACAGTCCGAAAAGAAGGCATATCTGAAAGAACAAAGCACATTTTTTGTTTGGAGCTCCTTTTCTGCCAGATTCTGCCAGATTCTGCCACTGAACACTGGGGTCCGCACCCTGAGGTACAACCACATGGCCCTGCAAGGCGCGCCTGATGCAGGCAGCTCCCTGGAGCTGAATGCTCAGCTGGGCAAGAGCCGGGCCTTCTCCAACGCGGCTTGGCGAAAAGCGACCGATCCGATGCGCGCCGAGCGGACGCAGAAGCACCCCTCCACAGCTTTCCAGGGAGTCTGCGGATGCTCCGTCGTATGCAGCTGAGCCATGTTCCGTTATATGGCTGTGGCTCAAAAACATGTACCCAAATGGCACCCTTGGCAAATGGAACCAAAGACTAAATCTTGCGTAACCCTAGCTCTTTAATAGTTTAAGTTTGAGCCACGCCCATATGCAGCTTATCCATGCATGACCTGAACCTTCACGACTATGTGAGCAGTTTTGGGGCGGCCTTCCGTCACTGCCGTAGCCGTAATTCATGTCTCGGTCCATCAGCTCAATATTCCGCGGACCAACGGGTCCGTAGATCTCGTTGCCGTTGTTTCCCTGCAGACTGGGGGGTCACATCTTTCATCATACTCCCCAGATCATATAACATGGAATCCAAAAATCTAGAGGAATCTATTTTGGGGAAACGCGCCCCCTTTTCAGTAATTCTTCAGAATTTGGTGTGTGTTAAAACTGGAAGCCCTTCCATTCTGGGTGTTCCTTGTGTCCCTTGACCTCAACCCGAAAATGGTCCCCAGCCTCACAATAATGCAAGCCCACAAACAATTCCCCATGTTTCCCACAAACTTCGGCTTTGGGCGTGGATGTTCAACAAAAGTAAGTGGGTCACAAACATAGGTGTCCTTTTTGGTTGCTTTGGTTGAAAAATAGAGGGCGTTTTTTTTGTTTTTGTTTTACCTGCTGGTTCAATCAGCTACCAGCGAAACCCATCTATTTTCCCCAAAAAAAGACACCTATGGTCATAAAGCCGTGGTTTGGGAAAACGGGGGCTTGGGTACACAATTTCTTGAGCCTGGCAAACGCTGAGCATCTCTGTATTGCGGGGTTGGAGCCCTTACCGTGGTTGGTTCCCCGGTAGGGAAAAACAACCCTTGGCACGCCATGGCCGGTCTTTGGGAGTACTTGGCTGTTCAACCCACTTAAAAAGTGAGTTTCTAACCATGTTTATACACAAAAAAAACGCGTTTTCCGGGCTTGGACGCCTCTTCTCGTGCATGCGGATGGCCTTTTGCCTTTGGGATCTTTCTATCTAGATGCTGGAAGTGCCCACAAATCGTGGGAGCCACCCAAGAGACCAAAGAGACCGGGGCACCAAAAAGCAATAACCATGTTTTATACCCACAAAAACGCCATAACCAAAAACGCCATAACCAGAGGTGAGCAAGGACTTCCTCACCGTGGTCTGCGAGCGCGCGGACGAGGTCTACTTCGGCCCGGGGGACGACATCTTCCGCCGGGGCGAGGCCTGCAAGCTCGGGGACGCGCTGATGCGCCTGGGCCGGACAGGTCGTTTTTTTTTTTTTAAGATTGGTCAAGAGAAAAGTGGTGACTTGCCTCACTTGCCCAAAGCCGACCTTAGCGCTTTTTGTTTGCAGCCATAGGTGTCCGTTTTGGTTGTTTTGGTAGACAAATAGATGGCGATTCCTGGTTTAGGTGGTGGTGTATATGTTTTACACTGGTCAAGCGGAAAGTGGCTCCCTTACTCACTTGCCCCAAGCCGACCTTAGCGTTTTTATCTTTTTGACCACGTAAACGAACAGTGGACAAATTGTCTCACTTGCCCAATCGACCTTTCAAGCTTTTGGTTTGCCCATGTTGGTTCATTTTTAGTTCCCAACAGGTTAACCTGTGATTTCCAGGACCTTTGGGCAGGCTGTTGGGCAGCGGATTTTTAGACATACTGTGGATGGTTGCGAAATCCAGAAAGCGCACCGCGAACTGAAACCATGGGCAGGACACCTTAGTGTTTGCTACGGTATTTACGTCGGGGAATCGAATCAGAAACCAGGCTTTTGACGGGGCTGCGAAGGGATTTCGTCCATCCACAGTATGGCAAAGCAAGGAGTTTACACTTTTACACAGGGTAAAACAGGTAGAACCTACACAGACACACACGGCAGTGGGTCAAATCCAATGGCACCATTGGGGTAGGTGCACCACCCATTTTAGTCTATTTTAGTGGGGATTGGGATGTTCACTGGGGGTACGGGATTTTGACCCTGGCCACATTCTGATGAAGTTGAAAGAAGTTGAACAAAGAGGGCAAACGGCAGGTGCCGCGTGATGAGAGCAGTTTCCCAGGTACATCCTCTTGCAAGGTGCGGCAATTGTGGAAGGAGAGGGCTGATTTCGAGCGACAGTCAATCTGCCTATTTTACAGCGAGCTCAGCTGGGGGTATAATGAGCTCATGATGAAGCTCCTTCACTTGGGGATCCAATCCTTAATTGACCTTTTGGAATTGTTTGAATTTTCATCATTGTGAGGATACTGAATCGCTATTCACAAGGGGGTGACACCAACATCCCATGGACAGCCCTCATGGTGCCGTTGGAAATGCTTCTCTGCAGGAGAATACGGCGATGAGCTTGGAAGGCGCAGGGTGTTCCTTTATTTCGGGATCAAACCGATTGCTGTGTCAAACGGAAAACACCCAAAAGGGAGGGGTGGACACCTTTCGGCTTCCCGGGAAACCAACCAAAAAGGGTCAACAACCATTTTTAGTTAGTGAACCCTGCAGGTTCTGCAACCCCATTCATAATCTTTGCCCCTGACTAGCACTCATGCGCTTTTTCTTGCTTGTTGAGCATGCAACATCCCTTCGTGCCTTGTGTTCCTCTCCCACCGATTCCTCAGTGCTCTGACATGGTTTTTGCATCCCCGTCGAAATGCGCCATCCAAACTGGAATCAGTGTGGTTGTGCGTCATCAAGACACACTTGAGACCCATATCTTAAGCATAGATTTCATACTGTATGTAGTGGTGCGTGAAGTTTGGCTGGAGATATGGGTAGGTTGCCCTAAAAAACATCTGGGGAGGTGTGAGCATAGCAGAACTCCTTAAAACAGGATTGGTTTCTGTTTGGGTTGTTCCTTCAACCTCAAAAAGGGTATCCTCAAACAAACACACAGACACAGACAAAGACAGAGACATACACACAACTCACAAGTTGATGTTTTTCCAGAGAACCACCTGAAAAGTGGTGGTTACCTGAATCCGCACCCGGCTTTCGTCCACCGTTTCGGGTTCCAACTGCGATGTGCAACAGTTGTGTCTCGCAGAATGGTGGAGCTTTGTTTGGGTTGGCAGGGAAACCCTCAGGACGCCTACCGCTTCTGCTTCTGAAGGGGGGGAGGTTTGTTTGGGTTGGTACCAAAGCCCAAAAAGGACACTGGTGCCAGGGAAGCCCACAGGAGACCCGACAGGGTGGCATTCGCAGGTTGAACCCTGGGGATGTGGTGGGGGAGGGCGGTGCTCTTGGCATCGCCCCCATCCGCGGCGCCACCGTTCGGGCGCGGAGCCCCGGAGTTTCACCTGAGCCACGTGCTCAAAACCGATCCGCCTTCTTATTTCTTGAAGCATGGTTCTGGGATTTCCACCGGCCGAACCAGAACTGGACCGGGGAAGTGGCGAGAGTGTTGGGGGTTTCTAGGGGTAGCTTCCATTGCCATTCTTTCCAGGGATCCTTCTTTTCAGGAAACCGTCCAAAAACCGCAGGGAAACAGCCGGTTTTAGAAAATGGTGGAAAAGAATGGGAAATCAACCCCTAGAGGGTGGATCTTCCTGGCCCCCCAAAATGACCATGAGTAACTTTTCCCATGTGGGAAAGCTGATCTTTTCTTGTGGTTTCCCCAAGGGTCATCCCATGAAAAGGACGTTTTGATCCACCCCCACATGTTGCAACTAATTAGCCACTCGGTGGGTACGTATTTGCGTGAAACCTCTGGTGGACCTCATGTAGAGGTTGGAGATTCATGTCCACCTCAAAATTATTTGAGGCTCCAACTCTCAAACTGGGGCCATACAAATGCCTTGTCTATTGTTGGGTTCCGGTTTGCAAAAAAACGCCGTGCAACCTGAGTCGAGCAGCCTTTCTTCCGTTGTCTACTCGTGTTCTTTTTAGCTCGTTTGATTTGATTGGGATTCAAAAAAGAGTTGTGGATCCCATAAAGGATTTTGTCTCGGAGAGGGACCCGATTGAAGACCATTTTCTACCAGGGACCCATGTCTAGGTTTGCTTGCTTTGTGAAACGGGCACCTCAGGAGTCAATGGCACCTCGGGGAGTGAACTTATGGATATACAGGAAACCACCAGCTGGATAGATTTTTGTTGGCGACGTGTTTCGTTAAACACCGGAAGTTTTGGGAGTTCGGAGGTATGAAGTTCGGAGGTTTGCCTAATCCTCAAAAGCAGCCCTCGGGGGTTTCTCAAAATGGGCCTCGGGTCCACTCAAATCGTTGGTTTCCTTTCAAAATTCCCATTGAAATACCCATTATATGTTGACCCAGGATTAATAAACCCGTCCCATTATTAGGGGGATGTTTCCTCCAACAGTGATGAATCCCCACTCAAAGGGGACGCCCCCCTATTAATCAACCAGGGGTTTATTAATCCGGGGTTAACATTTCTCGACCGCTTTAAAGACAGATCCAACCCTGAGACCCAACTGAAGGAGTCACGTGTGAGCCCGAGGCCTGGCGCGACACCTTGGTTCGGGCGGTGCGGCTGCATGGTAGCTCCGTGCAGAGGACTGGACATGGAACTACAACAAAGCGGCTGTTGATCACTCAGTGGATGTGTAGGATAGGTGCTGCTTGTGTCTTTCTTTCTTTCTTTCTTTCTTTCTTTCTTTCTTTCTTTCTTTCTTTCTTTCTTTCTTTTTTTCTTTCTTTCTTTCTTTCTTTCTTTCTTTCTTTCTTTCTTTCTTTCTTTCTCTCTTTATTTCTTTCTTTTCTTTTGTTTCTTTCTTTCTTTCTTTCTTTCTTTCTTTCTTTCTTTCTTTCTTTTTGTGTGTGTGTGTGTGTGTGTGTTTGTCTGAGTGTTTGATCAAGATCGAGTGCTGCTATCCTCTTCTCCGCAGGGCGGTCACTGCCTTCCCTGACGAGTACGAGTCCTTGCAGGCCCTGACAGGTTTTTAGCGAAACCGGACGCATCAGAACAGGGGAACAGGGAGGGCTCGGTCCTTTTTTGGGTTGGAACCCTCTCCTTTGGTTGGGTTTGCAAAGGAAAACCAAGGGAACCACCCATTGTGTTTTGGGGTTCCCTAAAGAAAGACAGGCAATCGGATAGGGGTCGAAACTAAATCACCAGGAAATGCACCGCAGGTTTTAGTCCTTTTCCATTTATTAGGCTAACCCACTTCCCGGATTCCATTTTTGACCAAGTTCATTTCTTAGTTCTTCGATTTCTCGGAAAACCAAAAAGGTTGTTCAAGCAACAGCGGTTTCAACGCCACAAAGCGCGAAGCCAAGCCGGCAGGCTATTTTCCAGAAGCGCGCTTCTGCAAACAAGGAGGTGGAGCGTGTTCGGCCGCTCGGCTTAGGATGGGTAGTCCATCGGGAGACTTTGCTGAGGGGTTCGCAGCGAATCTCGTCCGGTTCCTTAGGTTTTATATTAGGGGTACGGGGTTTTGACCCATAGCCAGTTGGTTTAGTGGCTGGATTTTTCCATTTCACCCACTTTTAGCAGGTGTGATCCCTTTTTTTTGGACCTCCATCCCTGCAGGACACGTCGACTGGGTTCAAGAAGCCTCCAACGCACCTTTTGAATGCCCCCAAATGACGATTCAATTAGTAGGCTTCGGGGCATGCTCCGAAAGTAAGGGTTCTCAGCCCGGGAAGGATTTCTGTCTGTCAGTCGTGGCCAGACAGATGCCCAGCAACATTTGTTTGAGGGTCAAGCCGCAGAAAACCCCATGATGGGATCATGAATTCAGCCTTCCACATCGTGCTGCCAGACATCTTTTGGTCGTTGGTCGTTGCCTCTCAGGCAGAAGTGGCTGCAAGAGCAGGTCATTCCTGCTCTCAATGATTGTCACTTGGCGCGAAGGAGTCAACAGGCTTAGCGTCACGTCCGAGAGTCACCCCCGTAGTGTTTGTGCTGTCAGCTGTCGTTGGATCAATCCCTTCTCCCTAAGATTGCAGAGGGGTCACTGGATTCACCCTTCAAAAGTTGCAGTTTACTGGTGGTTTCCACTAAAACCGCCATTCCAAAAAAGGCAGACGGAGGAGCTCATGCGCACGAACCATGGCCGTGAGGTTGAACAAAAGTCAAACGCAATGGGGGCCTACCTCAACATGCAGCACACGAAAAAAAATGGTGTGAACCTTTGCCCTGCTCACTGCATCTTTGTAGCACCATGGCCAAGCCCAGCTGTTTAAGCGGTATCCTCACTTTATATTTTGGGGCGGGTGTCGCGCTACCTTGTTTTTCCCTTGGTCCAGCGAAGCAGAAAAGACACCAGGAGGGTTTGTCCCAATCTTGCCGGCCACAAATCCTCCGGAACTTCTCGGAGAACCATCCGCTGTTGAGGAAAACACTCGGTGAAGCGCAGTGACACGACCAGTTTGGAGAAAGCAATATCAAGTGTCAGGGTAATTATGGACCTGGTGGGTCGGATTTAGATGTGAACCCCTGGAGGTTTCCCTCAACCTGGTGGTTGTTCGGATTTGAACTTCCGGCCGGGATGGGAAACCATCCCCGGGCCGGGATGGGGGTTGATCTATATTCCTGCCTCGAATGACCATGGGTCACTTTTGTCATTTAGAGGACCTTTTGATCACCCCCCCAAATCCTGCAGATCACTCTTCCTCCGAGTTGCCATAGCAGATTAGGACAAACTGGCTGGTTGCCAAACCAGGTTCCTTGGTTTCGACTTGTGGTTCATGCCAATCCACCAATGCGAACAGAAAGGAACCGGAACCCCACCAATTAGTCAAAGGACAACTTTTGAGTAAGCTGAACAAGTCACCAATCTTCTAAAGGACCATGTTTGAGTAAGTTGAACCCTCACTTTGACTTAACATGACAATGAATGCAAGTAAGTTGCCGTGGTTTTTCGCTAATCGACCATTTCGCTCTCCGACCATGTTTTGAGTAAGTTACACAACACCTGTGGCTTGAGAGACATGGTAAGCCGCCATGGATGTTTTTGGCTCCTGCGCCGAGGCCGGATTTTCACCGGATTTCCGGAGCCCATCATCCGGAAGATCGCGGAGCACTTGCTTCAGGCCACCTATACCAGCTCCTGGGCTCGAGATGGGACGGTCTGGGCGTCTGTCTTGGGTCTAAAGTTGGACACTTTAATTTGTCGTTTTTGGTGACCCTCCTCCCCCCCAAACTGGTGGTTTTGCAAAAGATAGGACTTTCTGGGGCGGATCCTGGCGGGTCTTGTGTTGAGGATATCCTTGAGATGATGTTCACATAAGCCACCCATTTTGTGGGTTCCCTGATTTTGATACAAACCCAATCAACGACCCATTCAGCGAGTTCTGCTAAACGGGTTTTGATCGCTTGCGCAGGCCAACCATGTATCCGATTGCGGAACCTATTTCTTCGAGTCCATTTAACAGGCCACCCAACCCGGATTGGTCATTTGGGCGCGCCTTTATTGAGGCTACCCCGGTTTTGATGGGTTTCTGAGGAAACCCAAAAAGTGTAGCGGTTGATTCCCCATTCTTTTCAGCCACCGTTCTTTTCAAACACCGATCGCCATTTCTTCAGTGTTTTGGCGGTTTTCTAGAAAGATTCGGATCCCTGGAAAGAATGGTTGGGAGCTACCCCCAGAACAAGGCCAACCCCGCCATTCGAGGGGCTCCAACCGGATTTCCGTCGGCGCTCCGCTGAAGCCCAGGCGGCCAGCTGGTGTGCTGCGCGGGGAACGGGGCCGACTCCATGCTGCTCGAAAAGCGAGGGTCGAGTCGAAAGAGCCATTTTGGGGTTGGGTCTCTTTTAAGCACTAGAATTGAATGTTTTTTTGTGTACACCTATGTTGAGTTGTTTGGTTTTATTGAGGTTGTACTGAGGTTAGCCCTTTCTTTCAGGATAAGCAAGCCAAAGGGTACCCTCCCCCCCCCCCCCGCCGGTACCCGGTTTTTTTTGAGGTCGGTCGTGGCAAGCCCCAAAGTGAGGCAATCCGCATAGGCGCACATTGTCATAAACAGTTGTCGGGTATCACAGTGACCGGCAGGGCTTCCTATATTTCCGATAAAATGAATGGCGTGGGCGAATTTTGAGTGAGCTTCCATTGTGGAGTTTTGTTTGCAAGGGATGGATAGAGGCCCGTTGCATTGGGTGTGAAGCATGGCGTCTGGTGCACAAGTCTCGCTATCTGAGGATCATTTTCCTGAAGGGTGCGGCTGATGTACATACAAAGTCAGGAGCAGTGGCTGCCACTGAGCAGGCCAAGAAGGTTGGGCAAGTTGTGTTTTTAGTCAGGGGAACCAAAAGGAGGTTGTTTAAACAAAAGGTGTTTAAGCCATGGTTTGAATGAGGGGTGACTTGCCCAGCTCTGACTGAGACAAGCGCAAACAGTTTTCAAGTTACTGAGGGTGCTTGCGTAGGATGCTTGTCAAAGCGTTCATTGACTTGACTACGCGCACCCCGCATGTGTTGGTGTTTTGTTCTCGTTGTGATAGGCTTCCCAACGTTTTGTTGCTTTGTTTGGCGCCTTAGCCCATAGCCAAGTGAATCCTTTGAGGCGTTCAGTAAATCACAGGCCAGCCCAGGGCAACTTATCCAAGACACCCAGAGGTGCCCCTTTGGCCCTTTTTGCTGGGTTCTTGGAGATCATGTTCCCTCAACGGCCCCTCTCGCGGAAAACCTCGAAACCAGTAGGAGACCTCATCGGCAACCTGACGGACGGCGCGGTCATCGGCGAGGTGGCCGTGTTGGGACTCTTCCCCTGGCGCACTGCCACGATCCGTGGCTCGACGAGCAACATGGGCCTGTCCCGGACCCAATGGACGGTGTTCCTTTCAGTTTTCCCTTTGAACCAAGCTGAAAAGGAAGTCATAGAAGACACAGCTTGGGGTAAAGGACTACTTTGCCTGGGCGAAATGGCGTCTTTCCAAGCCAGTTTAAAGATTTGCGTCCATTTGCTTAAGAATATCTTTGACTTTTTCCCCTGTTGGAGTTAAAGGGAGTCTATCACTATTGAACATAGCTTAAGCAAATGGAGGTTTAGAAGTAGAAGGGCTTTTGGAAGGTTTGGGTGGGCAAGAGGCTCAAGAGACATTCGCGACTTGAGTGCTCTTCTTGGAAGTGCGTGTCGCTGTTTCAGCAGAATCTGCTGCACCCACAGTGGCAAACACATAGACCAATCTATGTACAACCCATTGACAGTGTAGGTAGGTGCTATTCCTCCCTGCAAGTCGCGCGAGCTGACCAAAGTAAACACCCGGCAGCCTGGATGGGCTTTTTGGAAGTCGAAGTCAATCAGCTGGCAGCTTTGTCCTTTCGGGCGTCCCAGGTGCAACTGCCAATACCGACGCAGCCGCCTGGAGAGACTCGGGGGGCGCCGAGCTTCCGATCGATCTCGCGGCCCTTTCGCGTCATTGGCTTTGTTTGATACTGACAGTCTCAGCTAGATGCTAGATTGCAACTCATGAGTGGGGGGAATAACCGCTTGGGCTCAAAATAACCCGGGGCTAGAACTTGGAAGGGTTCTTGGAACTGCCGGGGGCAGGGGGGGGGGGATGGACCTAAAATGTTGCCCTCGAGAAAACCGTATGTCAAAGTCCCGCCCGGACCCTCGCGTGGCACTGCGGGATGCCTAGCCGTGACAGTCAACTTCTAGGTCCCCCAGCTAGGTGCCCTTTTACTCCCTTTTTTGGGGGAGGGTTCCCCTACTAAAATAGACTACAGAAAAAAGGGTAGCCTTATTCTAACCTCTCTACTGGAGGACCTAGACTTGGATCCGGAAAAGCTCCGACAACCCGAGGGATGCGCCACCGAACGCCTGCCTCCGCGAAAAACATCTGCCGCAATAGTAGTCTAAAGTCGCCCCCGCGAGCCGGGCTTCGTGCAACTGGATGCGATAGGCAGGGAATGAGAAATGGAATGACCCTTATCAACCATCCCTTGCGGCTTCCTTCTTCCTTTAAGGGAATCCCTGGATTTATTCCCACATCTCCTACTGAGCATTCCTTAGGAAGCCTTAGGGAACCCCCCCCCCTTGGACCCTGCCGTGAACATAGGTGTCCTTTTTGGTTGATTTGGTTGGTTTTCCTGGTGGTTCAATCAGCTACCAGGGCCATCAATTTTCCCAAAAAGGACACCTATGGCCGTGAAGGGATTTTGTCGTGAAGGGATTTGTCAGTTCTGAGCCTAAAGGCTTGACTCGAACTGAGGTTTTGATCACCGCCAACCTCATCTCGCGGATCCTTCAGGCGAGCGCAAAGTTCTTTTGCGCCACTGGAGGATGGCTTTGTTTTTCCGTTTTTTTTTTTTTTTTTCCTTTTGGTGTCCCTTCAAGCCAACGAAACCAGGCACCCTCCAAAAAAGACATCCAAATCAAGACCAACCAACCCAGGCGATCTGTGTAGATTTTCCTGGAGACGGTTTTGTAGAACTTCAACGTCTTGAAACGGATGAGGCAGTTGATGTAGGTGTGAGTTTCCTGGAGTTTGGTTCAAAGAGACATCAACAGGAAGCCCAAAACCATTTTTGTCGGTCCCCGATTTTTGGCACATATCCATGTATGTGCTAGGTGCAAAGGAATCGCTTTTTTTCAAGAGGCAGTCTCTCAGTGGCTAGTTCAGGCAAACATGATCAGCCATGTCCACTTTTCGCGTTTCCCCATGGAGGCTGACAGCCAATAGCTGTGCCATTGATGTCCTTACCACAGGCTCCCCACAGCCGTCGCAAGTTGAGCGCTCGGAAAATTCACCCCACGGCAAGGCTCGCAGGCTTGGGCCTTTCTCAAACGCTAATGGGTCGAAATCTCAAAGTAGGGCTCCTGAAAAGAAATTCATGTTGCGACCATTTGAAACATGTGGCTTTTTCAACACCAAAATAAAGGGACACCACCATTTACAAGGCAATGTTCAGGTGTATAATGTAAGGATCCCCATGTTTGGCTCGTTTTGAAGGGAAACTATTCCAGGCGCCTGGACACCTATAAGGCGTTGCTACCTCAAATTCAGGATGGAGATTGCCATTCATGGACCTGCCAAACAGCCTGAATTTTCCACACCCTGAAGGCGCTTTGCGGGAACATCTGAAAATATCCAAAGGAGGGTACCCGCCAAATACAGAGGAACATGCTTTTGGGAAATGGACCCCATTTCGGGGTTCGCGCCGTGAATTTCCATGTCAAGCCCCGCAAAGGAACCCCGCCATACCAGTGTTGAGTGGGAGAAGCCGCCTGACAACTGGGTCACGTGCTGATATTTACCTTGAGGTGTTAAAGGTCACCACAGGGCAACAACGCGACGTTTTCGCCACTTTCTAGGCTCCGGCCAGCTTGCGTCGCTTGCTGGCGCAATGACCCAGGGTAAATACTGTGGATGGGCGAAATCCATTTCGCACCACCTAAGAACCCTGAAAAACCCTGCTTTGTTGGTATTTCTATGAGACTCATTATCCCAAGGTTTCCTGCACGGTGGTGCTCGTCCTGGATTTCGTCCATGCACAGTATCAACACGCCTCCACCAGGCCACAATATTCTACCATGATCGAAGTCGCCCCGGAAGTGGTTGGTTAAAGGGAAACAACCACATGTTCTGACTTTGATACCCCCCAGCAGTCAAAGAAAATACCCCAGTCCACCTAGAGCATTGCGTCCATGGGAGCCAAAGCGATCAGGGCGACGATGCGGTGGAGGCTCGGAAGCGCTTTGAGCAGATGCAGGAGGAGCGGCGGACCCAGGTGGCACCTCGGATGGCTTTTTCTTCATAGATTTTTTTTGGCTGGGGGGGGGCTGTTTTTTTTTTTGGTAGTTTTAAGAGGGACACCAGATTCTTTTGGTTTCCTTTGTTTGAGGGTGCCTGTTTTTGTTGGGTAGTTTTAGCAACACCAACGGGAAAACCCGCGGTTTTGAGGATCTACTGAGAAAAGACACGGCCAGATGGGTAAGTAGGGGTTGCTTTGGATGGTTTTGAAGAAGGGGAACAGGCCAGCCACCTGAAGGGGCCCCTTCTGAGAAACGCCATGTGCGGTCAAAACACCAGCCAAGGCGACCAACAATTAGCCAACCAACCAGGCCAACAACCAAGGACGGCAACCAGCCAGCCAGCCAACCAACCAACCAACCCACCCTCTGACCGACCAACCAACCGTTGGCTTGCAGGTAAGGGTACCTCGTTCTGAGGTCGGCTTGGAGCAAGGCGACAAGGGCAGCCACCGTTTTGGGGGTCTCAGTTTCCATATTTGTCACATGCTCTTTGGTTGTTGACAGATGGTTCAAATAGGGGGATTCTTCGTAATGTACTGATTCAGAGCCATTGGGGAGCCATTGCAGCCCACGAGTGATATGAGCGACCAACAGTGACTAGCAACCATCTAGGACCATTGAGGGCGATAACCTGCCTTGCTCTGAATCTATAATAGAATTCTGGGTTCAACATGTATCCTTAGGCCTGCCAGAAGGTAGTAGTTTCCTTGTGTTGCGTGCGCGGACGGACATATCTGTTTGTTGTCGGGTCGCTTTGGTTCTGAAGGCGGTGTCATGGCTACGAAAGGATCGGTCATACTGTGCGCGTGATTTGTTTGGACCGCTTGTTTTGGCCGCATTGGAGCCTTTTGAACCAATTTATGATATGCTTTGTCTAAAAAGTCCTTGTAACGACTTGTTTCAAGGGTTCCTGTAATGCAACATGTCCGACAGGTTGAGCACGGCAGCAACCGAATGATTTGATCTCAGCAACCCTCAATTGGTGGTTCCGATTAGTTTGGATCTGAATTTGAACCTTCGGTGCTTGCAGAGGGTTTCTGGGATGGGAAGAATCACCGCAGCTCACCTCCAAGCCACGGATCCGGGGTTTGATCGGCGCATCCAAGGAAGGTGGAATGCCGTTGCCGCTCGGAAGCCGCGGGAGCCAAACCCGGAAACCCCCGGAGCTGGGGGGGGTGAAAGCCGGGTGTCAGGGTGCCGAGCCGCGTGCCTTCCTTGGGAAGCTCCGAAGGTGGGGATTGGTAGCATGGACGCCGCCAGACACGTGATCAACTTGTTTGGGGAACTCCGGTGGCTGCTGTCTGTGTCACGGCTTTGTAAGCCTTGAAGCCCAAAGCCGGGCCTGGCTTGGCCTGCCTGTCTGCGTTTGGCCGTAGTGCCCGGCACGGCACGGGCGAAGTTGGAGCGCCTGAGGTGTGCCCTGCCGTTCAATGTTGCTGCAACCTGGCGGCAAGTGTGATTGGAGCCGCTGACTCTGGTGCGTGGAACTTGGGCTGTTCCGATTTCTTTGCATGCATTTTCTCTTAACCAACCCCCCCCCCCTCCTGCAAAAAGAGAGAGAAGATGCTAGCTTCCTTTTGGTTTCCCTTTCAAACCACTCCAAAAAAGGCATCCCGAAAGAAACAAGAAGCCCAAAAGCAACCACACACACCCACACACAGAGCCATGGATTTGGGTCCAGGACGACCTGGCCGCATCGATCGATCCGGATGAGGTGAAGGACGTGGTGTCCCGGGCCGTGGCGCTGCACGCGGTGCGCTTCACCTTCGGCATGGGCGAGACCTTCACGCCGAAATCCAAGTCGCCGGGGGCCCCGGCGCCGGAAGTGGTGGGGCTGGGCAGGTGACTTAGGCGCCAGATGGCTCCTGTTGGCGTGGGTGGCTGACATGATGCGAGGATTTACAGCTTTTTTTTGGGGGGGGCATCCTGAAACGACGCGTGAAGGGTGGGAAGAACGCGGGAGCCCAGGCCCTGGCCACCTTCAGAGGGCATTGGAACAGCTCCCCCCGCCCCCCCCCCCCCCCAAAAAGAAAAAAAAGAGGATTCAGTATCATCGTCCCCCAACCCCTCCCCCCCAACAAAAAAGGGGTTAAGTATCACCTGTTGGCCAATTTCATGTGAGTTTCCCAGACATTTTCGGACATGGACTCAAAAGGCTCAAAGGATCGGAAGGGTGGCATCCGCCAGGCAAGGGCCTCACTACTGGATTCTGGTGCAAGGCCTTGGAGCGAGGGAGACCGGTAGATGCGAGATCTTTTTTTCCTTGTCTCCCGCAGATGAATCAGCGGGTTTCGTTAGGGTTGTAAGCACTGCAAACACCTGGGTATGGGTCAAAATTCAACCACCAAGGGACCGCAGGTTTTAGTCTATGTTTCCATTTACCAGGGTTCCATTTTTGGGGTTACCCTATGTTTGACCCACAGCCACCTGATTCAGCCAAGTCGCCTTATGTTTCCCTTGAGAGCCTTCTCCAGCAGCTTCGGGGGTCGATGCTTGCAGATTCCAATTCCGGCAGAGAGGGCACTCGCCCTCAGGCCCTGAGCCAAAAGGAGTAAGGTTTGCATTTTGGTTCCATGCTAACTTGCAGAGCCTGGCTCAGTTTATTTTCAGCATGAACAACCACCTTGTCCCCTCTAAAAAATATATAAAACACACACACAAAAAAAAGAACAACTTGTTTCAACAGCTTGATGGTTACATTCGCGGTTCAATCCAGGGGCCATCGCTCAACCTCGGCCAGGAAGCATGAACCTAACTAGAATATAGTTGTGTGATCTTTGAAGCCTTTTTTAGTCATGGTTGTACATGTCGTAGGAGTAAACTATTCTTAGTATATCTTTTAGGCGTGAGCTGTGTTGAGCCTGACAATGATCCTCTCAAGGGAACCGGTTCGCCCACTTGTAACCGTAGTAAGACATGTAGCCTCCTTCCCTGACGTGTCTTGAACATCCGTTGTATGATGTCCCGACGATTTGTCACAGGCAAGCTGTCAAGTCTAGCAGCTTAAGGCATCTCCAGCCCTTTGGCTTGGAAGAAGGCAGAGGCGTCATATTCGGTGTTCCCACGGTTAAACTTCCCGGGCCCGGCGGAGCGCGAGGCAGCATGAACCTGATGATGGGGCACCGGCACATCATGCTCTTCACCCCGGGGGGGACGGAGCTGCTGCCGGAGCACATTGCCCAGGACTACGGCGCCTCCATGCACGCGGCCACCCCCTGTGAGGCGGATCCCGTAGGGTGCGGTGAAGACATCGGTGGCAGGTGGCTGCTCCAAGATGCTTTCACCCCTTTTGGTGGCCCTCAAAGTATTTGTGAAGAATGATGGTTGACCTGAAGAGATCATGCAAAGGGAAACAAGCCTTCCACGCAAAACTGTGATGTTAAAAAGCAAGGCTGCGCGATTCGAATACGGAAACACACACACACAGAGACACACACACACACACACATGTGTGTTTTAGGGAATTAAAACTAGTAGGGACTCTAGACATCCTCAACAATATGGTGGAATGCTGGCTGGAAGCCATGATAAGTCGGACAGGGATGTCTTGTGAACTTGGGCAGGTTGCTCAGTCGAGCCGTTCCTAAGTTTACCTCAAAGATGATCAGCATGCCCAGTTTTGTGCCTATCGGGAGCAACGCGCATGGGGCACGTGGGGCGGGACTGAATGAACCCTTGTTCCATGTTGGTCTTTACTTTCACTCTGGGTGACTCAGCTGCTTTAAAATACCTGAAGTGGCAGCTCTCAGAAATTCCTCACCTTCTCCAGCCACCGTGTTTCTTTCACTTGTTTCCTTTGAGCAGACAAGACGCCGCCACGATTGCCAGACCCGTTCAACGGATCAGCTTCCGATTGCACCAAAGGACAATCGTGCGTGTTGCATCGTGGTCCATTTTGGGGGGGGACGAGCCCGAAAACAAGCCGTAATTGTCCCATGTCCTCTTGGAAGAAGGTAATCTTGACCACTCATTTGTCACCCAAGATGGGATCCATTCCGTGGCATCGCAGGTTTACCGGGTGGGTTTCTATGACGTGCTCCTTGCCACCTCCGTGGTGCGAGCGCCGCTAAGCCAAAGGCGTCCAGGTCTGCCTTCGTCTCGTGGGTTCCGTGGCTCACCGCTTCGCCTTCAAACGCCTTGAAGATCCTTCACCTTGGCGGTCTTGGCGGGTCAACCAGCGAATCGTCCGGTTCCAGAAGGGTTTGTTCAGTGGTTTAGTGGTTGGGTTTCCAATTGACCCACGTTTTTTGTTTGTTGTTTTTAGTTGGTTTAGTGGTGGGATCCCCCGAATTTAACCCACAAGCTGTTCACTTTTAGCAGCGCAGCAGAAAACAGACAGCCCAGTTACGTAAGAGGAGCCCAATTTTTTTCCGGTTGAACGAGTGCAGTTTTCAGAGTCTGCTTTTGAGTCTCGGTGTTCTACGGGGGTGGTGTTTAAGGGAGAAACAGAGAGCCACCATTTTGACACACACGTCCCACTTTGTGAAACCCCCATGTGAGCTGGTGACACACACGAGCTTCGGTCAAGATCTTTTCTGATTTGGCCATGGTCCATCTGGAGAGGGACATGATGGACTCACAAAACTGTCCAACAAAAAGCCGGGGGCTCAATTTCTATAGTAGTGTCATAGCGAATTTGACCGTGGCTCACGCGGCGGCCAGGTTTGTGCTTTTCCACAAACACCTGGCGACCAGCCCTAGTTTTTCCCATGTACGAAAAGTCGGCCTATTTCGACCACACAAGTGGCGACCAAGCCTGCCGTTTGGCCAAGCGCGTGCGCTCAGGAAGTGGTACAAACACTTCGAAAAGCTCATCGAAGAAGTGGAGGAGTCGGCCTCGGTCAATGAGAGCCACATTCGATTTCCCACCCTACCCCACCCCAACCCCACCCCACCCCGCCCCGCCCCGCCCCGCCCCGCCCCGCCCCACCCCACTCCACCCCACCCGGGGCGATGTGATGGAAGCTTTTTCTTCGCAGCCTTGCAACAACCAAAGTTGAGACGGAAAGAGCTCTCGTTGAAGGCTTTGGATCGAAGCATGCTGGGTGTATTTGAGTCGTACGTTGGCACCCGAGTAGACCAAAAGGCAGCCCGAAAGCATTTTTGGGGTGCTCGGCTGGAAAAGAAGCGAAGCCCCTATACATCCCTACTTTTTGTTTTTCCCTTCCTCTTACAATTTGCCCCGTGGGGTAATGTTCCGAATAGGATAAATTCAGCCTGATCCAACCCCAACCCCCAACCACCCTAAACAAACCCCTACCAACCTCAAAAGTCAAGGAAAATAGCTGGTGGCCTACTATAACGGTAACTGGGGCCCACTCACTGGGTACGCCACCAACACAAACCCCCAGGCAACTTTTCGGGGAAGAAACAAGCCGAAGCCGAGGCCAAAGTTCGCCTGAAGCTGCAGGGCGCTCGCTCCATTAGTCTCATGAAGATGCGGAAGAGCAGCCGCTTGGAATTCAACAGCTGTTTTGAGGGGGTAAAGCCTGAAACGCATATCCTCAAAAAGAAGGTGCCCAACTCCGATCTCCAAAACTAAAGGCTGCAACTTTTGGGAGGTGGTTCGAAACCTTACCTGGTTCCCTTGCGGGTTAGGAAGTGAGGCCTGCAACCTCTGCGCCATTTTAGTAGACGCAAACAAGCCGAAAGGGGGTTTGGGCCCTACTAAAAGGAACGGGGAAGCCAGAGGGGCTGAGTATATTGTTGGCTCGCACCCCGTTTGGCCGCAGATTGGTTCAGAGCCAACTTCTACTTGGGGAGCTGGGAGTTCACATCTGGAATCCGACTATTCCTGAGGGCCAGAAACCTGATTTGCACAGAGGCGAGAAACCTGCCAGTTGCGTGCCTTTGTTGGAAACGAGCGACGGATAACATTCCAAGAAGGGAGTCCCCTCAAAGGTTAGGTTTTGGGGTTCCATGTTGGTTTGCGGATTGACCGTGAGGAACAGAGACCAACCTCTTCCAAGCGGGTGACGAAGTTGGAGGCGTGGTCGGATGCCCGAGAATTCGGCCACCAGAATTTGGCTCGGGACCTAGATGGCCCCCTTTGTTTTTGGATTCAACAGCTTTCGGGTCGACATGTTAATCTGGGTTTTGGGACCTTATGGCTTGTTTTGTGGTGTGCGTTTCGGTGGTCTTGGAGACCTCTTGGAGCCATGCTAAGTGATCTTCCGTGGAGTTCAGGACCATTTGGGGCCATGTCAAGCGAGCTTTGGTTGTTTTTTACTGCCTTTTGGGGGCAGTTTCGGTGAGCTTCGCCGGCTTGTCAGACCTTTTCAACATCTATACGTGAGCTGCACGGCCAGGATCCTGGCCTTTGCAGAAGGCTGGGCAGCAGATGGTGGCCCCTGGCAGCTGGCAGGTGTGGACCCCATTGTCTTTCGCATGTGACGATGGCGATGATTGGTGGCGATGGTGGTGGTGATGGTGATGTGGGTATGGGTCAAAAAATTAAACCACCAGGGACCGCAGGTTTTAGTCCCTTTCAGGGTTCCATTTTGACCCACAGTCATGCTGGCGACGATGATGCGGAAGAGGATGAACTCCGCTTTGCGGTTTCGCCGCCGAGTTTTTTGCTGGTTCATGGGACTATTACCGCCGGCCATTTCTCCGTCCACTGAAGACATAGTACGCTTGCGGCATGGGTGGCACCCCGCCGGTCGCAAGATTGGTCGAAGTCCATGCGCTCCCATTCCACCCACCTGACAAAGGGACACGTAAAGCAAGGTCTTTGCGCTCCCAACGTTTCCCCAAAATTATCCAGGTTTCCCTTTGTTTCCCTAGATTTCCCACTCCCCAGCACCTCCAACATTTCCCTTGGTTTCTTCTACGATTCTTTCCCCAGATTTCCGTATGTTTCCAATTGCCCTAGAGAGCTATGACTCTGGTTGTGGTTTTCGCCCTAACAAAGGTGCATCGGAAGTCAATGGTGGCTTGGGCGAGCTAGAAAGTAAGTGCTGTCGGGAAGCTTGGCACAGGCGCAAAGAATGCTTTCACGGCAAGCTTGTTCGCCCTGCTTCAGCCTGTCACAGGGCCCATCACGTGCTTGTGTGAGCTTGTGACCGTCGTTTTGAGCTGTTGCCTGGCCCCTGCCCAATCTTTCAACAGCTTCGGGCTCCGGCTCCAACGAGGGAGGCGCGGGCGCATGCTTCCTGCAAGGTGTTTGCGTGCTCGCGACACGATGTAAGTTCTGCAAATTGGCTTGCTACGTGCTTCTCCCAGCACAAGCCTTCTGCCCAGAGCCTTTAAGCCCCGCAGCCTGCGTTGTAGCTGCACGTTGCGTTGCTCGCAAGGGTCGGAAGTTCTTGGGACTGTGGCAACTACCTGAGCGTGCAGTCCCTACCTGGCATTCGCTTGAGGGTGGGCTCATCACCACCGCCTCCCACACCCCAAGGGTTCGAGCGAGGGCTCTGGCGTTGATTTTCGCTCAGCAGGGTTTTGTTGCTTCATCTGGTGGCAATAGAAGCGTCAGACGCGAGAAGCAGGAGTGCAGTTTTCACAAGTTCCCACCCTTTCCCCATGCCCCGCCTTCTGTGCAGGTGTCCTTACTGTGTCCCCCCCCTTCCCCACGTCCCACCTTTCCCCACGCTTCTTACATGCCCCCTGTCCAGGTGTTCTTATGCTTCCCCAGCCGCCCCACTCCCGCAGCCTTCCTTTTCTGGCCAGGGCCCTCAGGCAGCGCTCGCTTTTGCCAGCCACGAGAGCACTCGGGCCTTGTTGTGGTGTTGAAGGCTTTCAAGTCTGGGGAAGATTTGGCCGATGATTGAAAGTTGCCAGGCTTCTTTCCACTCTTCCGTTCTGCCTGTGTCAGGACCTCATTCTTTTGTGGCCAGACGCCCGCAGCGCGGTCAGTAGAGGCCCATGCCTCCTTTCCCCACGCCCTACCCAGGTTTTCTGAGGCGTCTTTCCAGTCTTAGAGCTGCCGCATGGTCTGGCGCGAATGAAAAGAGTCTGTACCTTGTAAGAGTCCTTGCTTGCAAGAGTCCGTGCGGCCTTGGCCATTCCGTGTCCCACCAGGGACAAAAAGTCTGGACGGCCTTTCGGAAGTTGCTTTTTTCGACGGGGGGTAGCGTCGCAGCGGCGGATCGAGCGCCAGGGCAGTTTCTACCCCCCACTTCCCCCCACACCCCACCTGGCCTGGTGCCAGCCCCAAGTTTCCAACCCCCACCTTTCGCCAGGTCTTGTTGTGTTTCCCCGGAGCTTCCCGCAAGTCTCTGTCGTGCTCTTGGACATCTGGATATTTCATTTCCACCCCTTTCCTCGGGTCCCTGCCGCTGCCCCCCCCTACCTGTCTATGTCATTATCACCAGGGCTCCACTTTTTGACCCCGAGATGGACTGAAACTCAGGGGAGGTTCATGTCCTCCAAATGGAGAACCCCTGGGTTCAAGTCTATCTTGGTGATTGGTCAAAAAGTGGTTGTTTTTTTCTGATTATCACCATGTGGAGCCAAGCAGACATCTTCCCCGTGCCAACCTCCAGCTGTCCTTTTGCCTCCCGCTTTTCCTTCTGCTTCCCAAGAATCCATCTTCCCCATGCCCCATTTGTCCCCACCCGAATTTCCACACCACATGTCCTTCCCCCTTATGCATCCCCCATGCCCACCTTTCCCAGGCTTGCTTTGCAGTCTTTTTGCCTCCCCCAAGTTTCCACCCCTTTCCCCACCCAGATTTCCTTATGCTCTTATACTTCCCCAAGTCCTTCACCGCGCCCCACCTTCCCACCTTTTGCCTCCAACCCATGCCCAACCTTTCTGCAGTTTTCCTTATGAGTTTCCACACCCCTCACCACGTCTTATGAGTTTCCACACCCCTCACCACGTCCCACCTTTTGCTAGGTTTGCGTTTTGCGTCTCGTTTGTGCAGGCTTACTCATGCTCCCCCCAAGTCTCCACGCCCTTCACAGGGCCCAACTTTTCTGCAGGCTTCCTCATGCTTCCCCAAGGTTTCCACCCCTTTCCCCATGCCCCCGCTTTTGCATCCCGCTTCCACCCCACCCCACCTTTACCCAAGTTTCCTTCTGCCTCCCCCACCTTTGTTTTCCATATCAGAGGGTTTTGCATCCCCTTCCACCCCACCCCACCTCCCAAGTTTCCTTCTGCCTCCCACTGGCCCACCCCTTGCTTCGGTTTCAGGTGGCCAAGCTGCCCAAGTGCACTTCGCAGCCGCGCCTGGCGGGCGACAAGCTGCTGAAGCTGCGCGAGGACTCGGACTCCCCGAGTCGCCCTGCAGTTGGGTCGCCTTTTGGTTGGGCAGGGTGAAGCTTGGCGGTTCAACCAGCGAAGTGTCCGGTTCTTTGCGTCTTTCTTTAGGTTTTGAGTTGGCTTAGCGGTGGATTTTCGATTTCACCTGAAAATTGTGCTTTCAGCCACAGAATCTGACAGCTCAGATACAGGGAGCCCTGTTGAAGTCCTAAAGGACTGAGACTGGAACTTTCGGAAATCACATATGCGCGATTTAGAGGACTCACTTGGAAAGAGAGGCTTTCTGGATGCATGTCTTCAGGCACCTGAAGTGCCTTGAAGTGGGCGTGTGCTTGTTGAGGTTCAGTGCCCTTTTGGCCTTGCTTAAAGGAAAATTAAGAGGAACCGCCCACTTGGGGATTCCCCCCACTTTGACACATACCCAAGTGGGGTTGGATGGTGTTCCGCAAAATTACGCACTGCGGGTGTAAAGTGTTTGGTTTGCAGCGGTTTGGCTTTGAAGTTCCTTTTGCACTAGGCTCATTGAGGTGCTGAAACATTTTTCGGGGGGGGGGGTGCAACATGGATAGTTCCCGTGTTCCCTTCTCAACTAGGGTACACATTTTGAGGGTTTGGAAGGTTGCTTTTCAGAGGCTCAAACACCCCCAACACGGGCAGATGATGGCCCAAGACGTGGGCTTGCTTAGCGCACTCTGGGCCCCAGGAGGCCCATACAAAAACCACCCGGAGTTAGATGTTGGACCCACTTAGTAGATTGGAATCTCTTCCTCCAACTATCACCTTTGCAACCCTACCAAGTGCAAAATTCAAGAGACCTGGGGATTCATGCCCACCCACCCCAAGAGGTGCCAGGAAGCTTCATGGCCAAGTGCCTGGAACTCACCGAACGAATCCCCAGGACTTTGGCTCGAGAGGCGAGATTCGCGTTCGGAGGGTTCCTTGGGTCTGGATGCGCAAGCTGAGTAGGTGGCGACAAGTAGGTTGAGGCAGGTGAAAAAGGTTCACGGCCTTCCGTTGTTCTCTTCTTTTTTTGCGACAACATTGGGGAGGGATCCCCAACATTCGAATCCTAGCTCCTTCACTATCATGCTGAAAGTGTCTAACACTGCCAGGCGGGGTGTGGGACGGCTTTTCATGACTGGCACCATGAACTTGAGCACTGTCTCGTATGGTGGAAGTCAAGATCAGCCAGCCTCACATCTGCCAAGATCGGAATCCTTCTGGCCCCCAGGCCCCAAAGGCAAGGCGCGGCTCCCGTCCATCTCTGCGCCCCTCGGAGCCAGCGAGTCCATGAGGGTCTGACTGGCAAGTCCATGTGCTGAAACGCATAGAGGGGGTTCTTAAAATCGGGGACCCCTTGCATGGCTGTAAAGGGAAGTCAAAAGGAAACCACCTACCTGGACAGTCCCGTGTTTTGAGAAACACCCATATGATGGCCCATATGCTTTTGCTTTCCTGTTTTGGTCTACAAGGGAATCGACTTCACTGCTGGACATACGTGTGTTCATTTGTTCATTTTGTCCAGTGGACTCAAGCGGACGGAAGCTGGTTGCTGTCCTGAAAGACTCTGAAGGGACCCTCTGAGTTTGATGTAGGGTGTGCACAGGGTCCTGGACAGCCTGGAACTCTGCACAAGTGACCTGGGGTTTATGCAGGGTATGTGTCAGAGGGATTTGGGTGGCATCGGAAGTTTTGACGGGTTTGGAGGACATTGAAGATCATTGAAGCCCAGTAGGAAGTGGTCCGCCCGCTACGCCCATGAACGTTGGTATAGGCTGAGAGTTGAGGGGGCACCCCCCCCAACTTTTTTTGGGGCCTAGAATGGTGGTCCAAACTCCCATGCCGAAGATCGAGCAGTCGCAGGAACTTCACTGACTTTAGGAAGAACGATGGGTTTTGGAGCCGCCAGAGTATCCCTTTCAAAGGAAAAGTTGCCTACCACTCGGTCAGGTTCCATGTTAGTGCTGACTCCCATGGACCCCCTTCAGAGAGGTTGAAGAACAGGAGTCTTGACCCTGGCACCGGGCCTGTGTTTTTTGTTTTTTTAGTTTGTACCCTTGCTGGTTGGTTGGTTTAAAGGGAAACCGACAGGGACAAGTCGAACCCCAAAAAAGAAGACACACCCTTATGTCACGGCGTGGGCCAAGGAGTGGCAGGCAAAGAAGAGGCTGAGAGGCGGCGGCTTTTTCCGACTGAGCGAGCCAACGTGTGGATATGGGTCAAAATTAAACCACCAGGAATTGGACCGCAGGTTCTGGTCCATGTTTCCATTTACCAGGATTCCATTTTGGGGTTATATTGTTGACCCACAGCCACGAGGTTCGGACAAATTGCTGATCGATGATCCATTTCGCAGGCGAACAGCTCACAAAATGTTCTGCAAAAGCCAGGGGACGAGCACCCACATTTTGCCAATTTCTGCCATGTTCAGTTGAAGCAAGTCATTTCGACCGCGGAACCTTGACGGACCTTGGCAGGCTATCGAACCAAACCTATGGGCATGTCCTCCCAGCCATCCCCTTGGGTTTTAAACCGCTTTTTAGCGTTTTAGCGGTTGGGTTTCCATTTGACCCACTAAAAGTTGAACGCTTAGCCGGGGAATCCGCCAGTTTTGGGCTTTCCGCTATTCCTTGGTTGTGCCCTTTGCGCATTCTGCGCGCCAGGACCGTCGCCGAAGCCTGACTCGAGCATGGCGCGGCATGCGTGTGACCAGAGATTCAAGACATGGGAAAGGTCCGCTGCTTCCCATCAGCTTCAAAACATTATGGTGCAAGGAAAACAAGTGAGATCCGCAAAGTGCAGCCCCTTTCAGTTTGTTGGTTTGTTGGATACGCATATTGCGTAAGCCCGCCATATCACCGAATTCGAAGGTTTTGAGGCAGCTTGGACTGCCGTGAGATTCGCAGGCCATGCGAAGCATGGTTACGCTGCTAGAGGCAAAGCCTGTTTTGCACAGTCGGCTCACTGCAATCCTTCTCCGATTGACTTGAAGGCTCGTACCTAATCTCAGGGTTCCCTACGATAGCTACCCCGTACACCGACTACCCACTTTTGTTAGTTGGTATCATGTCAACCCTCTACTCAAAATGATGGGGTTTCCTTTAAACATACCCTTGAAAAGCGGAGGTATTTGGAATAGGGGGTATATTTCCCCTTCAAGCATCACGCCAACAGGAAGTTCTCACTTTCTGACACCTGGCGCGGGCTGCGGGTACTCCTGACCCTTGTCGGCGGACATGCGATGAGGTGAGACACAGCTATCCGGCAAACATGGCGAATGCAATAGGGCTTGTCCTTACGTATGTGCGTGCAAGAGGGTGTCATCTCTATGGATGTTCTTGGACACATCTTCCAACTTGCTTGTTGTTGACCTGTGAAGTTTTGCTTTTTCCGACAGAAGGGTTTAGATGGGCAGGAAGCAGACATCATGGGCCTTTTTGTGCTTTTTCAATTCGATTGGCTACCCTTGTTCTTTCAGTATGCCCCTTTGCCAAGAATCATGGATTTGTGGTTACGCCGTGACACGCCGTGACACACCGTGACACACTCCTCAACCTCAAACTTGGCCTCCAAACCTCAAATTTACCAGCCTCCCCTTTCCCCTGCAACCCCCCCCCCCCCAAAGGACCCTGGAAGGTCACTTGTATCATTACACAGATTGCACTAAGTACACATGAGTGATACTTGATAGCAAATTGCTTTTGCAGTCACTTAGACATAAAGTGACATCGTTTTGCCCAAAATCGATGTGCCGGCAATTAGCCAGCCATTGGGGGGACAGGATGTGAGCCTTTCCAGGATGGAGATCAGTCTTCCAACACCATGCGATCCTCCACTCCCATTGTTGGAAAGCGGGTAATTCTGAGTCCTATGTCATTCTCTCCGTGGCCACGGAACACATCTTTTTCGCAGGTCATGCTTGGCCAGTGAGAATATAATACATATATATATATATATAAATGTGTACCCGCATTGATTGGCTTTTCACGCCAGAATCAGAAGCTCAGCACGCTTTTGCTCAGCACGCTTTTGCTCAAGCACAGCGCCCTCAACCACGTTGAAGGTCCACTTGGAGATGTTGAGTTGGTAAGCGAACATATTGATATGGTGGGCGCGTCTTTTTGTTGGGAATCGGACCCCCCAACATGGGATCAATGTTCATGTAGGTTTTTCATTAAAGCCGCAAACAAGGAGGTTCATGTAAAAACAACAACAGACCCACACTGACAGCATGATCTTGAATACTGCTCCCCCACCAACACTCCAATCTTTCAACCACTCGACCAAGTCCTAAGTCCTGCTGTTGCGCTCCTCATGTGCGCGCATGGCGGCACCGCCGCGAACTTGGACGCTGGAATTCCACTTATGGTTCCATTTTCCTTTGTCATGGGACTAGAGGAATGAATTTGGGGACCCCACACTCCCCCTTCCCCCAGAAGGCAGGGGGGAGGTTTGCAATCTAACCTTCCTTTTGTTTGAGTTAGCCTCCTTTACTTGCTCGAATTGCAGCAACTTTTCACAAGCGCCCAAAACAGGAAGCCCACAAAAAGCACGGGTAATCTCGAAAAGGCTCCTTTTGTCCCTTTCTCTTTTTGTGTTCAGTGGGTTTCCCCTAGAAAGGTACCCAAAAGGGCTTCCTTTCTCTACCAGGGTCACTGGGTAAGCGAACACCAACTCCAAAAGCGGTGGCGGTGGATTGACCAAATCATTTTCTTGCTCCTTGCGTGCGCGCTGTGTGTTGTGTGTGTGTGTGTGTGAAGGTGCGTCAGCATGGCTTTTGAGAAATGGAGCAGAAGACCATCAATCGCAGAGATATCCACGGCACCTTCAATCGCTTGGACCGAGCAGCCTGCAGCCGCTTGCAGCCGAGCAAATCATGTTCAGCTTCCAGAAATGGGAAGGTCGCTCTATGGGTCCGCTCCCTCTGATTTTCCTTTCAACCAACCCCAAGAGCACCCTTTAGGGAAAACCTTTAGGGGGAAACCAGAGTCCCCGAATGTTGAGAAGTCTCTCAAAATTTGTAGTTCTGGTCTTGATTTCCCATTCAACTCTCCGATATCTTGACCTGTGCCCTGACAAAATCGGGCAAGCCGCGAGCCGGCTCCAGCATCCAAGCAACTATCAAAAGGGCAAACCTCGCCCTCAGAAAGTTTCTCTCAGAACCCTTAGATAAGAACTCCTTCGATGAGAAGGTTCCTTCCGAAGCTTTGCAGGAGCGTGGGGGGGAGGTATCCTTCCAGGGGGCAAATTTACTCATCGTTCCTCCTTTCACCATTAGCCACCTGTCCACTAACATGCAACCCACCCGAGGGTCCGGTTTACCGCAAAATAGTCTTCCACCCCTCAGTCAGGCTCCATGTCAGCGGACAGGGTACGAAGTTTGGATTTAAAGCACCCAAGCCAATTCTAACTTATTTAGGATCAAGACCATCACTCAAAGGGGCTTCGTAACGTTGGGTTGTGGCCTTGTCAAAGAACGGCCTGGACTCAAACCTTGGGCCTTACTGAATGCCTTGAGTGGCAACTCATGGCACCGGATTCAGCTGAGGAACAGAGAGCCTGGCGAGAGCCGGCCGGCGGCGGCAGCCCCAAAAGGGAAGATGCCGTCGCCAAATCAGACTCGCCGGACATGGGCGCGGTTGGTCAAAAAATTTGGGTAAACCCCGAAATGAATTGTCCTGGTGAATGGAACCAAGGACTAAACCCTGCGGTTTTCTGGCGGTTGAAGATTGATCCGTGCCCGCATGACAGAAATGCAAGACGTGGAAGATATGAAAGACACACATTTCAGACGGGAAACACCTGAAGGCTTGCAAGAACCCGCCCAACCCACCCAGCCCACCCAACCCACCCAACCCAGCCAACCCAGCCAACCCAGCCAACCCACCCAACCCACCCAACCCACCCAACCACCCACCCAACCCACCCAACTGTGAAACCTCTCCCTCGTAACCAAGGCAGAGCAGTCGCCGGTCCAAAACAGGCCTGGGATGCCGGCTCAACGTTGCAGCGTTTGGCTACCCTCACTCCCACAAATGCCATGGCGCCAGGGAAATGGTCCCTACAGGAACATCATCTTCGTATCTTCCAGAGGTGCCTTCTGTTAGTGGAGGGCAAATCCCTGCACAGCTTCCTGGAGGCGTTTTAGACAATTACCAACAGAAAACCACGGCTGTTCATGCAGGTGTGTGGTTGAGGGCGACCCTTTTCGAAAGGTAGCGTATGTGTTGGGGCCCGTTGACCAATGTTCGTTTTCTGGCGAACTCAGGATTGATCAATCTTCGGCCACCCAGTTTTGAGCATGGGTCACTTTTCCTGATGGTCACCCCATGGAACCAGCTTTTGATCAACCCCTGGGTCAGATTCTCCATTGCGGCCCAATATCTCAGCCCAGAACTTGGGGATCATGAATTGGATAGGTTGCCATGTTTGGAAGACGCTGACCTCTCGTGGGAAGGTTGGACCAGATCTACGACTACATCAGCAGACGGGATCTTACAGTCTGCAAGGTGTAGAGGTCAAAGTGAGCTCAAGTGCAGCCGGCAGTAGCGGGCGCACTGTTTGGCATTTTTTTCGACGCCGTCACCATGGCGATAGGGCAGCGGTTGATTCCCGAATGTTCGGTACAATCAGGGAAACCGACGAGCAGGGATACAAGGGGAACCAGGGATACAGGAGGATTCCCCCTAAATGCACCCTAACTAAGTTTGATATGGGAAATGGCCGTGGGTCAAAACCAATGGGATCCCATTTTCGGGTAGGTCTACTTTAGTGGGGATTGGGATGTTTGCTGGGGGTACGATTTGGCTTTTGAAAAGCCCATGGCCACTTGGGGAAATGGCGCCAAGTTGGCATTTTCCCATCTCCCACGGTGATCGAACCTCCGGGCCCTCGAGGTCTCGAGCTCTTTTCGCCGCCCCGCGCCCCAAGGCTCGGGGGATCTTTGGACCCAAGCTGGCCAGGTGGAAATGCCCAATGTGGTTGTGGGTTAAAACCTAAGTTGCCTTTTTGGGGATGGTTGCTCCACTGTTGTCTTTGTAGAAGGCTTTCTGGGTGTTCACCGGGGAACCGGGGTTTTGACTCAATAGCCATGTGTGTTTTCTCTTCTTCTTGTTTTTTTTCCGGGCGAACAAAACAGATGGCTCAGAACATCCATTTTTTTCCGGCCGAACGTAGGATGGCATAGACGCATGCGATGTGGCCAGGGCAAATTTGAGACCTGGGGCAGAGTGAGCCCAGACCAGCGTGATCATCGATTTCCTTTGGAATCCGCCACTGAATTGCACACTCGGGTGACCGTAGATGGGGTCGTTTCTCCCATTTGGCTTAGTCATCCCAATACGCAACCAGATTCACTATGTTTATTATGTCACCATGTATATTATATTATATATATATATTACCATCAATATCCAATGAACTATGCCATAATCCACCTTGTGTATCATGTATTTTGAGGGAACTGTGCCATCTGCTTCCTGGGGTGGGGGGGGGGGGGGGGGGCAATTTATTATCAGTCTGTGCCCAGGGCGCAGGCGCAGGCGGCTGCAAGTCCGGCCACCGAGCCGCCGGCCTCCCAGCCGACCGGGTGCTAGCGTGCCGAACTTTTTTGACCGCGAGGTGGGCCTAAGCCCATTTTTTTGTTTTTTTGTGTGGGGAAATCAACCGGGTTTGATTCAAGCCCCAACCCAGTTGTTGAAGCCGCCCTACACCCTTGGAGTAAGGAATGGAACCCTTCTTGTTTTGCGTGTGGCCTCTTTACCGCTGATCTTCAGGTGTGGACAAGGTGGAATGGTTTTGCATTCACAGGATATTTGTGCTCCTGTCCAGTCGCTGCGGACACTACAATCACCAAAAACTCTCCCCTACCCAACAAAAATGCACTTTTTTAGGGTATATGTTGGAAATCCGATCGATATTCCGTGGTAAAGGGTTGACATGATACTAGCTAAACAAGTGGGTATTGGGTCGCACAAAACGATCCCGAGCTTTGCTTCTCAGGCTGTCAACTTCTGCTTTCCATTCCGATCAGTTTGGCTCAAATCGCCTGCGGCCGTACTTTTCCTTTGCACAGATCCTTGGCTGCATGAAGAACAAGGGTTTGGCAAAATGCGGTTAAACAAGCATAATCTGGCTCCCCTTTAATTTAAGGGACGCCAAAGGTTCCGCTTAAGCAATCATGCAGTTGTTTAGGCATGTTTAACATCAGCTTGGTTCAACCGCGATTGGGGATCAGGCATCGAGCGTTCTTCAGAGTGCAGCCACCAGCCGAGGAGCATCAAATCCAAGTAGCCGCTTAGCTATGTCGCTGAAGGCACGCTCCTGAACGACTGAGCGATCCAAGCAGCCCCCAAGTTTTGCTCTTTTGTGTCCTGGCGCACACACAGAAGCTGGGCGTTGGACTATAATATATATATATATATATAGGCTCTATATATGTATATATCTATCTCTTGGCGGTTCTCAGCCGTCCCCGTAGGTATTTAGCTTTTTAGGGCTTGGTCGGGGTTTCCTTTTAAGCCACAAAGGAAAACCGTTTAGCAGGGGATCAGTAAACGGATAGCCCAGCTACGCACATAAACATTTTCCTTTTGGCCTGTGGTTTTGATTCGTCCCATCTATCTCGCACCGCCTTCCGTTTGGTGGTTTGCTTGTTCGCTGAAAGTTCCCACCGAGAAAAGCCAAGACGCGCCCCCCACCTCACCCACTTTGGGCCCCAATGTTCCTGAAAAGCGGGGACCTTTTTGGGTGGGCGTTCTCTTTAACGCGGCCTTGGCAGGCGAAGCAGAGCAAGATGGCGCCGCCCCCCACTGAGGAGGGTGGCAATAAGCCCGTGAAGAAGAAGGCGAAGCTGCTTGGTCGGTGGTCGGTTTGCTCTAGGGGTACGATCCTTTTGTCTTGAAAACCTCCGGACACCCAGGGAAAGCGGCCGGTTTTGGGAAAGAACGATGGTTGAAAAGAATGGAAAAGGAACCGACCCCTAGATCTGCCCATGCTTCCAAACGTAGGGGAAGCCGGGAACCCCCGCCCCTCACCCTTTGTGCAAGGACACGATGTTTTTTTGCGGGGTTCCCTGTGTTTGGGCCCAGTCAGATGACTTGGCCTCAATTTCTCGAAGCGGTGCAGGGCAACAAGAAGGCCATCAAGACCAACTGGGGCTACTACATCCTCAAAGTCCTGAAGCAGGTGCCCGGCTGGAGCTTGCCCTCTGCTGCCAAATACCTCCGGTTTTTATAGGCGGCATTAGTGGGAACACCTCACGGTTTTCCATGGTAATACCTCCTTTTTTTGCAAAAGGGTTGACATGATGCCCAATAAACCACTGGGTGTTGGGTGTAGGAAGTACAGAGGTCTCCCCTGGCAAGTCTTGGCGAAGAGACGGCTGCCTATTGGGTTTTGATTCCACCGGTTCGGAGGTAAAAACGAGCTCACTATGCTGTAGACCCTTTACGCGGAAGTCCTTATTTCACGATTTGGAATTGTCAACGCAATTTGCATCAGGGATGATGTTGTGTCACAATGCTAGCCTTGCCAGGTGCATCCGACCTTGCGCATCTCCAAGCAGGCAGCAGTTTGCATCAAATTCGTTCAGTGTGTAGCTGAGAGGCTGACTGGGATGCGCCGCCAATCTCACCAGGTGGCTGGTCAAAACCGTGTTGGGATCCCATTTTTGGGTAGGCGAATTCACCACCAAGTTTAGGCTTCCTATTTTCGTGGTTGTATTGGGATGTTCACTGGGGGTGCGGCCATGGGCTTTAGACCCTGGGCGCAGGCGATGGCGGTGATGGTGTCCTGCGTGGAGGACACCTTTGAGCGGATCTCCTTGGAGGCGCTGGAGCGTTTTTTTTCTTTCTTTTTTTTCCCCCCCCGTTTGGTGAAGACCCCTGGAAAAAAAAGTATGTCCAGTAGGGATAAAAAAATCCTTTTAAAACCAACAAGGGAAAACAAATAATAATATTCTGAAGCAAATGGACGTTTTTCTTGGGCGAGGGGTAGGTCTTTGCGGGACTTGGCACCCATGAGAAAGAATGGCAACTTGGGACCCAATTTGGAGGATGAAACTCCTGAACGGTACATATATCGGGGGTTATAAATTTTCCGGTTTGAAATGCAGGGTGGGTGGTTCCCCTATTTCATGGGTGGGTTCGCCAGGGGTATCCCCCAAGGCATCTCGGTGTGGTTCCTTTTCTTGATTTGGTGCCACTTTATTCGTGTTTTTCTTTTCGTCTTTTTTCGGGGGGGGGGGGGGACACGCCATTTGGGGGGTCCGCGGAGAAAGGACAGACCCATTCTGGGTGAATAGGGGTTGCGTTGACATTTTCAGGGGTCCGATTCTGAAAAAATGACGAGCCACCCAGCCTGACATTCAAAGCACCATTAAAGCTTGACTGCTGTTGGTTTGGATCTTTAGACTTCAACTTTTGGGGAAATCAAGTTGGGTTTTCCATTAAACCCAGAACAAGTGAAACTTTTTGCGGAGGGGCCAACGGTAACAACCAAGTCCCCCAGCAGTGCCCTTTTACCGTTTCTTTTTTGGTTGGGACGGTTCCCCTAGTAAAATAGACTACAGAAAAGAGTTGGTACCCTTATTCTAACCTCTCTACTGTAGGACCAAGACGAAGAAAACGAACAGCGGCACGTGCCAGGCGGGCAAGCTGTGCAGGAGAGGTGGGCAGAAGTCCCTCACCACTCGCCGCTTGGCCTTCCCTTCGGGCCGGGCTAGACTCGTTTTTCAGGGAATCGGCCCCCCCCCAAAGTGGCCATGGGTCAATCCGCACTAAAATAGACTAAAATGGGTGGTGCACCTACCCCAAAATGGGATCCCATTGGTTTTGACCCACAGCCACATGGCACGGCGTTGTCCTCTTGGTTTCCCCGTAATGATTTAAATTTCACACCCAAGCAACGCCTGCTCACCCACAATGGGTGTGTCCTTCCTCACTGGATTCCCTAAGATGGCGTCAGTCTTCCCTTTGGTTTCCCGAGAAAAAAACATTTTAAAAACAACACCATTTGAGTCTGACGCGGGATCTCCAAATACAAGGGGGTTTGTTTGAAGCTCTTTTGAGCTTCAAGAGTGGCCAAGCACCCGGAGAAGCTCCGAGTTTTTTGGTTTGCCCAGGAACTTCTACCGTTGGTTCTCGCCTTGGATCCAGTCCGAAACGGGGCAGCTTTCCCCATGAACTTTTCTGGTTCCCAAAGAGAAACCAGAGAGACTACCCATCAGCATCCTGGGGGCATCCAAGATTGGGCCCAAGACCCTAGAACGGGTGTGTGTCAAATTGTGTGTCGGTACCTTGGTGAACGGGGAAAACAAAGGGACACCGGACACCGGACCCCTTTTTGGGGGTCTCCCTATTTGGCTGTGGCTCAAAAAGCCGGTACCAAGCTGGGACCAAAACCCGCGTAACCCCTGAGGTTTAATTTTGAGCCACGCCCATGTTGACACATACTCAGGTGTTTTGTCGTCCGGATCGATCCGAAGGCGACATCCAGTCCGCAGTGCGCCTGGTGTTCCCTGGAGAGCTCTCGAGGCATGCGGTGTCCGAGGGCTGCAAGGCGCGTTTTTTTTTCTTTTCTTTTTTTTTCTCCACCGCATTTTCTTGGTTTTGGCGGCTGAACTTTCGGTTTAATTTTGAGAGGCCAAAAGGAGAGTTTCCGGAAGCCAGCCATTTTCTTTCCACCCCCCAACTTGCCTGCTTTTCCCAGGTCCAAAATCCCAAGTGCTGGCCTTTTGGCGAGGTCCAATCTTTTGTTTGCCGCAAATGCCACTTCTTGGACAGGGCTCCTTAAAAGATACATTTTGCCCATTTGAAACATGGCTTTTTCCACCAAAATCATGGGAAACCACGTGTTCAGGTGTAAAATGTAAGGATCTCTGTTGGACGAGGTTGTGCGAGTCTCGGAGCCGCGGGGGTCTGAAGGGGCAGCTTTGCCTTGTCTTTGCTGTCCGGGATCTTCTGGGTAGACCACTTGATCAGGCTTTGATTCTTCACAGCTTCTCATGGTCCACAGTATGGCCACCCTGCACAAAGAACAAAACCTATGGCCCGGAATACGTAAGCTAGGCTTCTCATGGCCATATCCTTTTCTTCCATTTGCTTAAGAATATGTGTTATTTTCCCTTGTTGGTTTTAAAAGGAGTTTATCACTGGACATTATATATATATATATATTTTTCTCCCAGGGGTCTGAACCAACCGGAAGTGTTCATTCCCCAAGCTGAAGCGAGCTAAGACGGCAGCGAGGCCGTGGTGACCTTCCAGGGCAAGGAAGAGGAAGGCGACAAGGACGACGAGGAGGAGGATGAGGAGGAGGATGATGCCGGGGCAGCTCAGACGGTCAGATGTTCAGATGGCGGAAGAGAATCGTGGCCTAGGGGAAAGCTACCCACCTGCTCCAAAGACCCACTTGTTTTAAGGTTTTCTGGGGAAAACCAGGTTTTCCATGAAAAACACTTGACATGATACCGTAAAAAGGAGGGTATTGGGTGTAGGGGCTAATATGGGTAGTGGATGGGCGCAGAAGGACCGACTGCCATATGTTGACTGCAGGCACAGGATGAGTGATTTGCTCGAGCCGGCGTGACACCTCCAGATTGGTTCCGAATGCCAACACCTTGTTTGGGAGTTCGAGAATTGAGGTGTCGCGCGGAGGGCACTAGGTCAGCGTCCTACGCCCAAGTGGCAAAGAGCCACGAGCATCTTTACCAGGGTTTCGTGCCCGCTGTGCCCATTTTTACGACCAGCAATGAGCCTAAGTTGCTTCGTATGCGCCACACCTTGCCGCGCGGAAAGAGCCGCCACTTTTCAAGGTTGGCGGAAAGGCACAAACCCGTGGCGCGCCCGCTCTTTGAGCCAGCTGAGTGTCAAGATCACGAGAAGATTGGGGGGAAGCTCACGCGACCTTGCGCTTTAGCTGGAGAGGGTGGAGAAAAAGAGCGAGCGCGGCCCCACAGCAACCCTCTGGCATGACAGGGTGATGGCTTCTCGCCCTTTGACTTGCCTGATGAACCTGTCACCTTTCGACCTCTGACCAGCACAGGCCCTGGTTTTCAAGAGACATCAAAAGAACACCAACCACCTGGGGGTCCCTTTGGAGATGCACCGAGCTTCAGGCCAACAGCGCGAAGCTCTGGAGGCTTGGCTGCGGAAGTGTGCGTGGACCTGGATGAGCTCTACATTTCTAAGACAAAAACGGGACTCACTAATTTTCCCCATGAGGGAGCTTTTGTTTTGTTTCTCCATGTCTGCCGGCCTCCCAAAAAATACCGCGGCCCTTTTGGATCAAAGACATCCTGACCGAGTGATGCTTCTGGCAAGATTTGCTGCAGCATTTGACCGCAGGATACAGTGTCTTCTTGAACCCATCGACGGCTGAAGTACTGTTGGCCAGCACTCGGAGATGTCTTACAGGACACCTGGGGATGTCTTACAAGACGCAGCATACTGCTCGACATTGTGAGCACTGAACTCGCACCAAGCAGGCTTCTGTGTAGGGATTTGGACCCACATGGGCTTCTTGTTTTGCTCCTGGCTGTGGCTCAAAAAACCGCTACCACAATGGAACCTTGGTATGTGGAAACATGGACCAAAACCCGCGTAACCCCTCCTGTTTAATTTTGAGCCACAGCTTCCTGTAGCTTTCCCTTTCATGCAATAGGCATCGGTGCCATCCGATGGCGAAGATCCTGCTTCTGCTCCTGCCGCTGGTTTCTGGCAAGCTTATCGGTGCGGGAGTGCTTCCGCACGGGGACTTTGCATATGACCCGAGCCTGGTCAACAACACAGGCAGGCGGGTTTCAAACGGTACACCTATGTGTGCTGCGGGAGGTCGGAACAAGGATCTCGCCATTGGAGCTAGTTTGGTTGAACATAGATAGGATTTCATTGGCTGCAGTTCGGCTCGATGTTCATTCACAACACGCCTTCCATTTTCTTCCAAAGAACACACACACACACATACATCTAGGGACTCGCATTTGTGTTTAATCTCAACATGAGACCGCCCTCAAAGTTGTGGTTTCCCTGAACAAGCCAAAGAAGGCGCCCTCAAAAGCAGCCCCGCCCTTTGGTCCGCCGGAAGCTGCTCGTGTAGGTGGCTCGGTGCATCTCCACGAGATGTCGCTGCGCCTGGGCCGCGACATCGCGAGCTTCCGGCCGGAGATCATCTTCCTCAGCACGCCGCGACCGGGTGGAACAAAGCGTGAGCAACGGTCGTGAAACCCCGGGTCAAGGGACAGTCCCAAAAGCTGCAGAGACTTCTGCGCGTTGGTTTACGTGGTTTTGGGGGGTTAAAGCGTTCATGCGCACCGCCTCGCTCGCGGCGAGAACAAATGCCCTTTCTCCCCTCCCCCCTCCGCCGCCCCCTCCCTCCCTTAAACAGGCCTCCCAACGGTGTGATTTCAATTCAAGGCACGGCCTGGAGCTCTCCGAGCGCTACCTGGTCTACTTGAACGCCCGCGACGCCGGCAGCTCGCCCTTGGACGACTCGCCCGCGGGCAAGGGCCGCCAGGCGCCGCTTTGCCGCAAGTGGCCGTGGGAATCAAACCCGCGGCCACTTGCAGCGATGCAACATAATGTTGAATCATGCAGCGGAATGTTGGGCCATCCCTAAAGCAAAGGTCAAGGATAAGCCCGATCAGGGCTTCAAGTGAATGGGTAGAACCCTCCTTTGAGGGTTCTCCACATAGAGGTCCGTGTGGTGTGTGTTCTGAGGGTACCTTTCAACCTTTTACAGGCAAACCAAACGGGCTACCATTTTTTGGGACCCCAAACTCCAGATTTGAGACACATGACATACCCCCGACATTCTTTTTCAGGTCAACGTACTGAACCAGGAGGTATGTATCATCGACCGGTTCTCCCACAAAAAATAACAGCTTAAGCCGAGCGGTGTAGTTGTTTCCCCCTGCAGGTTCCGATGAACTTCTCCACGCCCACGAAGGTGGCCTTGGAATTGCTGTCAGCCCTTCAGGCCAAAGGGTTTCCTCATGCGGGTCACAGCGCGCCTTGAGGCTCGGCATCGCCAGGTATTCCAGTTTCACCTTCCAGTTGGACCAAGCAGCAAGTTGAAAAGAAAGGCTTTTTGCCATCCTGGAAGAATTTCCTTTGATCTCATCATAAGGGCCCCATCAATTAGATGGAGCTGTGGGTGCTCAGAAGGAAATCTATGTATGATCCGGGGAGAATCATGCTTGTAAATCATCCCCTTGACTCTGATTTTCCAGGCGTTTGGGTTGACGAGTGGGCTCTCTCTTGCATGTCAAGGTTGAGTCAGCAAGCTCAGGCGTCGGGCCAGGCCCCGGTGAAATCCACGGTTTTGCGGTCCAGACGGTTCCGAACCAGTTCAACTGGAGGTGTTTAGTTGATTTGTGCGTGTCCTCAAAAAAGGGAAGGGGGGGCATACTGATCGAAGGCCTTCCATCCACATTCCTGCAGTCCAACAGGGGTACCGGATTTCGCCTTCAAAAGTTGCAATTTTTGCCGGAGGTTTCCATTGAAACCATCGACACTTTCAGTTCCAACCAGGAGGAAGCCCTGTCCAAACCAACCAGGTCCCAGTAGTGCCCTTCTCTCCCCTTGCTTGGGGAGGGTTCCCCTACTAAAACAGGACCATAGAGAGAAAAAGGTCGGCACCCACCTGTTCTAACCTCTCAAATCTGGAGGACCCACAACCCCATCTTTCTCAGCTCGGGCTCGCAGGCGGAGAATTTGCCCGTGGAGGGCCTGCGCGGCTTCTCCGATGCCCGGCCGCTGCCGGTGAGCTGGGGGGAGATCCTCCCGCTGTCGACGCTCGGACGCGGCGGCGGGGGCCGTGGGGCAACCCACGAAAGGATACGCCACAGGAAGGGACACCCAGAAGGTTTGTGAATTCACATCAGAAACCTATGCAGTTGGTTGAAAACCGGGAAATGGGCCGCAGGTATTTTAGTCCGGTTTTTTTTCCTCCAATGTTCCAGTGCCTGTTTTGGGCAACCACTGCCATTTCCGGATTTCGCAACCATCCTTTCCCCCCTTTTCCGTCTCAAACACCACTTCTGGTTTCCATCTCAAACCACCAGAAAAGGGGTACCCAAAAAAATACAAACTCAAACCCAGACATTTTGCCCTGGCTCCTGCTGATTCCCCACGCCTCTCAAGCAACTCATGTCGTTATTTGAGGATGCTCTTTCTAGGGTTGGTTTACATTGGGAAACCCAAAGGAAAAACAAGTTTGATTTGCGAGGTACCTAGATCGCCAGTTGCCCTTATTCTGGGAAACCCAAAGGAAGAACAAATTTGATGTGCAAGGTACCTAGATCCCCAGTTGCCCTTATTTTCCAGCTACTTTTGCCAAACTATGGGGCTGCTAGTGGGTATGGTGGCTGGAAAAAGTTGCTACTTGGGGTTCCAGGTATGTCCGCGCGGCAGCTGACGGGCAGCTGCCGCCTGTTCTGCCCATGTCCTTCCCACTGCGGTGCCTTGGCAAGTAGATGTTCGAAATCGGCGAGATAATTCCATTTCTTGTACAATTCCTTTTTTTCTTCCTTTTTTTTCTTTTTCCCCTTTTGCCTTTCTTTGTCTTTCTTCTTTTTTTTGGGGGGGATGAGCCATCCCAAAAGCTGCGCGAAACCCCTATGATGTAGGTCCTTCACCATGATGACTTGTTTCGGTTTTGGGTGTATTTCAGATTTTGGAATTCGCAGATCCGATTTTCAACACGGCTCCCTTGAAGGAGCCTCAGACCCAGGTTTCGAGCTCGGAGGACTGCATTCTGCAATTTTTGGCGGCTCACTTGAATGAGCGCAACGGAACCCATGGCCGGATCGGCCCTTTGCGGGTCCTTTTGTTGGGCACTGCCCAAACATACGGCAAAGCGCCGCCTTCGGCCTTCGGCTTGGGCTTTCGCAAGGCGCTTCAATCACTCCGCCGAGATGGTAGAAGAGCTGCTGCACTTGGGAAGAACTGCTGGGAGCTTCCTGGAAAAGCTGCCGCAGCGCTGCTTTGAATGCAAGTCGAAGTGATGAAGAAGGCTGCGGCTTCTTTCTGTTCGAAGGAGGCCGCAGATATTGTGATTGTTTTGTGCCAATGGTAGGTTGGTACCCTACCCCGTTTTGGAGCTCACCATTTGCAGGTACTGGTTGAACCTTTCCTTTAGCGGTGTGGTTTTGAGTTTATAGCCATCGGAAGGTCAGCACAGTCTTAGAACGTGGCCCCTGTTTGAAAAGCCCAGCTTGGAGATTGATCTAAAATTCCTTCAGCAACCGGCACCCCCTTTTTTCTCGATGGTTTTTTTGCGGCTAGGGCGCTGATTTCGTTCGAGGATTCTTGGACTCCGGACGCGTCGCAGCCTAGGAGTGTTCTGGCTGGTTTCCGCCGACCTGGCCCACACCTACCTGAAGAGTGGCCACCTGTCCTGGCCTTTTTTTTTTTGGGGGAGGGAAAGCAAAAGGACAGGTAGCCAATTTTGCGGTTTGGGGGGTCCAATCTGAAAATTTGAGCAAGTGGTGTGAGTGTGTTGTTTTGGAGGCTCGGTATCTTTTTTGGTTCGGGATGGATTCAAAGGGAAACCAAAGCCGAAGGGGAAGAGCCAGGCCGGCCAAAGCCCAGGATTCCGATCGAGCCTTCCAGGGAGTCTGATCGAAGGCTTCTCCATTTTTCTTGTCGGCTTCACGTGTTGCGTGTGCGTGAGTCTCCGTTGCATCGTCTACCTCTCTTTCGCAACCTCGATCTGGGCCAGCAAATCGTGGTTGCAGCCTTGCGATGTTCAAAGTCTCCAGTTTCATCATGTCACGAGTCCTTTGCCTGGATTCCCTTTCTGAACTTGCCGGGCAAATTCAAACAAGAAGCCAAAAAGTGGGACTATGTTCATGGATAGGCCATGGGGTTTCTGGGTTCCTTTTTTCCTCTTCCAAGCACTCGGCCCTCGGCCTTGCTTTGCATCACTTGCTAGGTCCAGTAGTGCCTTTTACCGTTTCTTTTTTGGTTGGGACGGTTCCCCTACTAAAATTGGTACCCTTATTTTAGTCCTCTCTACTGGAGGACCTAGCTTGTAACTCGACCCAACGTTCGGCGAGGTCCCTATGGGTTCTGCCCCTGCGCGCAGCCCTTTGACGATGCGGTGGGGCGCTGGGTTTCGACCAGCAATGCCTCCAGCCTGCTGGTGGAGGCACGCCGTCTGCAGCGACGCCCGGCAAAGAGCCGCAGCGACGCGTGATAAGGAGTAAGAATGGCAGACTCCTACAAATGGAGTCTGAAAACCATGGCACAAATGACGAGGGGATCACGCATTTTGGAACTCACTCAAAGGTTGCTTTTTCTCATGGCCGCTTCATCATCAGGTCATTTTGGAGTGCAGAGACAAGTGGCAGAATATGCGTTGCGCTTTTCTTCCCGCGCAATGCAACAAAGTTAGCGCCCGTACGCGCTTGTCCATGCCCCACTTTTGTTGAGGGTATCATGTCAACCCTGTAGTAAATCAAAAAATACCCACAACAAAAGCGGAGGTATTTGGAGTAGGGGGTATAGCTTGTTCCCTCTGAGGATTGCTTGGCTGGGATTTTGTCTTGTTGTTTGAGCGCTCGTTTCTTTGGGCCCGCATGGAACACTTGCCCCGCAAAGCCACGGTGTTTGCGTTTGCAGCCGAATGGACATGGCACAGATCCGCGTAAGCGACGGATTTTCCTTTGACAATCACTCGCCTTCCTTGCATCAAACCGCAATCAAAAGGGTGTTCGACGGCTGCGCACCTGCAAGCCTCAGAAACAGGATCCCCCAACCATTTGGCCCCGTGGTTTCATCCATTTTTCCGTGGTTCCATCCCTTTTTGGACTTCGCCCCATCTGTACCTCGAGCCGAGGTGCCGGTGCCATGTCCTGCGGTTTCACCGGCCTAGTGGCCCTGCAGGGCGCGCTGTCGCATGCGTCGCAGTGGGCTGGGGAGCTGTGGGCCAATGCCCATCCCACCTACTATGGCATGCCACTCGGTGATGATGGGTATGGGTCAAAATGTCAAAATCAAAGCACCAAAAGAACCGCAGATTTTAGTGCTTGGTGCCAGAAAACCAGGGTTCTGTTTTGGGCACTCATTTGTGACCCTCAGCCATGTGTCTGAGCATGCCTCTTGGGTTCCTTCAAGGTGTCTGAGCCAAACCAATGTGGTGAGAGTTTCAATAGAAAGCCACCACTCAATTGATCAGCTTTTGACTTGGGGAAATGCAGTGACTTTCCCTGCCTGCCCAGGATAAGTGGCAGAGACACCTCGTGCTTACTTTTTTTCCCTGCTCTTCTTGTGTTCCTGTCCTTTTGGTTGGGGCAAAGGGATGCTCGCCAGGTTCAGGAGGTATGGGGCCCATGAGCGCCAGACTCATGACTCTCAGAGGTTGTTTCTTAGTGGGCCTGGACGACGCGTGAGATGGTGTGTTTGTTTGATGGAGTTGTTCAGGGTTGTGGGATCAAGGGGTTTATCCCCACTTCTGTGATATCAGGGAATCTCCCCCTTTTTAAGGGGCGCGGAGGGCGTCTTGGGGAAGCCCATTTTGTTGTATCACGGAAGTGGTCATTTCCCGCAGCCCTGAGTTGGAACGATCTTTACTTTGCAGCGATCTCAGCGAGACGATGCTTTGTGAGCCAGATTCCCATAGTACTCATCGGACAACAGCTCCCTTCGTGAAGACTAGGCAAGAATTCTGATGCAAGAAGAGAAGCATCGCTCTAGGCGCATTGAAGCTGGTCTAGGCCCGAAGGCTCACCACGAACAGCCTTGCGCCAAGGATGGTGGCCAAATTCAGCTTGCCCGACGTGATCATGGTCTAGAGTCTAGCGTCTGAGCGTCTGCCGGCATCGGTGAGACGCATTCCAGCGTGGCAGAGGGCATGTAGATCGGAAAAGGATGAGGCAGCAAGGTGCCATGGAAAAAATAAAAAACAAAAAAACTGAAGGTTTGATTAAAGACATTGAAGCAAACTTGAATGTGGGGGGGGGTAACAGGGAGAAGTAAAAACAAATCAAGACTCGGAGTTGGGCCTATTTAAGAAGTCTCTCAATAAGTACAGTTGTAGATTTTTTTAGACGTTCTTTGCTTGGAGTTTGTTTAGTCAGTATTGGTTTAGTATTCGTTTATACTGCTTCAGTAGTCCTTAGAATTGGTTTCGTTTTTTTGAGCATTCCTCCGCACTGGCTCAGGGATTCTGTTTGTCTCCATTATATTTTCGAGGCTTCCCTGTACCACCCACTGCCACCCCCTTGTTTTTTTTTGCCGCGATTTTGTGAAGGGTGTGGCCTCAGTTGGTTTTGAGTTGGTTTTGCTGGCTCAGGATTGTCTTAGTATTGGTTCAGTATTAGTTAGTAGTCGAGTCCTGGTTTGTATTAGCGTGATATTAGGTTGGTAGAAGTTTAGTATCAGTTTAGTATTCATTTAGTATTGGTTTAGCATTCGTGTGCAATGGCCCAGATAATGTTATTCTCTTTAGTTCCTCCCCTAAAGAATTCATTGCCATTCACTTTTCAGGGCTTCCCTGTACCATCCCCTTGGCACCTGGGTTTGCTGGCTCAGGATGGTCCTAGTATTGGTGTAGTATTAGTTGGGTATTCGCAGATAGAAGAGTACTAGTTTCGTTTTGCCAGCGCTTGGAAGCGTAGTTTTTCTTCTTCGTTTTTTCCGCGCCGCCGGACAGGCAGCCATATTGTTCCCACAGCAAACCATATTTTCAGTATGTCCTCCCCCTGTATCTTTTCAGGGTGGGGAGAATCATATTTTGGGAGGACTTTTCCAACCTGCCTACCCGACATTACAATGGACAGGATTGCTTTGAAGGAATCCATGACGGCCCACAGAACGAGCATAGGATAGGTGTCCTTTTTCGCTTGGTTTGGCTAAACATAGATGGCACTGGTTTAGATAGTTGTGTTTTTTTTTGCTCCATTTTACCAGGGCGAAGGAGTCTTGCCGATTCGCGCAGATTCGTGGCGACCTCTCGAGAGGCATGGCCGACCTCTTCGACGCCAAGAGCCTGAGCCACAGCGTGAGCGGCTTTCTCACAGGCCTTGGGACAGGCGGGCGTCAGGTTTTTTTGTTTGTAGGTTTCTCTCATCTGAGCCACAATCAAAACCTGGGTAAATGAAGGTTAGTAAGGGGCGATCCCAACCATAAATAGCTACGGCCGCCTTTTTAATCCGGTACATGGTTCTGGGTAGACCGTTTTAACACCAGGTTGTGATTGCGACTCATCTCGACTAGGTGCCCCGGTAGTGCCCGTTTGCTTTTTTTTTTTGGAGGGGGGTTCCCCTACTAAAATAGACTACAGGGAAAAGTTGGTACCCTTATTCTAACCTCTCTACATACTGGAGGACCTAGTTGAAAACACTCCGCGGTTTTGAACTTCAGCTTTCCGGCCCTAAGTTGAGTTTGGTTGGTGTGGTGCGCAGGGAAGTTTTGTTGGGAGCCCGGTCGGAGAGTCGCAATGACCTGGTCCAGTGAGCGGCAAGGAGGGAGTGGGATTCCCTTCAGAGCTTCCAGTGGCATCCAGTGACCCCTGTCGGTGAATGGCAGAGAGTCACAATGACCTGCTATCTGGAACCAGAGGTGAGCCACAATCAAAACCCGGGTAGATGAAGGTTAGTAAGGGACGATCCCAGCCAGAAATAGCTGCGGCCGCCTTCTTAGTTCTTTACATGGTTCTGGGTAGACCATTTTAGTACCAGGTTTTGATTGCGACTCAGGTGATGCTGCAAGATGTTGTGGTGCTTGAATGATTAGCCTGTAATTGTTCATGGACCCCCCAAACGGGGATCGATCCATTTCTGAGACCATCCACGGTTCATCTGGGAGCAAGCATCACCCCGAAAGGAGTTTTTCTGAGACCATCGATGGCTCATTTGGGAGCAAAAATCACCCCGAAAGGAGTTTCACTCTAAGTTGGCGACCTTTTGAACCTGTGGAAACCCACGACGGGGGAGGGGGGGGAAAGTCTGCCAGGTGATTGCTCCAGCGTGTCGGACTTTGGGCCCAGGCGTGCCAAGAAGTTTCGGTCGAGCGGCTTCGAATCTTAAGGGCATAGAATTGTCTTCCTGGCGGATTCACGTGGCCTCGGCTTTCGTTTTGGTTGCACAAAAACACCCACCCCAAAAAGGGGTCCCCCGTTTTGGCTCCCAAAAGCGGTCTTCCTCCCAAACAGTAGATTCTTGCAGGAGACAGCTTTTTTCCTGGCAGTCTTCAGCTCGGCAATGATTAGAAGGGAACCAACCGCCCTCAAACAACGTTTATTGCAAACGCTTCGCGTTGCCCGCCTCAACCAGTCCGTCCCCTTTTGGCTGCTTTAGTTTGCTTTGAAGTCTTGTGTTTGCTTGAGCTGGCTTCCAAGGTAGACGGTGGGTGCATGTCTGCGTGTTTCCACATGGCTTCAAGGGCCAGAACGAGAGCTGCAGAGAGCTACAGAATGGCAGTGAGCTTGGGCCAAGCGAAGGTGAATTTGACTGGAGTGGGGGACTTGAAAGGGATTTTGACTTGTTTCTGGGGATGTGACCGGGGCTTTGAGAGAGAATTTTGACCGGTTTCCGGAGGACGGGAAGTCGCCCGGTTTCTAGGGTGATTTGATCAGTTTCTTGAACGGTTTCTGCGGTTTTTAGAGGGGATTTGGTCACTTTCTCGAGTTGGATCGGCTTTGGGGGGCGGGCGCGAGATTCCAAAAAGTTTGCGAAGGGGGGGGGGGCTGAGGCGAATTTTGGGGTGGTAGGGCTTCTTTTTTCTCCACTGAAGGTGCACAGGCGAGCCTCAAAGCAGCGCGCGCGATGCGGAGCCAAACCCCATCAGGCTGGATCCCCGAAATTGGTGAGAAGGAGTGGGGTGGGGAGGGGTGGGGCGGGGTGGGTGCCTTTGAGTTTTCTAGATCGCATTGTGGCTTTTTGTGTGTTTTGGTCTCGCTTCAAACACCCAAAAAAGGTGCCCTGCAAAAGGACACGCCCAAGCTATGTGTCAGCCCAGTTTGGGGCTTTCTTCAGAGACTCGTGAGGGAGCCTCGCGGCGTTTCGCGAGGCAGGAAGATAGCTGGGAGGAGCCGAGAGGCGATTCGGCTTCGGCGATTCGAAGCGAACAGAGAAGTTGGACCCCCCAAAATGGCCGGGGGAGGCTTGAGCTTCCAGGAAAGTGTGCGGGGGAGGCCTTAGCTAGAAGGCCGCCTCCATTTTCAGCTTGTTCTTACGCTGATGGTCCCCGTTTTGCCTTCAAATGAGCCGCCCAGAAATCTCCAAAGCGGTTCTGCCCGCGATTCAAGCAAGGAATGCCCGATGCGCAAGAGGATGCAACCGAAGTTGCAGCGCGTTTTCGAACCAATGTGGTTGTCAGTTTGGTTCCCCTCCGTCCATGTTTGCATTTGCCGGGGCAAACCATTTTGGGGGTGTTTCAATGCTTGACCACCGCCATGCAGCAAAACATACAAAGTGGTTCTTCACTCCATGGCACTTCCCTGCAATCCACCGGCCCGGTGAAAGTGAATGAGCTGAGGTGCACGGCAGGCCAGCCATCGGGCCTGGACCCCAGAGGGTCACTTTGGGTCAGCTCCAAGTTGAGCCGGTGGATCTCAATCGCAAGGATCTCCCTACACCCTCGGGATTGCACAGGGAAGTTTTTACAAGCAGATAATAAGCAGACAATCACGGGACATAGGGGTATAGGGTGATATTTTGTTCGGGCGTAGTTCAGAGGGTAGTGGTCCCACGAAAAAGAAGTGCTGTCCACTTGAGGAGTCGCCCCCCAGCCGCAGCCGGAGCGGCCTGGAGACGCTTTCGCCCCGAGCCGAAAGGGTGCCGCGAGCCGAGAGAGCGAACCGAGCCTCGGTGCCCCGGCTCAAGAAGGGTTTGGGGGGTACGTGGGGTGGTCGTTTTTTTGGGGTTGCACCCTTCCTCCCACAGTGCCATGGCACCCGAAACTACCTGGAAGATGAAGTTCCTCTTGAAGGGGAGCCTCTGTCAGGTGTTGGGAGGGGGTACCCTTTTTGGGTTGGGTGCAGGGAAGCCAAGGCGAAAGCAGGAGTTGAATTTCCAGCATTCCTTGGCACATACCCATACATGAAACACCCACCTGTACAAGGTTTGGATTCAATGTTTTACCGGGGTTCACCCGAGGGCCCCAAGGAGGGGGAAAAAACAACAGGAGCTCCGCATGTGTGGCCTCTTCACCCACACAACCTGGTAGATGATTGTTGGATTATTGACTCGGTTTTGGGGAGGCTACTTAGATATTTGTTTTGGATTGTGACTCCCCTACAGGGCACCTGAGCAGCGCCCAACACTCAATAGAGCCATCTGAGCAAGTGGTTTACCTGGTTTCAACGCGTCATGGTCCACAGACCGCCTTCACGTGGGGTCTTGCGATGGTCATCAAGCTAATGGTTCTTTGACAGGAGTGAGGGTTGATTCCTCAGACTTGGAAAGTCGAGAGAGCTGTGTGCGTGTTTCTTTGGGTCCATTCTAGAAGGCGCTGCGAGGCCTTCTCAAAGTTTTACTTTTGGAGTTTGTGTTCCTTTAAACCGCAGCTTGGGTGTCTCTATCAGGGTACCCCTGTTTTGGTCGTAAAGGGGAGCCAAAAGGAAAGCCGCCATTTTGGGGTCCCCTAAAAGCAGACACACCGATTGAGAGGATAGTATTTTAGGATGTCACTTCAATGGAGGATGTTTTTTGTTCAAAATTACCAGCACGTCGAAATTTCGGGACACGGTCACGAAACTTCTAGAAACCAGGGGACGAGGCCTAAATGTCCCTAATATGGTGTGTTTCTCAAAAAACGGTGGACCCTTCTTAGCCGAGAACATGGGCACCCGACTTCTGCGGGTGTGTATCATGGCACCCATTAGAGTCCGTTCTTCCTTTCGTTCAAGCAGATTTAAGGGTCTCCAAAGACACACGCTCATTCCCTTCGGGTTCCCCCCAAAGAAGTTCCCTGCATAGGGGCCAGCGGCCAAACCATGTTTTTTTCTTTTTTTTTTCTTCTCGTTTTCCTTTTGGTTTCTCTTTCAGACACCCCGGAAACCTGCCTGGAGCTCCTGAGGCGCTGCCGGGCTCGACGCCGTCCCCTTTCGACGTTCCAAGGCCCGCTCGGGTCTGGCTGGGTGCAGGCGTAGAGAGGCTTCTTGTGGTGCATTTTGCTGGATGTTAATGGGTTTTCCCCGCATTAAACCACGAAAAGGTAGTCACTTGTAGCAGGGGAGCAGAAAGCAACCGAGCTTTCTTCGAGACTTGCCCTGTTACTTGGCCATGGGTCAAAATCCCATAGCCCGTACCCCCAGTGAACATCCGATTCAACCCCCACTGAAATAGGTTCCAAAATGGGTGGTGAAATCACCTACCCAAAATGGTTCCAAAACGGTTTTGACCACCGCAGCCACTTCTTTCTGGCAACTTTCCTGGTTTCCGGGGAATCAGAACGCATATGCTTGTTTTTGGTGGAGCGGTGAGGCTTTCTACACTCCCAGAAGTTTGGGGGCCTGTTGGTGACAGATACCTGGTGCGAAGGTAGTGACCAAGTCCGGGTGTTGGGAATGAACCGGTTTGGGTTTCCCTGCAAGGACACCATAGGATGGATTCTTCTCTCTCCGGGTCATTCCACTTCTCATTCCCTGCCTATGGAACATGTCCTTTTAATTGTTCATGCCCATGTTTCTTGGAGCATGGACCCTTTAGGCTCCACGTTAGACAGGAGGGTGGACAAAGTCCGATGGATGCAGCCCGACTTGACTGGTTAATACACCACCTAATCCACACTATGACCCAATCAGGGTTATAAGTTCCCGAAGTGGGTTATAGCCATGCGTGCTATCCAGGCACTGGCCCGTGACGCGCATGCCTGTGCACACCGCATAAGCACATGCACGCATAAGCACAAAGCGCGGATCCAAGATCCTTGGCCGCTCACGAGACAGAAGCATCACGGTATATTGTTAATGTTTATTACACGCAAGCGCACACACACACACATTCCCTTATGAGCATGACTTAGTTTGCTTTTCTTTCAGTTTCCCAGGAATTTCCCCATTCGAACTATGGAGGCCTTAGTTCTTTCTTGTCCGCTTGCGCCTTCAACGACGATTTTGCAAGCTCAGGTCTGTGAGGTCTGTTCCTCGGGAGGACGGCAACCGGCAGGATGCCCCAGCGCGCTTCGCAGGCTTGATCCATTGACATGGGAGGTCCATGCCACTTAGGCTATGGTTATGCCAGTCACCAACTTGATTCATGGTCAGAAGCTACTGGCTAAGTCACCAAGTATAACCTGCTCTGATGCTTACTGAGTTTGTTGAGCATCCGAGCGCTCACTGCCTGACAAGGCCACCTTCCGGCAGTCCAAGGAGCTTGAACAGTGCCAGGGGCGACCGGCCGATGAATTCTCTGAGGCGCGACCGGGAAGGAAAGCTCGTTCTCCACTTGAGCCACAATCAAAACCGGGGTAGATGAAGGTTAGTAAGGGATATTACCAACCATAAATGGACGCAGCCGCCCGCCTTTTCAATTCCTTAGCCGGTTCTGGGTTGGCCCCAATTAAATGCCAGCTTTTGATTGTGACTCATTGAGTCACCCCTTTACCCACAAGGGAATGATTCCACTTTGCAGAAAGGGAGTTGCATCTACTTTCACCCACTCTCCAACATGGAGGTACACAGGAATTGGAAGAGGTCACCTTGAAATGGTCCGTCCAGTTCCATGCTGGTTGAGAGACTCATGAGTCCTGATGGGCCGCAGATATTCTTTTGTTGCTCCCATGCTCGGCGGGAGGCATCCCCATTTTGAACCATATGCACTTGACAGGCTAGAGTACGATGCGGACCCAGAGGACGGGCAGCTCACCCATGTGCAGATTTGCGTGTATCTTACTTTTTGAGGGTACCTTCTTGGGAGTGGTCAGGGAAACAACTGGGAAATCAATCACCCCCCAAATGGGGGGGGGTCCAAATCCGAGAAACCAACCGTTCTTCATTGCCCAGAGTTCGAGCTCCGCAGGACTTGCTGGACCAACATGTGGCCTACTATCTGAAGCATCACCCTGAGGCTTGGAGAGCTTGACTCGAAACTCGAGAGGGACGCAAGTCACGGATCGGGACTCCCCTTTTGGCCCTTTTGGACACAAACCATGGGGTTCCATCAAGCCTACCAAAGCTTCGACCTGTGGCCCAGCGTCTGGATGCGTAAATTCGTTTTTGCGACCCTGGCGGATGCGCATCGCAGGCGATGTTTACCCACAACCTGTCTCGGAAGCACCCCGGGGTGTACCTCATCAACGGAAGGGACGTGCGGGCCAGCTCCCGAGAACCCGTCCCTTTTCGTCGGTTCTTGGCCTTGAGAGTCTGAGATCAGAAAGCCAGAAAGCCTGCTGGTGCGATAGGTAGGGAATGACCAAGCGCGGGTTTTGGGAATGAGGATTCCCTTGAAGGAAACCATAGGCCGATGGTTTTTCTTGGTGTCATTCTATTTCTCATTGTCTATCGAACCCGACATATCAACGGGGGGAACCCCGTAGTTTTTGAGGCACCAAACGTTTTGGACGCCAAGGGTTTGGAGGTCTTCCGGGAAATGTAAGCCACACCAGACAAGGTCCGCGCTACTTCCACCATCCATGGAGTTGGACTCCCCAAACCTGCACTCAGGTAGAGTGGCAGCACTCGGAGTCGGGCGGGCAGGGATGCTTGGCAGTCGCCTCAGCGAGAGTGTGAGGTCATTGTAGGGAGTTCCCGCCACAACATAGGGAGCTGTTGAAAATGGGGGGGGGGACTCCCTACATTTTCCGCTTTTGGTGGCTTTAGACGTCCAAGTTTGGGTTGTTCTCTCTTGGTTTTCCTTGAAGCCAATCAAAGGGGCCGGAGGGACTTACCACAGCAGGAGAAGCTCGTGTCGTGCACCTTGCGTCCCTGGCGTATTTTGATCCTTTGCCCGTTTTGGATGTTCCCACTCGGGGTTCTGAAAACGACTTTGGGACGTGGGTTCCTTTAAGCCCAGAGATTCTGAGGACGTCACATGAAAATGTCATGCCCAGATGGCTCTCGATGGGCCCTTGCGGCAGCCCTTCGTACGGGCACCCAGATGGACGGAACAGGGAAGACAGCCATTGAGTACTTGGGTATGTGTCAAAATAGGAGGGTCACCCAAATCTTGCTGGTTCTCAGGGAATGAGAAATGGAATGATCCCTATAAACCATGCCCTATGATTTGGTTTCCTTCAAGGGAATCCCAAGGTGCATTCCCAAAGCAATGGGTCATTCCCTACTTATCGCACCAGGAAGAGAATGGACCCTCAAAAGCACACACACACACACACACTCATTGACTTGGCTTGCGGGTGCGCGGATTTGAGCAACAGTCAGTAGTTGATGTCATCTACTTTCAGGGGATGACATTCGGAAAATTACCAAGTCGGTCTTGCCATTGGGAAAACTGGCGTTACTCACCAGCGTCAAATGTCATACGCGGACTGTATTGGCATTGCAATGGGGCTACTTACGCACTTCTTTTGTCAGTTTGGGGACGAAATTGGCAGTGAGAAATGGGGATTGCTCAAACCTTTAGGCTCAATTGGCAGTGAGAAATGGGGATTGCTCAAACCTTTTGGTGAGCCTAAACGGGGTTTCTAGGAAATTGGTTCCTTTCGGATGCTACACACATGATTGTCCATTGTTTCTAAAGCCACCTGTTTATTTGAACCCGTTGAACAGGTCCCAATGTGTCTTTTAAGCGAACCCAAAGGGAATGTGTGTGTGTGTGGTGTGTGTGTGTGTGTTTGTTGGAGAGTATACTCTTTTCTCGGTTGGATAAAAGAGGAACAAAAAGGAAACCACCATTTTGCCGGTTTCCCTATTTGGGTGTGTCGGATTTCCCATCAATTTTGAGTGTCCCCGATTTTCAGGCAGATTACATGGAGCACACGGAGAACAATATCGAGTACGATGTGCAAGGCCTGACTTAGGCACCAGTTGGATATCGGTGGCTTAACCGGCCATCCGATTTTGGTTCCTTAGCTTTTGAGATGTTTTTAGGTGGTTTAGTGGTAGTGTCCATTCAACCCACTAAAAGTTACTTACTGTTGGCAGGGGATTTGAGGGCATCTTTTGGACAGGATGGGTTTGCCGATCGCCCTGTTTTTTCCTGATAAGTTTGTTTCGATCTATTCATATCAATTGTTTTGGCGTGATTTCATTTCGTTTGACTTGGCCTGATCTGGTAGGTTCAAATGCTTTTGAGTAGATTTGATTGATTGCTGTGAAGGGAATTGACTTGATCGCGTTTGACGGATTACGTGATTGAGTGATGCAGCAACGGATTGGTATGGATTAACAGTTTCATGGATTGATAGATCGACGAATTGGCGAACTGATGAATTGATGGATGGATGGATTGATCGATGGAAGGACGGATGGACAGATGGACGGATGGATCGAGGGATTGATGGAAGGACGGATCACGAGCTGCTCAAGCGTCGACTTTGCGCCATACTTCGGCTGCGGCTTATGACCTGCCGTCCCACTCTCGAATGACTTGAGTGCCTTCAGTCCATCTTGTCTCACTGTTCTTTCTTCAAACTCTGTCCATCGGGTTGCTCTTTGGTATGATCTTGAACCTTTTAGCCTAACCTTCTGTTGAACCATAGTTACTCCCCAAGCGCAGCCAGCAACAAGTTGAAGTCGGAGTATCACCCATGGAATTTGGAGCAACGATCTCTACTTTTCTTGCTGGTGTGTAGGCAAAAGGTGAATGAACCCAGAGATTCCCTAGGAAACCACAGGGGATGGTTTATACGGGTCTTGCATTTCTCGTTCGCTGAGCACCAGCAAGTTTCGGCGGGTCGGCTGATGAATGTCGATCCGCGTGCACGTGGCGCTGCTGAGCGGCCGGGAGGTCTGCATTTCGCTGGCGCCGAGCAGCTCGGTGCGGCAGCTGCGCCAGGCGCGGTTTGGTCGTCCCCGTGACGCCGGTGGGTCAGGTTGGCCGGTTTTTTTACCCGCGACATGCCCTGTGTTCGTGTGAGGGAGCCGGCAAACTGTCTGATTTGCGGAACTTCACCGTGTGCTTCTTTGTAGTTGAGCATAGTTTGTTTTAAGGGGCGCTGGTTGTTGGGTTCTAATTGTCTATTCGTGCCATCTATTTTTCCTAGGGGATTTGGGCGGAGACATTCGAGCCCCCCCCCCCCCAGGAAGGTTCTCAGACTTTGATAAGGACATAACTTGGTGGCTCCCAGCCATCCCCTTATTTTAGTTTTTTTGTGGGTAGTTTCCAGCAAACCCACTAAAAGTTGAACTTTTAGCAGGGGACCTGAGGACAGCCCAGATAAGGTTCTGAGAACTTTGGGATAGGGCCTTTGGTTGCAAGGAGGCAGAGCAGACACTGCGACAGCCGCTGGGTGCCTTGATCTGGCAGGGTCGGGAGCTTTTGTCGGAGGAGCGGTTGGAGGATCTGGGCGTGGCGGATGGTGCCGTGACGGCCATTGCCGGGCACGGGGTGCTGGTGGGGGGTCGGCGCTGCAAGGCCTTCGCCCTGCTGGCGCGCGGCTCTGTGGTGGCCTGGGGCTGGCGCTCCTGCGGCGGCGACGCCAAGGTGCGGCGGGGCCTCTGCCAGGTGGGAATGGGTCAAAATTCATCAGGAATTGGACCGCAGGTTTTAGTCCACGTTTCCACCAGGGCAACCCATTTTGGGGTTAGCCAATTTTTGACCCACAGGTCACCGGCTGCGAGCTGGGCTTCGCGGCCCTCCGCGGGGGCCAGGTCGTCACCTGGGGCGAGCGGGTGCTCGCCGGCGGGGTCTCGGCCGCCCCGGAGCGGCTGCGAGATGTCGTCCACCTGGCCGCGACCGACCGCGCCTTCGCGGGGATTCGCACAGATGGCACCGTGGTGAGCTGGGGAAGTGTTGCGCATGGCGGCGACACCGGGGAGCTGCAAGAGCAGCTGGTGGATGTGTGCGAACTGCAGGCGTCCGCAGCTGCATTTGCTGCAATCCGTCGTGATGGCAGTGTTGTCACTTGGGGAAACCCCAGCTTTGGCGCTAGTGCTGACTCTCAAAAGCTGCAGCATGTGCAGAAGATCAGAGCCTCTGATGCCGCCTTTGCAGCAATTTGCTCCGATGGCGTTGTGACCTGGGGCTGCCCCTTGCATGGTGGCGACAGCAGCCTGGTGGCGGAGGATCTTACAGAAGTGGTGGATGTGCAAGGCACCGCTTACGCCTTTGCAGCGCTTCGCGCAGACGGCCAAGTGGTACCTTGGCCCCGTTTCGCCGCTTTGCGGTTTTCGACTTTCAGAGTTTGTGGATTCATGACCCCAAGTTCTTGTTCTTTTTCTTCTTCTTTTTACAAACCCGAGGGGACTGACACCTCCAGCCAACCTTGCCGCAAGGTCACCTGGGGGGATGCCAACTTCGGGGGCGACAGCTCCGAGGTCCGGCGCCAGCTGTGGGGGGTGCAGCTCCTGCAGGCGACGCGGGGCGCCTTCTGCGCCCTCAGAAGCGACGGCGAGGTCGTGGCCTGGGGCGACGCCGCCTACGGCGGCGACGTCTCGGGGCTCCAGGCGACCTTAGAGTCGCGTTTGGGGTGTGGACCTGTTTGGTGGTATACCAAACGTCTTTGGAAAGACCAGCTTAGTGGTAAATCAATAGTTTGGGTACTTTTTCTAGCCAATCCACTCCGAAAGTGAGGTCGTGCAAGATCAATGCAAGGATTTGGGTGTGTGTGTTTTTTTTGCGATTTGGCCACTCCAGTTGGAACAGCCCAGCCTGGCCGGATTTGCGCGTGCTTTTGTTTTGTGTATTTTCCATGGTACGGTTGATGGACGCAATGCACGTCGCACCAGTGGATAGCTGGTTAGTCCCACAACTCATATTGTGTCAATGAAAGCTTCACAGCTGGCGCCTTTTGTGGATTCTGTCCTGCCACGAAAGTTTGGTCCATGTCTATCGGTATACCGGGTAATCCGCTTTGGGTTGCTTTACGGCCAAACGACCGGGAAGCCACCGCCCGCTTTGCTATGGTCCACACTCCAATAAATTGATGTTCCCCTGTTGATTTCCTGTAAAATAAACTCAAGGGCACCCTGCGGAAGGAGAACATCCTTCTGTGGGTGTCTTATCCCAATTTTTGCAGGGTTTCATCGAGGCTTTCTTTTTCCAGGGTCACTGAACTGGGGCAATTACCTGGGGGGTTCCAGCCACTTGGCTTCTCAAGCCACTTAGGTTCCAACCAGTGTGTTAGCTGGGGCAACTGAGGGTCGGCGCCCTTACTAGGCTTATAAGTTTTTTTGTCTTTCTTTTTTTTTCCGGGTGTGTTTTTGAGGGCACCGTGTTGGGCTGGTTGCAGGGAAACTCAAGGCAAACTAAAGGAGAGCCACCCACGAATTTCGATCAAAGTAGCGCCAAGTATTTCTACGAACCGCCTATGAAACAAAAAGCACCACCATTTCCATGCCATTTAATTTGAAAGTCAAGAATTCTCAGCACCCACCAACAGGTGGCTTCCTTGAACCCCCAAAGACGATTTTGAGAACCTCTCAAAAAAGCAACCCCATTTTGTGGGGGACCCTCTAACCTGGCAGAGTCGTCCCTTTGCTTTCCTTCAAGACCACCAGCAAATGTGGCCATGGTTCAAAACCAATGGTACCATTTTGGGGTAGAACCTATTTTCGTGGTTGGATTGGCTTGGCATGTTCACTGGGGTTACGGCCATGGGCTTTTGACCCGTGGCCATGTGTTTTCCTCCCCTCCCAAAGGACGGACCGACGGCAGAGCCCCGCGGCAGGTGCCCCCCGCGTCGCGCGTGGAAGCCTCCGGCGCCGCCTTCGCCGCCCTGGGCTCCGACGGAAAAGTCGTGGCCTGGGGCGACGCCGCGGCGGGGGGCGACGCCGAGGCGGTGGAAGCGCAGCTCTACGAGGTGGTGGAAGTGCGGGGCAGCGAAGCTCCAAGGGCAAGATGTTTGGCCGGCTTTGTCTTGTTCTTTTTGGTTGTTGGATTTTGCAGCTCTTGGCATTTTCCTTTTTTTGTTTTTGTTTGGGTTTTCGTGTGTCGGCTTTTCTTTTTCGTTTTGTTGTTCGGTTCTGACGGTTTTGACCTGTGCGGCTTCCCCAAGCATTGACTGCCACGAGCAACTCGCTTCTCTCATGGGGGCTGCCCAAATAAGCCCTTGTTAAGCTCTTAAGGCTTTATTTAGGACGTATTTAGGCTCCCTCCCCCTCCCCTCCCTCCCCTCCCTCCCCTCCCTCCCCTCCCTCCCCTCCCTCCCCTCCCTCCCCCTCCCCTCCCCCTCCCCTCCCCTCCCCTCCCCTAACAAATGGAGAAAGTAGGGGGCCTGGGGGGTGGTCTGTTGATGGTCCCCTGTTATGTTTTTTATATTCATCTCAAACCTATTAACCACCTTATTCGTTTTTAAAAGAGGGTTTTTGGGGAGCTTGTTTATCGTTTTCGTTAAGGTAATCACTTGGGTAAATTGTCGCCTTGTTCATTGTTGGGCTGGGGGCCGACATTTTTTTCATTTGAAAGAGGTAGCCCTTTTAGTAGTTATCAAGTTCTGAGGTGTTGGTGGTGTATTTGTTTTGTTAGTGTTTTTCTCACTAATTTTCATTTATAGGTTAAAAGTTCAGTATAATTATAACATATAAGATTTTACATGTTATTATTATATTATGATTATAATTTCAGTTCAGGATAATAATCTAATTGGTTTGTCTTACTTCTTTCATACATCATTTTAAAAATAATATTAACATCTCTCACTGTATTCTGAACATTAAACTTTTTACTTTCAATAAATAATTTGATATTTTCTTTAACATCTTCTCCTTTCTCTTGACTATAACCCAACATCCATAATATATCATAAATCATGTCATATTTTTTCTTACTGATTTTAAGAAACTGTTTAACATAATCGTAAGGTGGTATTTTATTTACAGTTAGAAATATTAAAATATCATCTTCTACA